GGAATCACTGGTATAGATGCTACAGGCTTGTTAGTGATTTTGGTCCTGTCTTATCCCATCTGACTATACTAGAGCTTTCCCATCATTTTTAGAGCAATGAGATTCCAAAGTTATCACAAATATGTTACCTTTGAGTTGCAAAAATTGAGTATGAAAAAAGAAATTTAAAATCTAGTTTACAACTAGCATGTTTTCCTGACATTATCCAGGTTTGATACCATCAAATCGGGTAATAAGGGACAGGCAGGGTAATAAGGGACTCCTCATTTTTACAACAATTTTGAGAAATGTAGCAGCTAAACTACTTGAAGTACTGCAAAACTAAAAATAGTGGCATAAAGTTCAACATTTCTCCTATCTATGTAGCATAAAGTAAGTTAATAAATTATACATATACTACCTCTAAAAAAACCCTAAAAAAAGTGAAAAGTGGGATTGTGGAAAAGTACCTCTGCCAAGGTCTGTAGCAAAAAAACTTTTGTTGTATTAAAAATTTTTACTTACTTAAACAGTTGCACACAGGTGTTGAATTAAAAACATGATTGATGGAAATTGCATAGGTTGTTCAAAAAAATGGCGGATATTTCCGCTTGATGGGGCAATAAAGGACACCCCTAAAACGCATTTACAGTAGAAAAATTCAATTAACAACAAAGAATTTTTATTACATTTACTGTACCTTGCTTGGAAAAAAATATTTCTATCGACCAAAAATTAATGCGTCATTGGTCATCACAAATTGTACATGGAATGTCATAGATAGAATTGTGCACCAGGCAACATGGAATGAAAAGTAAGTAACCTCAACTATGATTTATTTCTTCAAAAATATGATGGTCTTTGTTAAAATATTCTTTTCTGTTGCAGGTATGTTTTTTATGTTTTTTTTTTATAGTAAATTCACTTGATTCAATTAAAATGGTGCAAAATTACAAGCCATCCTGTAAGCTTACACATACAGAAGAAATGTTTAATGGCAGCTGATGTGAAGCTTGCAGTGTACAAGGTTGTTGTCAATGCTCAATGGCATGTCCATGGATATGGTAATATCATATCAATAAAGGAAAAACAAGTAAAAATCACAGAAAATGTCATTACATCAACATCATCTATAAAGGAAGACGAGGAGTTCTGAGTACTGTTAGTAATGGATGAGTTCTGAGTTCTGTTAGTAATGGATGAGTACTCTCTGTATGCTTCAAAAGTTTAAAATCTAGTTTTATTTCAAGTGTCCTTTATTGCCTGGTTTCAAGAGTTATTTTGGGAGGCCTTTATTTTGCATCTGGCACATTACAAATAGCATATGGGATTTTTTTTTGAATACCTTACAATAGCTTCTCGCAAAGACATTTGAAATGAGCCCAAACTCATTTATGAAATGTTTCATAGTTAGAAGTTATTAACAAAAAATGCTCAAAACTCCATGCTTCTCATTTGACAGTATTTCCTGCAATTTCAGAACATAGTTATCTTGAATCCCATTATTTAAATAATCCCTAATACTATTAATAATAAAGCTCACAGATTCTAATTAAATAAGTAAAATTTTCATAAGAAATATCATTCACATTTTACTCATGTTTAAAATAATTGAAATAAACTATTTTGCATTTTAAAATAAATTCATAAATATACACCAATTATTAAAAAATGTAATTTTTGGTCCAATCTTTCCCTTAAAGTTTTGCTATGCCTTACTATTATCCCACCAAAAATGAAATGATTAAATTTCAGGTCCATGGCAGTGTGGAATTCTAGATGGATGCATGTCGATCTCCAGATTGTGATGGGTCGTTGGGATTATGTCATCTACTCCCAACTGTGATTGGTTGTGTGATGGCTTTTCCAATATGCTATGTGTACTGGTTAATTTAGTACCTCTCTAGAATTACGCACTGATCTGTCATAATATCTTGACACAAGTTTGGGGATACATTCCCAAACATCCCCTGTATATTTGTGATGCCAGTCTATAAACCAAGGTGAAGTCATGAAGATCAGAACTGCAAGACTGCAACCATGCATCAGCCTTGAATCAGCAATTCACTTGAATTGCTCTCAAATTAATTGCTTTATCATCAATACTTATTCAGTTTGATAGTCAAGACAACAAGTGAGATTTGGCCACCTTGTTGGGCCTCCTAACAAACAGCCTGATGCCCTTGGTGCCTATGGGAAGGCTAAACGCTTCCTTTGTAGGAAGAACACCTCCCGCATTGCAGCGACCGCCATTAGCAACATTCTCCTTGCAACCCTACCACCACTGATTGCTTCAGAAGAGGCCTCACTTCCTCAACCCCTACCGCTCAGCGCTATCTCAGCTGTGCTCGGGACATTGTAGTTCCTTGGCGTCCTATACCTTAAGGGTTGGACGCCGTCCAGCATCTCTTTACTTGCCCTGCCTTCCCCACGTCCCTCAGCGTCTCCTCATTGTGGGACAGCCCTGTGGAGGCAGTCCTCATTCAGTTTGATAGCTCCTAATGAAACATTATAGAGCCCACATTTTACAGATTTTTAGGCGACACAAGATTCTATCTCTCCTGTTCTATGTTGAAGAGTTTGTTCACTAAGATGTTTGATAGACTGCAAATATTGAATCATTGTTGTGCAAATTATACCATAGCTTCAACACTTCAGTGGGCAAACATAGGGATGCACAGGAATTGAAAATTCTAAAGCTAACACAAAGAAATGTATAAATATTATAATTTTATTATAAATAATAAAAATATTTACATGATAAATAAATATAAAATAAATATGAATATATGATAAGAGTATATTTACTTGAAGCATTTCAAAGTAGTAGTGCATGCTGATGAAAGGGTTAATAGGAGTTTAAGAATTTAATAAATATGGTCACTATGCTTTAAAAATACATTTTTAAAATTTATACATCAAAATATTAACAGAAATTATGGAACTGCAATTTAATTCTATACCATCATTAGGTAACTCACATTATTTGAACAGATAAAGAGCTATATAAATTTTTTAAATCATGTAAAAAAAGCATAAATTTTATCTGAACCACTTCTTTTCTTTAAATGCTGATATTTAAATATTTCAAGTATGTTAGGGGGTGATGCCATATAAACAACCAGAGGCTGATGATAAGCTTGATAACATAGCCTGCAATATAAACCAAGAGATGTGGTAGGTGTTTTTATATTAACAAATATAGTAATTTACTGAAGTTAAAACTCAATGTTTTACATTTTTGGAACTGCATCTGCCAATAGCAAGTAAACTGAGTTATTGTTTTAATTATAGATGTATAAGTAACTGGAAATTTATCTTTGCCTTAATGGTTGTTAGCTACATTTTTATATGGTAGGATTGGATTTTTTGGTAAAGAGGTATTTTTAAGATCATGGTTTTGTCCCTTATATATGTACCAGTACCTCAAACAATCAAATACAATAAGCTTCTTCATAGTATGGTCCAATTTCTTGAGAAATTTTGAATTTAGTTGGAAGTGTGGAGCTTGTAGGTATAAGGTGAGATTCATTGCAAGCCACAAAAAAGTTAGCTGTACATTGTGGCTTTTCTTTTAATTGTAAAAATATTACCAAAAAGATTCTCTTAAATTCATGGGTATCAGGTTTCCAATTTTGTATACCATCAAATAAGGGACAGTTTTGAGCGTTTTACATTGATAACTTCTTACCATGAAACATTTCTTAAACAAGTTTAGGCTCATTTTAAAGCTCTTTGTGAGGGCTTTCCAATGGCATATTAAAAAAAATTCTGTATGCTGTTTGTAAGATCCCAGATGCAAAATAAAAGCATCCCAAATTAACCCTGGGAATGGGGTAATCCAGGACACTTTAAATGAAACTTAATTTTAAAACGTTTGAAGCATGAAGAGTGTGCTCATCCATTACTAACACTGGTTTGAAGTCCTCCTCTTCCTTTGTAGAGGATGCAGATGTAAAATGAATGACATTTTCTGTGATTTTTACTAGTTTTTTCTTTATTGATACATGATATTGACATTTCCATACATTATCATATTATTGATGTGATATTACCTTATCCATGGACATGCCATTGTGCATTTACAATGACCTTGTCCACTGCAAGCTTCATATCAGCAGCCATATAGCTTTTCTTTTTTATCTGTAAGCTTACAGGATCGCTTGTAATTTTTTTAACAAAAAAATATAAAAAAACATACCAGAAACAGGAAAGAATATTTTAGTGACAACCATTATATTTTTTGGAGAAAAAATAAATCATATTTTAGGCTATTTACTTTTCATTCTATGTTGCCTGGTGCACAATTCTATCTATGACATTCTATGCACAATTTTGCAATGACCAATGCATAAATTTTTTGTTGAGTGAAATTTTTTTACTGAGGGAGATAAATGTAATGAAAATTTTTGGTTGTCATTGATTTTCTCAATAAATGGAGCCTTTGCTAACTGAGGTTCTACTGTAAATGCATTTTTAGGGGTGTCCCTTATTATCCTGTCTCGCATAAATGGCTGCCATTTTTTTAACAAGATAATCGAATTCCGTAAATCGTGTTTTTAAGCCAACACCTGTGTGCCACTTTTATGTGAGTAAAATGTTTTAATATTGCAAATATATATATATATTTTTGCAGACCTTAGCAGATGTACTTTTCCAAAATTGCACTTTTCACACTTTCAGGGATTTTTTAAAAGTAGTAAATGTACAATTTCTTAACTTGCTTTAGGTTACATAGATAGGTAGTTAAAATGTTGAACTTTACACCACTATTTTTAGTTCTGCAATATTTTGATTAGTTAAGCTGGTACAACATATCTACAAAATGTGGGACTGTCCTGATTTACCCCGCCCATCCCTTGTTACCTCTTATGTATATACCTCTTGTATTCAAAATATAGACAATGAATATAGTTTTTTCTTACTACAGAAATTATTTACAATTGAATATAAGATTTGCAGTAGATTGCAAAGTAGCTTTTGTTATTTAAATGCTTTACCTTTTTTTTATTGCAGGCCAAACAAAATATTTCATTACATATGCCCACACCATCTGTGGGTGGTAAATCCAAATGATTTCTATACTAAGTGTGGTCAAATTGAGGCATCTCTTTGCAGTTAAATGGATTTGAGTAAGGTGAGTCTTAGGGCCTTATCTTTTGTGGATGACCTGACTGGTATGGCTCATCTGGAATATTATAAATATACTGGGAAGTGGATATCAATGTATAAGTTCAGGCTGCTGGCTTTCTTTTCTGCTGATAATACTAACAACCAAGCCGCATTTGTAGTAGTGATGGCTATATTTTCTTATAGATAAAGATATGGAGACATTTAATGTGTATTTCACACAAATATCTTGGTGTGTGTTGAAAGCAATATTGCTGATTTTATGAAGAGCTCAAGTGTCTTGTGTAAATTACATTATGGGCTCTGTTTAGTGAGCAGAATGTTAGGAAATCAACTGACTAGGACCTGTTAGTTTGAGTGGTTGTTTATGATTATGTTGTGTAGCACAGATAATTTCTGTACATGAGAGAAATGACGTGTCATACTGGGAAGTTTTGTTTGGTGCCATGCTTGTATCACTTGAAAGTGAAAAAAGTTTGGCAAGTGGTTACATCATTTTTCTGGTTACTTCATTTTGACAGTTTTTTTATTTATCATGTCGTAAGTTCAGCATCATTATTACAACATCAAGCTTTGTTTCAGAACTTGTTTTTTATCCTGGGAAGAATTAAATTTGGTGCTTGACTAACAAGTAATTTTTTTTCAGGAAGCAAGTGGCCGGAAGTGGCGTGGAATAGCAAAGAAAGGCAAGAGAAGAGATGTGGGGTTACTCCAGCCGAGCAGCAGCACTCAGCCAGAGACCCTGGAGCCCTACATGCCTGCCTTGTCCAAGCGTCAATCAACCAGCATTGCACCTCCTCATCACCACCATAATGCCGCTTCTCAGAATTTGGATACTAAACCAAATAGCACAATTACACCTACAACAAAGCCTGAACTTCTTAATTGTGCATCTAATGCTAAAAATTGTAGGAGATCGTCTTCTCCTATCCCTAAGAAAACAGGTTCAAAATCCATAGGGAACTTCATTAGAGTTGGAGGAAATACCACAGTTAGTTCTAAGAAAACCAAATTACATCCTCCTATTGATCAAGAATTGCAAGAAAAGCTTTCTTCTAAGGTAAAATCAAGTGACTTTGAGTCTCGGTCTGACCGTTTGTCTAAGAATACTAAATCAAAAAAATATCCCTTCAAGCACTCCAAGGATTCAAAACATTACTCTGACCGTGAAGGTGAAGAGAATATAAACTATTGGTGTGATAAAAATTTGAATGTTCAGAATGATAATAATTTCCATGAAGATTTCATTGAAAAATCTCACAAGTCTTTGCCCACACTGTCTGACGAAAAGGAATCAGCCTCTCCGACCCAGTCCCAGAAGAAAAATAAAAAGAAATGTGGCTTTATGAGGCCCGCTCATCTACAGAAAAAGAACCATTGTTCTTCTACATCTTCTCATCACTCTGGAGATGAAGTTAAATCATGTACTAATTCATTTGAAGTCACAACTAAATCATTGGTCAAGGAAAATCAATCTTCTAAGAAGAATCTGCAAACCCAGAGCAAGTCTTTACTCCCTGCTACAGAACGAATGAATAGATCTCATTCAAATCTTCAAATGCATACCAGGAAATCTGTATCAAGTGAAAATAACGGCAGTGATGCAAGAAACTTAAATCTTAGTTCTGAGTGCATTGGTGTAGGAATTTCAAGTGACCACTCCAATTCGGACCTCAAAAACCAAAGTTTAGAAAAAGCTGATTCTGTCAAGGGTTGTACTAAGAATGAAGCCCAATTAACTGGTAATAATAAAAATCCCGAAAAGAAACGAAGAAAATCACGAAACGCCAAAGAAACCTGTAAAAATTCTCGGAATTTGCCCAGTGCTAGCTCAAATCAAGACAAGAAACCATTTTTTAATGAAAATGCGAGACGTAGCCATTCTCCTCCTGTTGAAAGTGTTCATCTGAATTGTTCACGAGTGAATGAGGAAAGAAATTATAGCTCTGATTTAGCAAAGAATGGACCGTGTGTTGATTTTGAAAAATTTGATGAGAAGTCAAACAATAGTTTATTGCAAGAGACAAACGAGAAGCTGACAGAAGCACCTAATTGCAGAAGGAACAACCACCGCAAGCATCATAGGAACAGAGGTGTTGATGGCTATGCTGTAAATAATGTGGATGAGAGTGTTGAATCTAGTCTTAGTACAGCGGAATTGAACAAAGAATCTGTAGCTTTGAATTCAAATAATCAGTTTGAAGTGAAGGGCAGTGTAGAAAATACTAATCTTGGTGAAGATGATAGAAGACAGGTTAAGAAACACAAACCCCAATCTGTTCATACCGAAAATAGAGACATCAGGACTAGACGTTCAGTGGCATCAGGTGAAAGCTTTGTTGTGGGCGTCATCGAAGATAGCGTGCCAAATTTGCTAGACAGCACTAAGAAAATGAGATGTCTGCGTTCTCATTCACTTTCAGTCCAACAAAAAAAATTAACTGATCATAGTGAACTATCTGAGTCTTCATATGATAAACGTATACCACCTTGTATGAGCGGATCAACTGACGAATCAGTTGTTATTTCTGAAAAGGATAATTCTGAAGATATTAAAATAAACAACCAAGCAGTGAAAGCCAAGGAATCTTGGGATAATTGTGAAAAATTTACAGAAAAATTGATAGATGTCAACCTTGCACCAGGTAGTGAATCTCTTGATGCTTCTGAAAAACCAGTTCCTATTGACGTTCATAACAGTGTCTTAAATGTAAATCACAGTACAGACATTTTAGAAAGATCAAACGACCGGGACTCTGCTGATGACACACCACATGTTGCAGCCTCAAGCTCCACCAGCAAGGCTGAAGGCAGCGAATTATCTAAGAGCTCATATGTTAGCCCTAATGTTGAAAACGATGTCGAGCGTCCATCATCAAGAAAACGCCTGCAACTTGACCGAAGTTCCTTTAATAAAAGTGAGAAAGCCAAGGCTGCAGTTGAGGCTCTACTAGGAGAAAGTCCACAAAAATCCCCTCTGAAGAGCAGTTCTATAGCATCTAACATTTCTGTTGCAACATCATCTTCAGAGCCTCTTGTTAGTGTATCCAATAAATTGTTGGAATGTAAGCCTTCTTTGGAAGATTCTGCGCCAGCTTCCAAATTGGGTTTGTCTCCATCTCCATTACAGAAGGCATCTGTAGAAACTTTGCTTGAAGTTCTTCCCTCTGATGCTATGCATAGGATACCAAATACCAGCCTGGATATCGATCCTCGTCCATCTCTTAGCGCCGACAATGAACCCACTAGTCCATTATCATCTAAATCGTTTCCCGAGACAGCCGCTAAAGCAGATTCTCCTGAAATGCCATTAGACAGAAAGGTTATTGATGTTCCTTCCAGCCCAGGCCGAAGAATTACGACTCAGGAAGCAGAAGTGGCAGGCATTGGGCCTGCTTTGTTTTATGACCAGGCATGTGATGATAACAGTTCAAGTAATAATGATTTATCACTTGATCAAGTACCATTTGACTCTAGAGCTTCAGTTACTGACACCAATTGCGGCCATGTTTCCGGTGTCAACAGGGATCGTGAACGGCTGGTGTGCATGTCTGCAGATGATACCGGTACTAGTGAGAAACTGCAGAAGGTTGAGATTAGCCATGAAAATAAAGATGAGAATTCAAGTCTTGGTAATCATCATCCAAGTGAAAAAATGCAGGGTAGTTCATCCTTGAATCTCGCATGTAGTTCAGAACTCGGCAAATCTCTAACCTCGTCTGTTCAACCAAGTAATGAAATGGAAGAGAAAAAAACAGATTCGCTGGTTGTTGATGTAGATGCTAAAACCATACCTGACAACAGCAAAAAAAGTGATCAAGTGATTCCTTGCCTTCAACATCAGGAACTGATTAGCAGCCATACCGCTGAAGGAAACGGTTTTCACCGAGAAAATAGTGCCCCGCCCATAGAGCTCAGAGGAGTCAAGAAAACTACAAAAAAGCGAAGGAATTCCATCGAGACTTCCTCCCCAGAGAAGAACCTCCGGAGATCATCTCTCAGAAGCCGACGCAATAGCCTGCAAACATTTACTGCAGCTCCCCATGTTCTTCCAGGTAGTCTGTTGAAGAATAACTCGAGGCAAGAAACAAGTAAAGATTTAGTAGTTACTCGCCTTGCTGATGTGCAAACTACAGATGAATGCGATCGAGGGGAACTTTCTACCTGTGAAGAAAAATCAAGAAATGAAAATGAAGCTAGTGAGAAACTTGATGGATCTCCTGATACTGTTGTGGCATTTAGTATTACATCAGAAAATGCTGCCGGTTGTGAGGCGAGTTCTGTTCCCTTGAATACTACTGACGCATCAAAGGATACCCAGGTTATACAAGATGATGGGTTGCAGAGAATTGAGGACTTGGATGCCGAGTTAGCTAGTGCTTCTCTTGAGCGCAGAGCAGCAATTCCCAAAATTGAGGACTCTAATACTGATTTGGCATGTACTTCTAGTGAGAGCAATATAATTTCCAATTGCGATGCCTCTGGAATTGCTTCTGAACTAAACGAGGATAATGATGATGAAGCATGTGCTCGAGTGCTAAGAGGGCGTATTATTGAACCGAAGAGAAGTGAAACCGCCAAGATTTCAAGTAAAGCTAAATTATCATTCAATGATGCACTTGATAGTGCTGAATTAATTGAACATCCTTCAGTTGAAACTAAACCTACCTCAACGAAAATGGCGCCTAATACAAAACAGATGAGAGTTTCATCATCATATTTGGCACATAAGCGGTCTAAAGACCCCCGTACCAAATACCGAATACCATCAAGAACAGAGTGTCTGATTGTCCATCCTCCTCCCTATCGTTTGCCCGTGATTGTAACCGATGATAGAAAGGCAGTAAAAATGAAGAATCGTACGGCACGAAATCAACTCGTGAAAGTCGTCAATCTTGAAAGGCGTGATGTGCTCGAGACTGCATATCTTGGAGATGGAAAAGTCATGAGATATCCTCTGAGAAAAGTAAAGGCATCTGAATCTCAACCTGCTGAACTTCAGGAGGACGCAGTTGAAGTCAAGAATCTAGTGGCCAAAGATGATTCTGCCCATGCCGGAACGATTTTAAAGTCGTCAAATACGATTTCAGAAACTGGTGAATTGGGTGATCTGAGTTGTCCTAATGAAACCTTGTCGTGTGATGTTGTTCTCTCCACCAGTAAAATTGTCAGCAAAACTCCAACAATTCCTCCAATTACCAAAAATGTTGGTACCAACTCTGAAGGAGGTGATGCGAGTAAGTCGGTTGCAGAAGCAGATAGTAGCATTTCGAACTTGCAGGACAACCGTGAGGATGAGACAGCAAAACAAGGACGTAAGAAGCGTCAACCGAAAGCTTCTCAGAAACTAATTGAGAGCTTAGAATCTGGAAGCTTAGACCTCTTCAACATGAGTAAGCTGCTTGTTGACAAACCAGTACTGGAAATGCATGATACGAAGAAAGCAAAAGACGCGTCTCAACAAGAAATTAGTGAAGCTACTACTGCTGACAAAGTGGCTCCCGATCAAGAACAAACGACGTCAGCAGTTGCTGATGGAATTAACTCAAAGTCCGCAAGTCAAAAATCCGCCACAGTACGGAAAAAAAGACCGCTAGATGACAGTATTCCTACTAATACCAAGAAAAGAAAGAAAGAAGATAGGAAAACTTTCAGCTGTTGTGAAATTAATTTTGAAAATGCGTTCGACCTTCAACGACACATGGTCAAGAAAGCTATGGAAGGTGACGCTGAACATTCAGAGAAGTTGCAGTCTCAAGGCTATAATAAATGTAAACGTTGCCCTGCTTGGATCCGCGACTCAATGATGGCCATTCACTTGCAAAACATTCACAACGATTCCAGCAATTCCACATCAAAATTAGAAATTCAGACAATGGTTATAAAACTAAAGAAACAAAGTGTCCCTGTGAAATTGAGTACAGAAACTACACAAAACAAATCAGATTTATCAGCAAGAAAGAATTTCAGTTCAAAGCAAAAACCATTCGTGGATCTCGGGCCCAGAATTTCCGTGTCTGACAACAATTATCTGAGTGATGATACTGAGAATCGTGCAACTGAAAATACAAGTAAAAAACCCGTTTTGAAAAGCATCCTGATTAAGAAATCCCAATCTGTTAACAAGACTAAAAATAAGAAGAGTGTGACCTTGTTCTCCCAGGATGATCTTGACAACGACTCTGAGAATAACTGTGAGGATAATCCGGCCAGCACTGTCACCTCTTATTCACCATCTTCCTCTTCATCTGATGATGAGACAAGCCATCATCAAAAGCCGGGTTACAAGAAGAAAAAATCTAAAAAAACATCTGGGACAATTGATAGCTTTGATGATCGTGATAATTACAAACCTTATTCTAAAAAAGCTCGTGCTTTTAATCCTTTATCTGACGATTCGTTTATCGGCCACACAGAAAACACAAGAGCTCAGATTAAAACCAAGTCCAGCTTGCGCAGTAGCCGCAAAAGCTTCCCTGAAAAGCCCAATTCGTCGAAAGTAAAAGGAAAGGATCCAGAAGATCATTCGTCATCCTCTAGTGATGATGAAAACAGTGATTATTCAACGGACGACAGTTATAATTCTGTTGATGAATACTCAGATTCATCTTATGATGCCGAGAGAGAGAATGCTCCACTAGTGGAACTGCAATTGTTTTCGTTCGCAACCGATGACCTAGCAGTTCTTCTAATGGATCCAAAGAACCCCAAACTCAAAGTATTTGCCACCATGGGCTCCATTTTTGTGAGTGACGTGTCGCTCGAACCTGAGAAAAAACCTATGAGCTACTTGACGGAAAATAATAATGTTATCTACGTTAGTCATCACCACAATGTGTTTCCGAATGTAAAAGATATCATGCATTTCATTCCGAAACCAGTTGTTGTTATGAAAATGACGAGAATGGAAGCAAATGCCATTAAGCGTAATTCATCAAACATGGCGGGCAATATTCTTAAAGAATCCAACAACACGTCAAGCAATCAAGTATCTTCGAGCCACAATAGAGTTGCTGAGCTGTTATCAGAGATCCTCTCCAAATCGGTCAAATCTTGTGAGCCAAATAGAGTAGATAAAACGGATTTTGCTACGGTTAAAAATTACCTCGTTGAAAAACAATCCAGTGGAAAGACAGAGTCCGAGAGCCCCAGAGTTCGTCCTGTGAAACCGTCAAGACGTAAGAAGGATGAAAAATTGCAAGTTCTCTCTGGAAATTTACAGCAGCCTTTAAGTTCTTCAAGCCCCCTGCCTCAGTCTGTTAAATGTCCAGTTTATGTCGAATCCCATAATAAATCTTCAAACTTAGACATGACCGGACTATCTCCTGTCAAGATTCCTGTGGAACATTCTGGACAAAAAATAAGATCTCCGTTCGCAAAGGGCGATGCAGACTTGCTGCAGCAGCTGGTCTCATCTACCATCCATTCTCCTTGCGAAGTGGAGAACTGGGACGACAGTCAAAACAATCAGTATGGGCCAATTTTAACGTATGATGCCGAGTCATCTATCACTGTGTCCGCTGATGAAATGGTCCTGCAAGCAAATGAAAACGAAAATGAACACATAGCAGATACTAATTCTGTCTCTTCTCCTTTATCTTCTCGTCGCAGAAATAATCATCAGAATTATTTCACCGAAGTGTGTGAAGTTGAATACCAAGAAATCTCACAACGCGTAAGTGAACATGAAGTCATTGGTGTACCAATGAGTAGTGAGACCGATTGTGAAACTCGTTCCGTGATCAATGCTACGGATTCTTCTGCTGTTTCAAAACCTGCTGGGAAAAACCAAAACTTGAAATGGTCATTCTTAGATGAGGACAGTGACGAATTTTTGAATACCCTGGAATTCACGGATACTCTTCAAAGTCCTACTCGTTTTGATAGTTCCGATGGAAATGAATCGAACGAAGGACGACTTAGAAATATCAGTGGCCTTTCGAAACAATCATCCAAGAGATCTGGCTTGGTTATTGGTCAGGATTCTTCATGTAATACCGCCAACGCATCTAATGAGAAGACGTTCCTTGAAAGCACTTCTGAGGCTGGGCCTCATGATTCACTCGAACTTAAATCTGATAAACATTCAAAGAAACAACGTTATGGCCAAATTAGATCAAAATTAGCTGATGATGTTTCAATTAAGGAGAATGTGTTGCAGACACCAGTCCATGATGTGCGCCCACGTCCTACCTTCATTTCTCCCCCGTGTCGTAAGAGACTTCAGTGTTTTGACGAGACCGAGGGTTCACCAAATAGACTGTATTCCAAACTAGCTTATTCAACCCTCTCTGATAATGATATTTTTGGTCTTTGGCCAGAAGGGGCATCTCCAAAAGCTAATAAAGTCTCTAATAACAATAATCGGCGAAGGAAAAAGTCACGAAGTTCTTCTACTGAGAGCTTTTCATTGAATCAAGCGGGGAGACTTCATCGTTATTCATTGAAATCTGATAAACTCGCATCAGGAAATGCAGTGACAAGTGACTCTGCGGCTGAAACTTCGGAAGACGAATCTAGACTCTGCTTCAATACCTCAACATTGACTGGAAAAGTACCCGTAAAATCTCCGGACGCGGCCAACAATTCAGAGCATAGTCTGTCCTTGCGTTTTACTTCTCCCTCGCCATCCGGTTCTGCGTCCGTTGCTGCTAAAACACGCAGCTCACTAAAGCGTCAGAAATCACCCGATGTATCTAAGTATAGTCCAGTGCCGTCTGATATTCTCACTCCAAAAAGCAGTAAAATAAAGCTAGCTGTCTCGTTCGACGATGGCTCAGTTCCTCTAGAGTTTTCTGTTGACTCCATAAGAAGTAACGATTTCTCCCCTAGAAGCATGGCCAATTTACCGGACGAAAACGCCTTGCTCTCTAATAGGACCTCGCCATTGCCCTGCTCTCCGACGGCCGCTCCTGCCGTGCTACCGTTCTTTGCTAACGAAGACGATTTGGGCTGCATCAGTGATACAGAATCCCAATTTCGTGGAGTGAAAAAGTCTAAAAAACGAAAAGAGAAAAAGTATAAGTCAAAGAAGAAGAAAAAAGAAAAACACCGACATCATTCATCATCACACAACGTCGAAAACAGACATGAAAATCATGGAATCAAGATGAAAATTAATCTTATTGGGATGACTTCAGAAATGATGAGCCCCATCAGCGCATCACCTGATCGCGGTTCAGCATCAAGCCGTATTTTCGATACTCTTATCGAAGACTCGAAGAATTATCCGGAATCAAACTTTGACTGTCCATTCACTGAGGTCCCGCAATCAAGTAATGTTCTTATCACGAGTGCTTCAGATTCCCCTTTACCTTGCAGAACTCCATTGTATCCAGAACCATGTACTATTGATTCAGCTGATTTTTCTGAAACTACTTCATCAGCTGCCGAAGATCTGGTAGTGAGCAACGATGATTTGCAAGCGGTTGCTGAAAATGATTCACTCTTGCCTGTAGTTGATTTACTTGTCAATAACAACGCATCCTCCGCTGACGTGTTAGATAGTAAAAAATCTCATTCGCAACCTTTAAGTAGTTCTTGCATCCCGTCTCCTAACGCCAAGAAACAGCACAGCAAAAGCGACAAAGATTTATTTAAAATACGTGGAAGAATTGGCTCCGAGTCAGATGAAGAACCTAATGCCACTGGACAACGAAATTTGAAAACGGATGATGGTGAAATAGAGACATCTGAAAGATCTCCGGTAGTAACTGAAGAAAGAGAAGAAAGCATGACATGCACCTCAGTTGAAAAAGCCATATTATCACCGAGACCGTGGATAGGACGAGATGCTAAGGTCCGAGCAGCTGTTCTCATCCACGATTTGCAGGATGGCATTACTAACTCGACTGTGCCTGCTAGCGGCACCCTTCATGACGCGGCCATCACCTTCTCTACGTCGCCTCACTCTGAGGTAAAAAGAAATTCATCTACTCAGGATAGTACAAATTATAACGAAAAAGAGTCTCCTGATACATTCCATGCTAAAAAGAGCCGAATAAATCAGGATTTATCTCTGAACGAAGAAGACTCTACGAAAGTTGGACAGCTCCATTCCACTCCAATTGAGAGACGGCCTGTGGCTGATGCTGTCCCGACGTCGGAAGACCGAGCTTGGCATTCTCGTGATGCCAAGTTGAAGGCTCAAATTTTAATTTCGGATCAGCAATGCGGTATTGTAAATTCCAGCGTACTCACTGCACAGACTCCTATTTCGACCTCATCAACGAACGCGAGCGCGTTTTCTCCAAGTGACATCCGTAATTTCTTTCAGCCAACGAAAAAAGAGGTGGTCAGTGATACTCCGGTTTCTGTAAAACCTGTCAAGATATCCCGACCTCAGCCTGATATCCGCTCATTTCTGCTCCCGAATACTGCCTGTGTTGATGCAGAAAGTCCCGCCGTTTCATCTAACATTCCGCTTGTAGAAGCTACGATCCCGATAACAAATACTGGTAAAAAGAAGCCAAGAAAACGTTCTCGTCGAGTCCCCGAGAAATCTGAGCTTGAACCTGTGCACAAATATCCTCGCCCGATGTCGCCTGCTTACGGTGCATCCATTCCTGTGCACAACTTGAAGAGTTGGTACGAATCTCGATGTAGTCGTTTGGCAGTTATTGCGGGAGAAATGCCTTCTGGTCCCGCTAACTTTGTAGGGTTTGATTCCTTGGAACCTTACTCAGGGGCTCGTGCTCAGACGCTGCGTCACATTATTACTCTTTCAAACATGAAGAAGTGGAATCAGCAATCTCGACCTTACCCAATGCCTGTGGACCAAATATATGACTGGGATGAAGATGAAGTCATGCTTTCTTTGGACTTATAGTTTTAGTATTGATTGGCCGTAGCAGAAGAGGTCATTAACGTATGCGACATTTCTCCTCTCACGGACAAGATTTCTGTCATCGAAAGCTTGTCGCTATCATTCCTTCTGATATGAGTACATCTTCGGTTTTTATTATATTTCTACAATCCAGTTTGGAGCCTGTAAACTGAACCTAGTAAGTCATTTAGTTTTTGAACTGGATTAGTATGGTTGTATGCTGGAAAATTGGACAATTTTTTAGGTAACCAAACTTCTTTTTGTAATCTTTTGCATATTGATCATGCCTTCTTCGCAACTTTCGTCATACGGTTTTTCTTTTACTACATTTATGCGATGCTGTTGTGCTGCATTATTGCGTTTCATTGTATTGAAATATGTTTATTTTTTAACTTTATTAAGACCAGGCTTCTTGTTGATTTCATTGTAACTACAGACATGAACGCTCTGACGATGGAAACTTACCACGCCTTGTATTGTTGTGTCAAGCTCAGCTTTCATTATGACTATTATTTAACACGTTTTTTTATGTGAAGCCTTTGATCTGAGTGAAATAACTTAGCATAAGTTAACATATGGAATTTTTTAATCAGTTGGGGTTAATCTAAGTGGAAGTCCTATTCGAAATTTAACTACTATGATTTTAATACCGGGTATGGTGAACAAACCTGTGATTTGAATGAAGACCGTTTCCGTCGCTTGACCAACTGGTGAAATCTCGAAGTATTTGTAAATTTTGTTTAACTGGATAGCAAGTCTGTTGATGTGGGTGAACATAGCGATTGCTCTGATCCAATCAGTCAGCGACTGTGATTTGTACAGACTGTCGTTTGTCTTGTAAGTAGTAAGTACATCCTCTGGTGCCTCACGCTCACAAATGTATAATAAATATCTTACAGTAACAGTTATTCTAATGGAGTCTTTTTATTTTGCTAGACACGAGTGTGTGTTATACTAATGAAAGCACCTGAGCGCCCTCCAATGATTGACCGATGTCATTAACAAGTTTAAAAGCCGTTGTGTTTAAGACGGCAAGTTGGAAGTTTCGATTTGAAATTAAAAATTTCACAAAGGAATCAATGTGCCCGAGTTTAATGTGCGTCTTTTAGACTACGATCCATAAGTTATGGTTTTGTTTCTATCTACTTTCGCGAGTTCTTTTAATGTAAATAATATAAATACGTAGGTGTACAGTATATGAGCTTTCTGATTCAGTGTATTTTTCTCCTTTTATACTTTGATTCCTTCGTCTGGATCGCAACAATGACCGTGGACGTACCTTCAGCTGAAATTTTTACGAACAAATTCTAGTTTCTCTATTATTTGGTTTGTACCCTGAGATTCACTCACCATTTTCTAATATATTAGTAAAATTCACTTCCCTTTGTTTGAACTCGGTACACCAGGTATTGAGAATTCACGCGTATCTTGAAAGATTTTAGTGAAATTCAATTCATTTTATTTGAACTCTTGCATCAAGCATTGAGATTCCCCGTGTATTTTGACGCGACGTAACTCAGCCTTCCGCTGCCGACTAATTTTTGGCCGTACTATAAAAAATAGTTCTATCAAAAAGTTCGTAACCCCGTTAGCCAATCACTACGTCTTCTTAAGATGAACGAAACCACCAATCACAGTCGAGAAATCGGTCGCTACGTGTACGTCTCGGTCGTCGAGAAATCGGTCGCTACGTGTCTACTACGTGAGCTACATGTACGTAAGCGAGACTTTAAAAGTGCGGTTCATGGACATGTTGAGGCAAACGAGAAAGTTTTTTGCTCTTCTTTTATAGTCCCTAAATTAGACCAGTAAAAATCTTGGATACGAATATTATCATACATAAGATATTGAATTAAATATTGAGTGTATCAGAATATTCAAAATGAACTGAAATCTAAAAAGTCGCACTCTGCCACTAAGTTAAACATTGACTCGTCAAACTTTGCATTACTCGGTTAATGTTGAGATGGGAGTTTTTTTTTTAATTATATTCTTTACTTCGGGGTTTTAGCGAGAAAAGGAAATGAATGTAATCGAAGACACAAAAGAAATATGATTTTTTTTCCTGTGGTCAAAGTATAAGAGTCGACCATAAGAAGCGTGAACCGGATAGTGTGTAATATTTAGGGATAAAATTAGTCGGAAATAGAATAGAAGTGTCGGCACTGAAGAAATAGGCCCATGGCCTGTTGCCGATTTTTTAATTTTTTCGCGACTTGATTCACAAGGGATCCAGCATTTGGAACCCGATCTTTCCATAACTGACAATTGATTGATATAGCTGCTGGACTTATTGCCTGGTCCGTAATTTGCTTGACATTTTAAGACTGAACATAAGCTCCTGCATAGCTTCGTCTAGTCTGTTTTTGAAGGCGTTCATACTCGGAGCGGCTTGGTGGCGGCTCTCAAATTAATGATAGCGATAATAGTATTTGAGCTGTCAGCTTTGACAACGCCATTACACCCGTTGCCGATTCTGAACGCCGCTTAATTTCCTCAGCATGTTACTGGTCGCGAAAGTGTTCCTCACTGCTCCAATTTTGTTGTGCTTGACCGTCCGGCAACACATCGATTTTCACATAGGGCTTTTTTTTTAACATCAAAAATAGCTTGCAGTTCTAACTCCATCAGGCAAGCGGCAAGCACTGATGGCTTTTTAATCTAATCTCGCTAATCGAGAAGGAAAAATTGGCCGCTATGTGCCTACGGATACATTTAACCGCTGTCAATGTTAGTCGGATATTAATGCCTGGGACTGGGAGACTGAACTGTCACAGGAGCTGGGATCGAACCCACAACTCACTGCTCACATATCTCGGTATTCCGAACTGTTGTTACCATGGACTGGGTCATCTCTGATGATGGCAAAATTGAAGGAAAAATGCATGATTTATACTGAAATTCAGCCTCAAGCGGCTGCTGACGACCATAATGGATTTAGTAAAATTTCCTGCCAAGCAAGTGCAACTCGCCGCTACGACGTTCCTTCGTTTTGTTTCACTACAATGGATCTTCATTAGAGAAGTTCTAGACATGCGAAAGCGACAGGAAAAATAGCTACTGATGTGCGGCCATTTTCAGAGTTTCATTCCCGTGTTTATTTTAAAAGTCTATAAGGACTCGTACATGTCGACATATTCTTTTTAGATTTTTTTTACCTATAACTTCTTCTCCGTTACTTTCATGCTCATGATTTTTTATATATATCTAATTTTTAGGGCTCAATAATACTTCTATAGTTCATATAAGGAAATATTCAAACGCGTTGTAATAAAGAATTATGTGATCTGTCATCGTGTAAATACTTGAATCTCACTCAAGTTTATTAAATTTTTTGTTATGAGTTAGGAAATACGCCATATATACATATTATATACATTACTATGTAAGTCATAATACGTAATTAGAGTGAGGAAAACATGAAATAAGCATTATACATGGACAAACATTCCAATATTTACTTAATAGCTTGTAATAAAGCTTCCTATGGAAGACATTTCTTCATATAATATTATCGAATAAGTTCAAATATCCGTTTTAAATTTTACAAGGATGATGCGAAATTCTGAAAACAAAATGGAGCTATCCACAAAGTCGACTGAGTTGTAAAACAAGAAAATGAACACAGACGCATCGCAGTTAACCGAATGCATATGAAAATGAAATGTTCATTGGTTACCAGCAGCTTCTTTCGCTTGCGAGCTTCTCATTGGCTCATAATGGCCTTCAACAGCCAATGAGAATCGTGGTGACAAGCTCTGTAGATCAAAGGGGTGCTATCCATTTGGTTTTCTCTGAGAAATCGTTCTATAAGCAGACATCAAACCAGAAAGATCTCACTTCGACTCAAGCTAGTGTTAAGTATCGTTGTGCTGCGTTTCTTCCTCGGAAAAAGTGCAAAAATGCTAAATTTGTTAGGATCTAGGCTATCAAGTATTTCGTTATGTTCATCTCTGCCTTTTGGCTTATTTCGGGACCCCAATGTAATCCCGAAGGTTTTGAGGATAACTCAAAATTCTCCTTGTACATTGTCTTGTCTCGACTCGCGGCCATTATGGACGGGTTCTCTGCTCTACCGAAACAACGAGAAGAGAGAGAATGTCAAGAATATTTACGATGATGGAGCTCAAGGCGAATACTCCTTCACAGTCGAGAACAAAGAGAAGTAAGTCTTGCATTGAATGATATTGTTGAATGAATGCCTTTTGTTTTAATATGTATTTTGGCATGTACCTACCTAACATCTCTTTGAAACTGGAACTCTGCCTTGTGGGCTAACTTGGAGTTCTCTGGTGTCTTGTCACTCTTCAACTCTTGTGAAGTTGTGATGTTAATCTTCCTTGAACTTTGCACAAATTTGATGAATAATATACTATGTGTATTTGGTACTAACATGTAATTTTGATTTGCATGTTGAATTTTATTGAAAATTTGTGGTTTTTGTGTCACTGTTTATGATGTTATGTTGCCAGTTTGTAATCCAACTTTATCATAAGGCTAGTCACAAATCAATTTGGGCTATTATTTGCTCCAATCATTCTAATGTTGTAAGGTTATGCTTTAACAGGCAAATTTTTTGTAGGAAAGAACTAAGTAATAAGCCTTTAAAGTTTATACCTACTATAGAATGCCAATTAGAATTGTTTGAAATTATGTTTTTCTAATTGAATTATGGAATTGAAGTTTTTTAAGTATTCTAAAGCATTGAAGTTTGATTGAACTACGATAAGATATTTTTGTTGAAATTTATTTCTTAATCACATGGAATTTGTCAAATTTTTTCATCATCCTATATTCCTATGCTTTTAACATATTGGGAATTATGACTAATAAAATTGAACGACTTATTCATTTGTATTATTATTATAGTAGACAAGTAGAATAAGTAGATTAGTAGCTTAGCTGTTCCTAATTGTAAATTTGTTCAAGAATCAAGAAAATGATGAGAGAATCAGTAAATTGTTTGAGTTCAATTCTCCTTCAAAATTAAGATGGTATGTAAATGTAATTAAAACTGAAATTAGAGCATCATAGATTTGAGGGAAGAAAGGTACTTGTAAGTTGTACTCTTGTACTTGTAGAGTGTAGAGTGTAGACACTGTGAATGTCATTGAAGTTTTTCTTAATTGTTTTAAGATTTAGGTGTTTGAATTCCTACAAAAAATTCAAGTTATGCATTATAATTGTTTTCTTAGTTTTAAAGTATGTATGTGATAAAGTTGGATAATGATTTGCATCACATTTTTGAGTGATGGACTGATGGTAATTTGTAAGAAATGTCTTATTGGTCTGCAAATTACTCTTCAAAAGTACTAGATCAAGTATATATAGAATTGGGTCTTGTATCAAAACAAAGAATTGAATATCAACTTCAAAGTTGAGTTGATGCTACCTATGTTATCATTGGACATTGATCACTATCAAATGGAGCTTGTTAATCATTGTTTTAATCTCTTAGATCATTGCAATGGCCGTACTTTCACTTCTATTAGACTGCATTGTGATTGTAAAAAAAAACACCTTTCAAGAGAAGCTTTGCTTGCTAAAGAAAAATCTTATTGCATGTTTTGTCAAGCTGAAGTGAACTTGGTGAATCATTATTACTTGATAATGGATCAATGGCTGATTTTATTATTAGACTTGGGAGTTGGGACAATGGGAATGGTTTAAGATTGTAAATCAACAAACTACCTAAATAACAGAATGCTGCACTTACGGTTTATTCTAAGAATATGACTGGAACATACTGAAATTTGCAGCATTATTTAATGGTTATTAGATGATTGTAAGAGCTCTTTTTAAAACTTGGTATTTTCATGTTTTTTTAGGTTTGATGGGGTCTTCCCTGATGAGAACACACCAAACATGTTGTTTGATGATGTCAAGTTTTCTGATCTTCATATACTTGAAATAAAAGTTTCCAAGAACAACACAATCATGGGGGTCTTTGATACCAAAGGTAGGCTGTAGCTTTTTAACCATTAATAGCTCAGACAGTAAAAACACATTGGATTATTCAGAATCAGATCATCTTTCATTATCTTGGCTCTCAATTTTCTGTCACTTTATCCATCTGTAACTTGGTCGTCATGGCATTGTGAGATAGGAAAGCAATTTCTGCCATGCTAATGTAATGTTAAATGAGGTGAAGAGATTTTTATGACATTATTTGCTTGCAGGTAAGCTTCTGATGAACCGGTCGTGTCGCTCTGAAGGCTTTAGACACGCACGCAAGAAGACAGCCATTGCTGCACAGGCCACCGGCTTCAGTCTTGGAACTGTGAGTCATGAGTGACTTTTGGAATCTCAAAAATGAATATTGGTGCACAAGTTACTAACACATAAGAAATAAGTCTTGTAAATTGTTGAAGAAAACTAGTTGTATTGCATCATTAATCATGATATCTTTGAGTCCATGTATCATTATTCATTGTGTGAAGAGACAAAATATCATTTCTAGGTGCCAAGATAAATCTTATATTCCTTGCATTGTGATTTACTGAATGCTGCTTCATGAGCATTATTTTTGTCTTTTATTAAGGCTGAGTTGATTAATTGAGATTGCTTCTATTTGACTGGAATCAGTGTAAATTATTATTTGCTCATGCTCCTATACCCTTATTAATTAATATATATATATTAATGAATGTTGTACACTTGTACCTCATATGCTTCTTATGGTAGCTCCTAATGCTTTCTTATGGGACCAGCGCAAAGAATTGAAATTTCTGTAAAATTTACTATAAATTATATTATGTTAGTTACTCCAACCTCCATGTGGCTTATCCTCCCCCTATTGCTTTGCAGTTGATGTACCAGGCCGGCATTAAGACGGTGCGAGCCAGGATACGAGGACTAGGATCAGGCAGAATTGTAAGTGGTACATAAAGTTGATTGCGTTTTGGTACCAATTTACTGCATAGTTGCTGCAAAATTCTTGTCTTCAATATGAGCATTAAATTATCAATACCATTACTACTCCACAATGTACCATGGCAATACCATGACTAGCACTGCTTGGAAATTGGTACCGCACTACACAACCATTACAACTATAAAACTGTCAAACTCAACACCTAAAACTGCTAATTGTTGACTTGACAAAACCGGTGCAATTTTTTTCCTGCACTATATTGCCCAATCACTGCTCTGCACTACATTGCTACATGCTACTACAGTCATTGCTCTGCACTACAGATCCACTACAGTCATTGCTCTACTCACCATGCCACTACAGTCATTGCTCTATTCTACCTTGCTAATACAGTCATTGCTCTCCATTACATTGCAAACTCAATCTTGGTACAACTTTGCGAGTGCAATCCTTGTGCGACATTCAAATGCAATTTTTGTACAACATTGCATGTGAAATCTTTGTGCAACATTGCAAATGCAATCTTGGTACAACATTGCAAGTGCAATCTTGGCACAACATTGCGAGTGCAATCTTGGTACAACATTGCAAATGCAATCTTGGTATAACATTGCAAGTGCAATCTTGGCACAACATTGCAAGTGCAATTTTGGTACAGCATTGCAAGTGCAATCTTGGTACAGCATTGCAAGTGCAATCTTGGTACAACATTGCAAGTGCAATCTTGGTACAACATTGCAAGTGCAATCTTGGTACAACATTGCAGTACAACATTGTGGGTGCAATCTTGGTACAACATCGTGAGTGCAATCTTTGTACAACATTGCAAGTGCAATCTTGGTACAACATTGCGAGTGCAATCTTGGTACAGCATTGCAAGTGCAATCTTGGTACAACATTGTGTGTGCAATCCTTGTACATCATTGTGAGAGCAATCTTTGTCCAACATTGCAACTGCTATTTCTCAACATTGATTTGACAGTAGTTGCTGAACTATGCAGAATTGATACTGCAATCCCAATTTTTACAATATTTCGTTTGCCTCTGCAATCGTTGTCTTTTACCACATTATATCTACACTCATTGCATTTTGTCACATTGCCTCTGCAATCATGGCACATTGTCACATTTCGTCTGCAATCGCTGAACTATACCACATTGCCTCTGCAATCACTGCACTTTGTTACATTGCCTCTGCAATCATTACACTTTGTAACATTGCCTCTGCAATCATTGCACTTTGTCACATTGCCTCTGCAATCATTNTTGTCACATTGCCTCTGCAATCATTGCCACTTGTCACATTGCCTCTGCAATCACTGCACGCAGCTACATTACCACCACTTTGTAAGAGTAGCCCTTAACGCTCAGTTAGAGTGAATAATTCTGTCGCATGTTTTCCTGTAGTGATTTTTTAGTGTAGTTTCAAACTTGTTGAATATCTTAAGAATTCTCTTTCAACTTATCTTGATACTTTGAACAACGGGATGAAAATCTTAGGTGTCAATGCTGTTAATTATTGCAACTCAAAATTTCCTCATTATTTTTGTCCACCTCAATTTAATACTAATAATTTTGACCCCCATAATTTCAATATAGTCGCAAAATGTTGAATAATTTTTTTTCGCTTGAACAATTATCTGGTATTATTTACGAAATTTTGTATCATTCATATTTTATATTAAATTCAATTTTGTTTTATTTGAAGTAATCAATTGTATTAATTTCTTCACATGGGTCCGTAGCAATACCTATATATACGTTTTCATATAAAGTTCTTACTTTCGTGATGCTTGTTAATACATGAATGTTTTTTCATCTATTGTCGACATTGAATTGATTTTTATGTGAACCTACTCAGTCCATTGATGAAGCTTGCTTTTTCATACAGTGAAATTTGAAATTAAGAGGCAACGTCCATACCTTTTTGTTCGATCAATTTTTCAACTTGTCTAGTAAACTTGTCATAAAAGACATTAATTTTTTACGTTGTCTTTAGCGCTCACGCTTTCTTACGTCATTATTTTCTGTATCTTATAAATATATATGTACAGGTGCCTATACTACCTGATCACGTCCGATGATGCGAGATGTATAAATGTTACGCATACCGTCATATTATAACACATCAACGAGCAGCTTTTACAGTGGTTGAGGCATTTTAATCATGCCATGGTAGTAAATACATTTTCAACTTAGTGGTTCACAGTAAATATTTTCCGTTACAAATTTGATTCATCTGCAGGATTTGGTTTCATTTTTGCTTTAGGCTTTTTCTTGGTCACTTTATTCTCGATAACGGAGCAAGGTCTGAGCTTATTAGATCTTTAAATAATGAAGTTTAGCCTTTTGTTCTGTTGTGAGAAGCCAACTGTGCAAATATTTTGTTCACAATTTTTTTCATCACTATCTTCATCTCGTTCATGTATTGAAGAATGAATTTCTTTGAATTCATCTAATTATACGTCCATTAAATGGTATCTAAATTTAGCCACCCTCCAGTTCCATCTGAAGTAACGTGAAAACGGAGAGTTGACAAATTTGAAGTCTTTGATTTTCTTTAAATATTGCAATGGTGGCGTTTCTTTGTGGCTTCAAATGTTGAGAGATTGTTTTCAATTGACATCTGCGTTCATTTCAACTTTTTTATTGAAGAATGAAGCGAATTGTTGCTATAGAATCTTCATTTATTTCTTGACTTGCAGAGTAACTGAATTGAACCCAGCTTAATTTATTCTTTTTTCTTGTTGATTTCAGGCCGGTATCAAAGGAATATCTCTATCCGGCGTCAATGTGGTGGCCATATCAGACTTTACTGATATCAACTACACCAATGATCCTCGACCGAAGAAACGAAGACGTATTTAAATGGAGTTCTCTAGTCACGTATTTTGTTAAATAAACATTTGAATCGACATGGTTTTTTAATTATTCTTCTGTGAAGTTAATCGAAAATAGCGAACGTCGCCAAGCTTTATTTTAATGACAATAGTAACATTTTTCTACATTTGATAATGCAAGATTTTCCACTCTTAGCGTTTTCATCTAGAGAAAACTTCATGTGAGCGATGGCAACATCAGAGAAGACCTAGATAGTATCAAAATGGCGATAGTAACAGTCAATTACAACGAGATGCAAGGTCGTGCTTGTCTTCACCGCGTCGTTTAATAATCAGCTGATCTAAGAACGTACTTTTGTTTTGAAGTATTGCAATACAGTTGATTGCGTTATTAGTTTATTCCGTAAGTTAACTGCATATTCGACTTCAAAAGTTATTCTTCAGTCGACGTGACTTCGGGAGATAGAAAAGTTGAGCGTTGGCGTGGATGAAAAATTTTACAATATAAAAAGAATATACAATGAAGGTTTGTAAATGAATATTAAATCAATTGATGTGCTGAATGCTGATCTAGAGAAAATAAATTTCATGCTGAAAACAATAAATGGCGGTGACATTGTCTGCTGCTGGACTCTACAGTCCTTGATAGTTGATACGATGCTTCACAGTTAATTTATAGGTTGACGTAACTTCTTTTCAGATTGAAAAAGCAACGCATTTAAAACTTGGTATTTTACTTTCATAGGATAAAATTAGTCTTATTCACTAAATTGAAAACAAATTTATACTTTTTTGGTATTAACTTCTACCGGTGCTAGGCTGCTAGCTATCTGCAAAGCCTCGGGGCTTATATGTTATATTCTTCCTTTCAAAATATTAAATCGTCACGATAGTATTTTCACTTCAGCTGTCAACGAGTTATGTTTAAGAAGCTAAAAATTAGTAAATCTTTGTAATAGGATGGTACTTGGGCTACAAAAGGGAATCTGTATTTTATCTGTTTTTCATGTTTAGAAACTCTTTACTGAGACTGAGACATGATGCAATAAGTCTGACTCTGATTTATACTGGATCTAAATTTTGTATTTAAGTAATAATATACTAATTCCTACTTTATATTTCAAACTTCATACTGCTATGGATATCTATGTATAAAAAAAAAAACTTAATATAAAGATCCAGTTTGGGATAGCTTGAATTAACTTCTTGCATTTCAAGCCTGCCAACAAAAATTTTTACACAAAAACTACCTAGGTACCTATCTTTGATTTTTGAATTCAGATTCATTTAATTTACATCAATGACTCCAGTGACTTGGATGACTATTTTGCACTGAAAATTGCATGGTGGTTTCATTACTTTCATAACACATAAAAACTTTTTCAGTTTAATTTTAGTTTCTTAAATTCTAGCTTAGCCTGCTTACAGCTTAGGGAAGGTTGCAGAGCTCTGCCTGAAGCATGAAGCATTGAATAAGCTTGAGACATTCTGCCAAAGTGAGTGGCCTAGGTTACAGTTCCTGGGAGAGGAGAATCACTAAATGAATATCAGAAAATGTAAAAGATCATGTGGGATCAATTGATTTATTTTTATGACTGACTCAGGACTGGAATTTTCTCACTTATTACTGAAACATAACAGCTCTAAAGTGATGAATTTTGATACATTTGGAATCTTGCAGCCTGATCACGTACTTTAATAAATAATACCTAAGATGGGAGGTAGGCCTAATTCATCCAACAGCAATCTTGCAGCTCCACAAACAACAAGAAAGCTCTAGTTGTGGCTTGCAACTGCAAGGTAGATATATAAGAAGCAACCATTAAAAAACAGACATTCTGAGTGATGGGCAAAATTAGTAGTACATACCACTATACCACATTCTCCAAGTATGTGCATATTCAATGGACCAGGTTGCAGAAAGTAGGTAAATATTGAAAGATCTTTGGCGTCGCAGCAGCAGTAAAATTTATGCCTTCAGATGATCTTGCCAGATGATCACATTTGGATTGAAATTGTTGCATTTTAGTAATTACTTTGAAATCATTACAAATCTGGAAGACTGCAAGCACACACAGTAAGGTTTCTTGTGTGTCCAGACAGTCCAGTGCCAGATAGATCAGGATGCGGTGAAGCTTGTTCAGAAATCAGTTGCAATGATGCAGTGCGTGGAGAGTAAGGGATATACTATCAAAGTTGTTAGCTGCATTTTCTTACTAAAAATTACCTGGTGACCTATCTTGAAAATGACTGGTGATGCTTTGGACTAAAAATCCATATATTGGTGACACTGCTTGCACTTTCTGCACTCTGGGCTATGGACATTTATCAATTAGGATGCCAAGCATTGCTGCTCTAGAGGCTAGAAGGCCATGTATGATTATCATAATTTTTTTGTTTGAGTGTCTTGGTTGAGGAGGATGAACTGGCTGGAGTCTATTTGGTTGATTAAGGCTGCGCCTCGGGCAGCCGCGCAGTCATCCTGAGTAGCGGAGAACCACACAGGGTTGTGAGCGTTGAAGTCACCTCAACATCCTCAAATCACTTGCCAGAACCAACTGGGGACAGCAGAAGGAAACCCTCTTGGTGACTTTCAAGGCTCTTATAAAGTCTCTCATCACTTACGCTCCCCCAGTGTGGTTCCCTAACACCTCTCCTTTGGCAATCTCTAAGCTGCAAACCATTCAAAACTCTGCCCTCCGCATAGCCATGGGATCTCTTCAAATAGCCTCCGCTTCCCACCTGCACAGCAAAGCTGAGGTCTTACCCGTGGCCGAACACCTCTCTCTACTCTGCTCACAGTACCTTGCCAGTGCTCTTCAATCACACCATCCTAGCTAATAGCTACCCTATCGTCACCCAGACATCGGGGCCCTGTCCCATGAAGCACATACCCCAGACCCCCTTCCTCCCTTTGGTCTCTCACCTGCTGGAGGACAGATCCCCCCCCCCAGCACCTACTCCACTGCCCTCAGCACCCTGCACAGCTCTGCTGTCTCCTCCTACCTGGCCTCAGCAGCTCCCAATAAGTGGCTGCTGACCCCTGCCCCCACTGTCTCATCCAGCAAGCTATCCCTCCCCAGAGCGGCCAGAAGCACCTACTCTCTATCTACTCAATGCGGCTCAACTTGTACCTTGCCCACATTGGTGCAGCTAATAGCCCTCTCTGCCCTGAGTGTGGTGCAATGGACCACATCTCCCATCACCTCTTCAACTGCTTTTTGCATCCCACCTCGCTTACCCCACTGGACCTCTGGTCTAACCCTGGACTGACTGCGGTTATTCTCTCATCGCTTCCGTCCATCTCCAACATCCTTGGAGTGGAACCTCCGCTCCCCCCTCCTCCACCGGAGCCGCTGCTATTGCAGGGGTACCGCCGAGCAGCGGTCCTGGGCAACTAACAACAACAACAACATCACAATTTTTTGCGAAACTTCTGTGCACTTGTCGTTTTTCTGATGATGTCTGATTTTTGTGAGCTGCCATCAAGTTTTGCTTTCTTCTGTGAAGAACTGGGAACAAAATGCTTCAGACATCCTTCAAAGATGATGCTATGGAAGAATGCAAGTTTATTAATAGTTTTCCCTTTTTTAAAATTGGGAAATTTCAATTGGCAACTAGTCCAAATTGTACTTCCACTCACTGCACTGAAAAAATGTTCTGAAAATTATGGACCAAATCCCTATAGATCAATATAGACATCTTGACAAACTTGCAGAACTGTCCAAAGTGACTTGAAGTTCACTCCAGCAAATTTTAAAAGATTTTGGATAAATGAATAAAAAAGTCATTTTTTAGTCCCCCTGTATTCAACACCAGATTACAGCAAAATAAAAGAACAACATGGGTGAAGGAGGCCATACTTTTTGGCTTTGATAATGCTAATTTATAGTCCCTTTAATGATGCTAATTTATTGTCAACCAATCACCTCTTGTGTAACACAAGACGTGTCTGATTGACTGACATATGTTGACATAGTCAGCCATCACTTCAGTGTGGCACACCAGCTAAGGAAAAAGTTAGCTTTGCTAATTAGTGGTTAGCTAATTAGTGGACTGTGCTTACCACTGATCTTGATATAAAACCCCATTTTAGAGTCTGAGCCCTTCCTTTTTTGTGTCTGGTTAATAGAACAGTAAGGTATTGTCAATACCAGCATTATCATATTTATGATATTGAATGTAATTTTGAAGCAGATCAGGGATATTGAAAATTAACCAGCTCTGAGAATCATTTCTGCCACTATTGTTGCTTCTTTACATGGAAGTCAATTTCAGAGTAAGATGGCTTCATGGGAAGCTCGAACGACTACCAATATTTTGACCTAAAAGGCCTTACTTCATAGTCTGGTATCTTGGTGTAAATATTTTCTTATTTAAATGAAGGACCAGGTTTAGAGAGCAATTATTGCTTTCATCATTGGAACAGCTTAGCAATGCTGAGGAACTGGGTGGAAGTCAACAACTACCTCCAACTAAGTTATAATATTTTACTTACTACAATGTGAAAATTATGAACATCAAATCAAAAGTCATTTTTAAAACACCACTGACAGCATCATTACACTATCACCCAAAGTCATAATCAACTGGCAACTTCTACTGCTTCAACATGACTTATGTATATAAATTTTTTGACTTTGGAAAAATACATAAAATAGAAAAAAAGACAGAAAAATAGTTCTTATTCCATCATGCTCACTTTCACTGCCTACCACAAAACAATTTGGCATGAACTTAAAATGCTAAACCATAGTAAAAGCTGTCTTTTAGAAGCCTCTTATGAACAAGACCAAGGAAACTAGATGTGATTGATGGTAGATGTGATTGATGGTAGATGTGATTGATGGTAGATGTGATTGATGGTAGATGTGATTGATGGTAGATGTGATTGATCGTAGATGTGATTGATGGTAGATGTGATTGATGGTAGATGTGGTGCATTCAGAATGCAATCATCAATATTAAAGCTTTTTAAATGAAATAACTATATAATATATCAATTTAAAACATCACATACAAATTGAATTTTGCTAAAATACTGCGAGGCTTGGATTTACAATTGAGAAGAATTAAAGTAAAATTCTTGCTCTTTAGATCTGAAGTTTGAACAGACTAATGATGATTATTGGGCAATCACATTTTTGTTCACTTACCAGTGTCTTTCTTATGGAACAGTTGCTACAGAAGCAGCAAATCACATTGAACAAAAACAGCATCATGAAAAGAGTTGAAGTATTGTAGAAGTATTGAATTGTTTGTGGGAGGAGTTTGATCAATGATAGCATTCTGCACATCAATGGCACCACTTTTGGAAGGGATTGAAATTTATTAAACATAAAACTTTCTCACATTCACTCCTATAGCTGGATTATGGATTGCAGATGTGGTGATCTCAAGTCAGACATTTGCATCTGGCAGTCAAGTCACTCATAGTCAAGTATTCAGAAGTACATTCACTGCACTGACCCCATGTCAACTTATTGGTTTGATTGGTTTATATTTCTGATTGATTAATAATCAATCAGAAATGTAGAAATGAAAATTCATGATGCATTTGCTGTATTGAAAATAATTCAATCAACTGCAGTTGTTCCATTTTAATTTCTTCAGGGCTGTAACCTTATTGTTCCCACCAAATGTTTTGTGTTTGTTTTATGACTTTCATTATCCAAGTGTGCTTTTTATTCAACAGGAACACAAAGTAAGTGAGTCTGACTCGGATGGATCTGGCAGCAGCTCTTCACTGCTTGATGCCTCCCCATCCCCACATGATGGTAATACCACCAAGGACAAGATTTCTTCCGATGAGGAGGAAAATGAGTCCCCCAACACATCCCGCACCACCAGGTCATCAAACACAACCAATGAGTCACACAAAACCAAAGATTCTGATGATGAGGAGGATGATGAAGAAAACAAAACTTCATCTGACAGAAATGCTAATGCCAGCAGATCTGAGAGGTGTGGCCCCAGTTGATACACTTTAATTTGTCTTTAATTAAATCCTTCAGATTTCATGATGTAATATTTTTTTGGAATATCGAACTGATATATTTTTCCATTTAATATAATTAACAAGTTTATTAAATTGTCATTGAGGTAACTTATTGCCTTGATGTGCATGTCAAATATTTATTTTCTGTGCTTTAAGCTGATGCTCATCTGAGCAGCAGCTCTTCACCCATTTATATGGTAAGTGAAGGCCAATACTGAATTTAGTGTATGGAAAGTGTTGTAATTAGTAAAATTGTTTTATTTGGCAGAGGCAGCAGTGTTTCTGGAAGTGATTCTAATGGCAGCAACAATGGGTCTGATTCTGATGAAAAGTCAGATGATGATGATGACGATGATGATGAAGACAAATCAGATGCTTCATCTGATAGTGAAGCTGAAAACAACAATGGAGACGAAGATGATGCTGATAGTGATGCTTCTGGACACTCTCATAGTTCTTCAGAAAGTGACAGCCATCGGACAACTAAGAAGAAAAACCAACCCGTAAGTTTTTATCCATATGTACATAACAATCTACGGTTTTGTGGTTGCCAACAAATTTAACTTCACTTTGTGTTAGTGGCAAACCAAAAAATGTTGAGAATGCAGTTAAATTTTAATTTCCTGATCTACTTCATGATTTAACTCAGTATCTCATGTTTATATGCTTATGATGGTATCCATTATACTTTCTGATCCACTTATAAAATAAGAAATGTTAACACAAGTGTCACTTATTTGCCACTGTTCAGCAACAAGTATACTTTGTATCTCCATGTACATAATTATTGGTTTAGATTTGTAATTCTTTATCCAGCTTAATATATATTTATCATCAAACATAACCAGTAGCACTCTTTTTGTTCATTGACCAACACTTTGACTTTGACGGACATGGAACTTTGACAATTTCTTGTTTTAAAATAATTCAAGTAATAATTATAAAATGTTTATTTTTTGCAGGCTTGGGAGCACAACCCTGACATGTATGGCGTGAGACGCTCAGGCAGAGACAGACGCCAGCCTCCTCAACAGGCACCTGTCGCATCTCGTGACACGGGCAGCAAAAAACCTGCGTCATCTAAACCTCAGTAAGCAGATTCCTAAGCTTGCACTCAGGATATTTTATGCTCTGCTTCATTTTTGCTGCACATGCATCATAAAAACTATGATAATAGTTCCTCTATAGTTTAACTAATCTGACTCAAAAATTGTAAGGAATCCCTGATTTTTCATTTTGCAAAAAGGAAAAATTTATTAGATAATTATGAACACTAAATTATTTGAGATTTGGTTATAAATATTATTATCATTGTTCTAAAGCTCTCTTTTGAGTTAATTTAAAAATAACAATAAAACATTGATTTCAGCATATGAATTGTTTGGTACGTAATTTGTTTGATTTTATCTTCTCTATTGCCAACTTGTCATGAATTCAAAACTTTATTTAACTCAAATAATGTTTACTGCTGACAATGAATTATTCCAGCATTAATATAATCGCATTATTTAATTAATGTAATTTTTATTTAGTTTGTATAATTACTAATTATATTGATAATTATTATTATTGCAGTGGTTGATTGGTTTCTCGTATGTGCAGTAAATGGAGAAGCTCTGGGTCATCTGGCAGTGACTCAGACGCTAGCCCAGCACCCCGACCGGCCACGTCAGGGCAGGGCAAGCGCTCAGCCATGGAGCAGCGCCGGTATGTTGAGAAATTTATTCATCATTATATGGCTTTATATATATAGGGCTTATTTCTCATAATTATACTTCACTTGAAGTTATTTTAACAAGTAATATATTTTGTCTAGTTGGATTTAATGTCAATTTGGAAAATGTTTATAAATTGCATTTACCATGTGTACACTGAAGAAAATCTTCCTTTGCTTTTTGTGATTCTTTTTTGCAAGATAAGGTGCATTTGTCACTGCAAAGATTAATGCATCTTATACCGAAATTAGTCACGTTTCCTTGCTGTGGCTTGGTATGTAATTACTTAAGTCATTGTTGTGTGGCTTATCTGTTAGTCATTGTTAAAATCTTGCGTGTCGTGTTTTAGATTAAGTATCAGTTGTACACTATTGTCTTGCCGCTTTCAGACGAATTGCGCGCTCAGGCGGCGCAATAAGCTACAAGGAAGACGAGAGCAACAGCGACGACAGCTACGTCACTGAAGACGATGATGACGAGACCAGTAAACCCAAGCAGGCAGAGGAGGAGAATGCACAGACCATTGAGAAAATTATACACCATAGGATAGGCAAACGGGGAGGTGGGTGTCGCCAAACCTGCGTCAAGCTCATCCGCGAATGAGCGTTAGTATAAGCATAATAATAGGACAATTATATTACCATAGTTATAGTGTTGAGCGCAAGAATTATGGTTGAGGTATGGTCTAAGGGCCATGCAGGCAGAAAACAACAAAATAAAGATAAGAGGATGGGAATTTTTTTTAGTTTTAGATTTAGACTCGTACACTGCGAATGATAGCGAACATTCAGATAGAAGATAATCTGCCTACTTGTCTAGAGTGTTTTGAGTTTATATCTATACAAAATTGTCATTCCCAGTTCACACAAAGAGCTGTAGAATTTTCGTATCAGGATCTAAATTTTAGCCCGAATAAATATCTATTACGTACAGCTTTGGGGCCAAATGATTCAATAATATTGTAATATACTTGCAATGAAATTATTCCTAAATGAACAAAATTTTTATATTTGATTCATGACGATTGAGAGCTGACTTCAAATGAATCACAACACCTAGTCTGTTTACAATATTACTATTTGAATTATTTAAAATTCTCGATTTATTTTTCTCATTTTAGATCTTGTTTCACATATTAATTTACCAATTTTAGGGTCGCGGGTGTTTTATTGAAATGAAAGTGTGTCCAAAAATATTAATGATGTATAATTTTTTCAGCGGTGGGCATGCAGACCTACATATACGAGGTGGAGAAGAAGGGCGACCCCAACACAGACTTCGACCCTGAAGACCCCAGCCAAGTCGAGCGTCAGTTCTTGGTGAAGTGGAAGGGCTGGGCACACATACATAACACATGGGAGTCTCAAGAGTCGCTTAAAACACAGAAGGTGAGAGCCTCATGATGTTCAAAGAATGTATGCATAAAAAATGTGTAGTTCTGTGCTATTGCCAGCCAATACTCTCACCGAGCCTACTGTAACTTTGAAGAAGCTAATATGTTAGAAAATCTAACAGTTGATCATTTTTAACTTTTCCGGGTTGTAAAATATAATATTTCCGTCTTTCTCCCGTTATTTTGCTTTAAAAAATTGATGGATAAAGATTGAGTTCTACAATAAACTGAAATATTTTGTTTGATGCAATAGTCTATCACAATATGTTCTATTCTATCTGCTTAGCGCATTTATCAGAATATTCTGCTGCCCTAGTTCCCAATCGCAAGGGAACTTGATTACAAAAAATGTAATCTTTTTAAAATGCCTCTTACGTTTGTATTACTCTAGCACTTGTGTACATATTAGAAGGATTTATCGAGTAGCCTAAAATAATGAGCGCTCGTTCAAATATTGTGCGTGGTCATGATCTAGTCCCTTAGTTGCATTTCTGAATGGTGTTGTGGTTTAACTTGCACCAGAAGTTCGTGCTTTCATTTTCTCATTAAAGCTTGTGATTGTCACCTCTGTTATGTTCTGGAAATGCTTAAACAACAGCTAATTGAACTTATGTCTCAGAAATACGCCTGTTTGCTGCTAAACTCGGCTTGCTTTTGTACGTTTCATAACCAAGTGTCGAGTTCATGTTGCACCTGTAAAGCCCCCACCATACTAGTGTTTATGGCAAGATTTTTTTCCTGACTGTAATTGGGCTTGAGCAGGTCGCCATGCCTATATATATATATCCCGCTCACTCCTCACACTTATTCCGTGATTATGGTGATCTCCTGAAACTTCCTTTATGTGCGTGTGTCATCCACGGGTAGTTTTATGTGTTCCTATACTTAATCCTGTTGTTCACGGAATCAATCCTGTTGTTCACGGAATCTTAACTGAACTAATGCGTTTTGGTTTAATTTTTTAACAGTTTTCATTTGATGCAGTTTGTTTTGTTCCTATTGAGTTTGCTTCATTTTTATGCTATCATCTAATTTATGAAGTTAAAATTTTTATGCATTAAACCTTTTGCTTGCTTGGCATGGTGCTGCTTATAATTTTGTTTTTATTTTATTGGTGTTTTTTAGCTCGGTTTATCATTTATTTTCGAATTTCAACATGTAATCTAAATGCGGGAAAGATGGAGTTTTATTCAATGTGGCAAAGCAATTAATATGATTTCACTTCTAACTTGGTGCAGTTCAGTTCCCTGTAATGTCAGCACATGAAAGTATTTTTGCCTGCTTGGGTTGTGGCTTTATTTATAATACTACCTGGTTATTCACTGGTGGCTACTGCTTCTTTGTTACCGCTTGTCTAATCTCGAGCAATCGTGTGGTGCTTCCGATGCTTCTGGACGCCAGTTCAATGCTTTCCAGGTGAAAGGCTTGAAGAAACTCGACAACTTCCTCAGGAAGGAAGAGGAGCTTATGCTCTGGAAGAATTCTGCAACCCCGGAAGAGATTGAGTATCTGGAGATTCAATCTGAGCTCGAGCGGGAGCTCAACTTTTCACATATCAAGTAAGAGCGCCTGCTAGATATCTTATTGATTTTGCACTCATAATATTTGATAATTCACGGTGGTTCACCATGCAACTGCTTGACTTAGTTTTCTAACAATGACTATAAATTATGATTAATACGCTGGCTATATGGATGATTAAACTCAGCAGCAGGCCTAATAATGTCGTTGTCACTTATGTTAGAATGATTTGCTATGTTGTAAACATGAACTTTTCTGAAGGCGTTGCTTCTTTGTACCTAATTTACTTTTACAGTCTGATTTTTTTTTTTTATGCGCTTAGACTGAGATGAATTTCAGTCTAATCATTGAGCATTTGGCATCTTATGAATGTAACTGATGATTTTTGCTGGGGATTTTTTAAGAAACAGAAAGAGTGTTTTATTGAAATTTCTACTGGTGGAAATTGGGATGCAAAGTTTCTTTAAGCTAGTCTACCCATCGAGCTAAATTTTGTGAATCGTGCATTCTTCTTTCTAGGTTAATAATTTATTTATTTACATGCCTGCTTAATAATTTATTTATTTACATGCCAGCTTAATAATATATTGATGTTAATAAACTTGCACGCTACTCTGCAGCGCTGACCGTATTTTTGCCATGGCCGAGGAGAATGGCAATGAATTTTACTACGTGAAGTGGGAGGCTCTGCCGTACTCCGAGTGTACGTGGGAAGTGGCGTCATTTATTGAAGAGCGTTTCCCTGACAAGGTCTGTTTACAGCATTGAAATAATTCGTAGTGGCGATTTTGAATGATCTACTTTTTCTTTGCTCCTGCCTTCAGGCATCTTAAATTTTACACCGGGCTCGTTCATACGTAGCACTTAAATTTTACACCGGGCTCGTTCATACGTAGCACTTAAATTTTACACCGGGCTCGTTCATACGTAGCATTTCATTATGTATAATTTTTCTCTCCTTACTAGCCTATCACCAACTTGTTTTCTTTAATTATTCACCTCTTTGTGGTTTTACTCTGAAACAAAATTGGTTAATTACTTTTCTGTCTGTCCATATATCATATTTTGAGCGCACTATAATGCATAATTGATAAAGATGCTCAAGTTTATTGACTAGTTTAATTTCGAAGTTAACGCTTCACATTATTTCTCTTTATATCCAGGTGGAAATGTTCAAAAGAAGGGAAGAGTCGACGTGCACCCCGAGACAATGTCCAGCCCTCAAACATCGGCCCAAGTTCGTGACGATCAAAGAGCAGCCTGACTTCCTGGGCGGTTCTTCTGATAAGGTGAACATGCTTGTCAAAAACTAAACTTAACAATCTTACAATAAATTGGTGGATTACATGAGCATTTTTGTTGAGGCTAGTATTAATAATTACAACCGATATGATATAATGTATAATTTGTTTCGTACACTGGATTTTTAATTTCTACCGTATTAGGGCAAAATACTGAATTATTGCTATATTATTCATTTTTTTTTGTATGAAGGTATTAATCATGAGCATTTCATTTTCCAATCGTTTAATTTCTTACCTGTAAGTTCATCACCAAAATACTGCTGCTAGTACTTTATCAAATTTTTTTCAAAATTATTTACTTCATGAAAGTATTTTCCGATTGCAGCATTTGGAGTTACGGGACTATCAAATGCAAGGCTTGAACTGGCTGGTGCACGCCTGGTGTAAGCACAACTCCGTCATCCTTGCTGACGAGATGGGACTTGGTGAGTTGTTGAGCAAGTTTTACTAATTCTCTTTACTCATTCTATCTGAGTAGTGAAATTATTGATCATTTTACCGCCAATTGTTACGATGTTTGCCTGTCCTACTGGGCAGTCCTTAATAAACAGACTTGTGTCAGTATACCGTGATTTAATTTAGGAATCAAAGGTAAAGTAACATGTCATGAAAAATTGCAATTATGTATTTTTCAGGTAAGACAATTCAGGCGATATCGTTCCTGAGTTACTTGTTCCACACACACAGCATGTACGGACCTTATCTTCTTGTTCTGCCGCTGTCCACAATCAACGCCTGGGAACGAGAGTTTGCTCTCTGGGCTCCTGACATGAATGTTATATCCTACATTGGTGACAGAGATTCACGTAAAATTGTAAGTAAATCAATACTAATGCTTGTATACTAATTCATCTTTTTGTATTTCATTTGCCACTCCATGAAATTTGCTTCAGCGTTCAGCGTTTAATTTTTAAATTTAATTTAATTGCTCAAATTTAAATTGAATTGAATTTTTTTTGCTCGTGTATTCATTGAAACTTCTTTAATTTGTTCTGATTCTCATTATGTATAATCCATTCTAAACTTCTAAGATTTAGAATAATTTAATCTGTAATGCTCACTCAGAGGTTTTTTGTCCAGATTCGCGATTATGAGTGGGCATTTTCAAGCAAGCGTCTCAAGTTCAATGTAGTGTTAACAACGTACGAAATATTGCTGCGTGACAAAGACGAGCTCAAGGAGTGCATGTGGTCCGTCATGGCTATCGATGAAGCTCACAGGTAGTTTTCCCGTCCACTGTCAACTTTATATTCAGTTTAACTATTAATTATGCTGATACAAGTTTTTATTTTAACCTATATATTGATCATACATCCAAAACATATCATTGTTAATATCACTAATATTGCTTAATTTTTATCGGTGAAAATCTCCGTGCTTATGACGGTTACATATCTTCCAGATTAAAGAACGAAGAGTCACAACTTTACATGGCATTAAAAGAATTTAAAACCAACCACCGGCTCCTGATAACTGGGACGCCGTTACAAAACTCGTTGAAGGAGCTGTGGGCTTTGCTGCACTTCATCATGCCAGACAAGTTTGATAGCTGGCCTGACTTTGAGGCCCAACACGACAAGTCTAAGATGCAGACTGGCTTCCAAAAGTTACATCGGCAACTTGAGCCTTTTCTTTTGAGGAGAGTCAAGAAAGATGTTGAGAAATCGTTGCCCTCCAAAGTAGAACAAATCCTGCGAGTGGACATGACTAAGGAGCAAAAGCAATACTACAAATGGATCCTTACCAAAAACTACGAGATGCTTAGAAAAGGTAAGGGCGCTTTATTTGAGAGTGTTGCAGCTTTTGCATTTTGCTGAAATAAAGCACTATTAGCTTGAATGACATTTATTTAAACTAGCTTCGGTAGCAACTTCTATTCATCATGCGTTTACTCTAATCTTTGTAGTTCAAGATTATTTAGTGTTTTGAATGATGTGCAGGCACTCGAGGGTCGACTTCAAGCTTCTGCAACATAGTCATGGAGCTTAAGAAATGCTGCAACCACTCCTTCCTCATCAAAGCTCCTGAGGAAATAGCGCACGGCACCACCGAGATGTTGCAGGTACCTACGCTCTTCGGCACAGATCAAGATGTGCCAACCGTTTCCTTGTCCTGCTTTTGACTATAATTAGGACAGCATTTACATCTCTAGTAACACTGCTACTTGATGCCTGGTGATGACTTGTACGGTCTTTTGTACAATTTTTATTATGATTCTGAACTTGTTGCTAATAGTAATAATCATCATTGAGCAGCAATTACTCCGAGGCTCTGGAAAGCTGGTGTTGTTGGATAAGTTGCTGTTGCGTCTTCACGAGACGGGCCACCGCGTCCTGATTTTCTCGCAAATGATGCGGCAGTTGGACATTCTGAGCCAGTATCTGCAGCTACGACGACTGTCCTTCCAGCGGCTTGACGGCTCCATCAGAGGCGAGCTAAGGAAGCAAGCCCTCGACCACTTCAATGCTGAAAATTCAACGGTCAGTAGTCTTCATCTACCTGCATATTTTTGCACCATTGCAGGATATTTAGTTATTGACTTTGCCTTTGAATCTTTTCTCATTCTGCTGTAATGTATTCTTAATGATTTTCGGCAATGTTTTTGGCGTTATCTGGAATTATCACCACCGACAAAAATTGCTTCTCGTCCATAGATGTGCATCATCTTAGCCCTGAGTCACAGCAATGTTAATGGGTTGAGGTATCACTGACAACAAAATTATTGTCTCTTATCAGTAGTTGTTCTATGTTCTCCCTGTGTTAAAACAAAGCTAATAGATTCCTTTCCGATTGTTTTCAGGATTTTTGCTTCTTATTATCCACACGAGCTGGTGGCCTGGGCATCAATTTAGCCACGGCAGACACAGTCATCATCTTCGACTCTGACTGGAACCCTCAAAACGATCTACAGGCCCAAGCAAGGGCCCATAGAATTGGACAGAAAAATCAGGTACATTCTAATTTAATATAATTATCAAACTTTGTCTATGTTTATCTGGATTATGAAATAACAACCTCTGTTAGCTGGCAAGTGTCCGATATAATTTATTTGGACTTTGTCTTTTCCATGACATTCGTCTATTAATTTATTATTAGATAAACTATTAAATTTATCTCAGTTACGAAGGTTCATATTATTGTCCAAATGCTATATCAGGTGGAATAAATATATAGTCAACACTGAGAGTAATTATTAGATAATCCCATTACAATATAAGGCTCGATTAAAGTTACAATGAAGGTAGGTCTACAACTGGCTGGCGGTAAGCTTGAAGCGCTTATATATAGACTTAGTACAGTGACTTGACAGAAGGTGACGTGAGGAATACTACTGACAGCATGGGTTGTGACGTCTGAATTAAAGAGTTTCTTCCGATGGTGAATGAAATTTTCTCAGTATTTGTCTATGTTTGCTTTTACGTTCTTTTATTTACAATTTAATTTTTGTAACTCCTACTGTTGACTGAAATTCTGAATGTGCCTGAATCTAACAAGATTCCCGTTGTCATTTACCGAGTTAGATTTCAGCTGAATCCTTCAGCTCCTTCAGATTATGAGCAAGTTTATGCGTGCAGGTTAACATTTATCGCTTGGTGACCAAGAACAGCATAGAAGAGAACATCATCGAGCGAGCTAAGCAGAAGATGGTCTTGGATCATCTGGTAATACAATCAATGGATACCAGCGGCAGAACTGTCTTCAATAAAAAGTTGTCCAGTAAGTTATTCTGGACATTTGAATTCTGGAGAATGTAGAGCATTTCGCATGTGAAGTGTCTTTGATGGATCGTCTGTACGACTTTATTTCAACGAGTGATGGGATACTGAGTGCATGCAGTGTTTAACGCTTTCAAGTTATGATTAGGTTTTGTAAAAGTACATTTAATTAGAATTTTATGTATGTGGCTTCTCGTTAGAAAGATGGTTGTAAGTGGTAAGCCTTTCATGCTGTACACGTGATAATTTCTTCGTTATACGAGGATCAGTTTTTTGCTAGGTAAGTTCACTTGTTTTTTAATAACATTTTCAAAATAAATTTGGAATGATTTCTTTTTCTGGTATAAAATGTATTATACATGATTTTAGACGTAGTAATGTTTTTTAATTGCAGGCAACAACAGCAACCCTTTCAACAAGGAGGAACTGAACGCTATTCTAAAGTTCGGAGCTGATGAGCTTTTCAAAGATGCGGATGATGAAACTGAGGAGCCTGTGGTGAGTAAATGCATATTGCATGCATTCACGTCTCTATGTTCAGTACAAATGTCGCATCGGCGTTTTGCGTAGTATGTTTTTATCCGTTTTTTTATTGGATTTGAATGTGCAAAGAATACCATCAGAGCAGTCACCAAATTTTAGTGTCAATGCTGCACACAAAAGGAAAATTTAAGGTTGTGGAGTGTTGCATTGAAAAAAAAAACTTTTTGGCTCCATGCGGATTGTAATTAGTTGTGACTATTATGTAGCTGCCATCTAGTTCTAATGTGTTGAAGGGCTTCCATAAGATTATGGTGCTTCATCGTTGGTCTCGATGATGTATGTCATTTTGATTTTTTACAGTGTGACATTGATGAAATACTGCGACGCGCCGAGACTCGGGAAGACGGGCCAGCGTCTGCAGGTGACGACTTGCTTTCTGCTTTCAAAGTCGCGTCCATCAACTTGGATGAAGATGAAGAGCTCTCCAGGCTTGAGTCAGTGCCTGAGGAAAACACTAAAGATTGGGTAAGTGAACGCCTAGTGCGAATGCATTGGTTACTTGGTACACTCTCTATCCTTTCCGTGAACCCTAACTCGTGCACCGCATGGATGTCCACAGAAGGAAGTCAAGACTACTTATTCATTCCTCCACTGAACTCTTATTTATCAAAACCTTCCTGTAACACTATATATAGTTGTGCAGAATAATAAAAATAAAAATTTTTTATTTTCTTTTGTTTATCTTTGACACATTGAAAGACAGAATTAAAATTTTAGCAACTTTTTCCCGTCCGTTCTAATTGTAATCTGTTGCTGTGCAGGATGAAATCATCCCAGAAAGTCTGCGCAACGAAGTTAAGGAGGAAGCTCGCGCCAAAGAGATGGCGGAGCTCTACCTTGCTCCGCGCAACCGTAAAACGCTGCTAAATACCGTGAGTGGTGTGCAAATATTGCCTGTCCAGCTGACTTTTGACCAATCACGTGAACCTATTAGGTACTGCAAATTTTGTTTTATGAACTCGAAATTGTTTCTCTTAAGGGTACAAACGACAAGGAGCGAAAGGAAGACGAATCGTCGTCGTCAGAAGAGTCTGGTAAGGAGGAAGAGGAAGGCTCCCCTAGAAAGCGTGGCCGCCCCAAAGGCAGTACGTCTGCAGCCAAAGAGTCTGTTAAGGGCTTCACGGATGCTGAGGTAAGAATGGCGACGTCTGTCATAAAATTGAATACAATTATGTATTTAAACGTTGGTCGATTTTAGTTGTTGGACTGATTTGCGGCGGGTTTAAAATTTGTGGTTTCGGAACATTTGCACTATCTTATTGATTCTTATTGATCATCCTTGTTGAGTTTAAGCACTAGATGGCAAATTGACGTGCTTTGCCGCTAACGGTCGTGAACATTTCAATATTTTGTAAATTAAATTTCACGATGAGTTCCAATCTGATGAAAGTCATCTAGCTAAAACTCAGATTACTTACTCCTGAATCGAGACTCTTGCTCTGGCCTTATTTGTGAATGAATACTCTTGAATAAATACAAATTGAAATGGATACTCGTATTGCCGGTGCAGGTGCGGCGGTTCTTCCGCTCAATGAAGCGCTTCTCTAATCCACTCCGGCGACTGGACACCATCAGCAGGGACGCTGACCTGCGGGATAGAACACATGCCGACCTGAAGCGCCTTGCAGAGACTATCATAGATCACTGCCACAACTTCATGACTCAACTCGAGAAGAATAATTTACTCAATCCTCAAAATAAAGGTCAGTGCTAAAATTTTATTGCTCATGTATCTTTGAGTGAATTTAAATTGCATATATATTTGTCTTGCTAGAGTTGAGGACCAATCAAATCTTTTGATTGAAAATAGAAGGGATGAGTGAAAGGTGAACATAAACTATTGTTTAGTAATCAGTGGAATTTGTTAGAGTTATCATTGGTATAATAATAACTCGGTAAGTTATTGTTTTTTACAGGGCCACCACGCCGAGGCAAACATAGTGGGAATTCTTTCAAGCTTTCTGGCGTATCTATCAATGCGAAGACGACGTTAGCCACTCTTGAGGAGCTCGCCCCCCTGGATACGGCGGTGCCCCACGCCCCGGTGCAGCGCGCCAGCTGGGTGCTGCCTTTCAAGAAAGTTAAAGACACGCACTGGGACACCACATGGACTCTGCAGGACGATTCCAGGTGCTTATCACAGCTTCCTACGAGAGTTTCTTACCCTGATGGCATTAGTTTTGTTTATTACCTGTTGAATACTAACCGACTGCAAGACGATTCTAGGGCCTTTTAGATCTATAATCAGGTTTTTACTCTGTTGGTATTAGATATGTTTTGTTCACTATTTAGTTCTTGCCGAGCTTTAAATATACGATACATTTAAACTCAGTGATTTAAGAAGTTCTTGTTCAACGTCACACACTATGTTACAAATAAACTGTAAATTTATTGATACAATGAATGACCAAATACTGATTCAAAACTATTATTCGCTGTGAAGTCACTAATTATTATACGATTTGAAAATCTTTCCAGGTTATTGTGTGGCATTTACGAGTATGGCATGGGATCATGGGAACAAATTAAAGCAGATCCTGCTCTGAATTTGGGTGACAAAATATTACTGGATGGCGACCTAAAGCCGCAAGCAAAACAACTGGAGAGCAGAGCGCAGTATTTGCTGAAACTCATCAGAAAACACGGAACTACCACGCAACTAAAGGTAAAAAACCCCTACTTACTCGTATGTTTTCTGCTCTCGCAGCCAATGTTTTTTACTGCTGTGTACCTATAATTTATAGTAAGTTGTAACAAATTTTAATACCCATCTTTTACGAATTCTTAACATGTGCGTAACGATGTGCAGCTAAAAACTAGAAGCAACAAGGTTTCCAAGAGCAGATCGGCGTCTAAAATCAAGGAACCAAAGGGCATCTCAAAAGAGATCATTGATGACGACAGTTCCGATGACGACGTGAGCAAACCTGCAGCGCTGGCTGCTTCATCTTCTGTTCCTTCGCCTGTAGCTGTGAAGCAACCTTCCTCGGAGAAAGTGAGTTGTACATAACTCTTTGGTTTTTCTTTTGGGCGTGAACTGTTCTATATCGCATATGCGATAAAAGTCATTATTCTAAATTATGTGATAAGGTTTACAATGCTGAACATTTCCCTGAATTTTTTCAAGTTTTACTGGTTCAAACTAAATAACATACAATATTATTGTTCAATGTTTTCAGGAAACTAAGGAGCGTGACGTGAAAGACGAGAAAGAGCCAAAAGAGAAAGAAGTGAAAAGCAAACTGAAGGAACAAAAAATAGAAAAAGATGAGAAGGTCAAAGAGGAAAAGGAACCGAAGGTCGAAGCAGCACATGTAAAGAAGAAGAGAAAGAAGGATAAAGATAAGCCCAAAGGCCCCGTTCATATAACCGCCAATGGAGAACCTACTGCCATTGTTGATGATATCGAAATGGATGCTAATCATCCATTATGGTCAGAGGTAAGATTGTGAATTTTATTTGATAAAATGTATAACGGAACAAAAGAATTGTCAGCTCGCTTAGTCTCCGGTAGACGTGTATCGTTTTCAGATCGAGGCTAATCAAGTAAGCAATCAAAATGTGAACGTAACTCGGTAGTTGAGACTCATGAAAAGGTTAATTTTTATTTTTTGTTTATGTAATTAATTGTATGCCATTTTTTCGGTTGTTTAGTGCAAAGAGAAGATGCGTCCCATGAAGAAATTCTTACAAGAACTGAGCAGCGGTGGTGGCGATAACTGCAGTCAAGAAGATCAAATTGCACACACCAAACGTTGCCTTCTTAAAATAGGCGACCACATTTCTTATGCTATCAGTTCAACTAATCCTGAACACACCGATTCCTGGAAAGTGTGAGTATATCTTTCCTCCTTACTTATCATCAAGCATTATTATTAAAAATGTCTGAAATTTTTAAAGACTCTTCAACGATTCTTTTAGGGCTGTTTTAAAGTCCTAATGTTGCAACGATCAGTTTGAAAAATGCAAGGTCTTATCTACACTTCACGACTCGCTTCTAATCACGTTCTGTTGTTCCAGACTCTTGTGGCGGTTTGTCTCAAAGTTCACTGAATACGACGCCAAGAAACTCCATAAATTTTATAAGAAAACCAAAAAGCAAGAACAAGCAATCCTACAGCAAGGAGGCGGTAGTGATCCCAAAGAAAAGAAGAAAGAAAAACACAAAGATTCACAGGATAAAGCTAAACACGAAAAAAACACTGACAGCAACAAACCGAATGATCAAAGGCCGAATTTGAAAAGAAAACCAGAGTCTCAAAACGAAGTTCCAAATAAGAAAACGTATAATGGGTAAGGTTAATGCCTTGATAGGTATATGTTAAAGAGGCGTTGAAGATGTACTAAGCTAGTAATTCCGTGTAACTATCAAGCTTGTGTTTTGATGTCATTTATTTATTAATTTTCTCTCATTCTCAATAGATATACCTTTGTTAATTAAGTATGTTGGCTGTTTTTCCATTTACCGCGACTATTTTCTTTGAGTTTATATTTAGCACGAGGCTCAAGTTTGAGGCTGTTTCGCAGAGACGGACGCAATGCGGCTGGCACAAGTGATAGAGACCGACAGATGAGGCGCGACGATCGACGTCAGTGGGACGCCAGAGACGGCGGCTCTGACTACAGAGATCGACGTGACAGACGGGATGACAGAGATCGCAGTGCAGACAGAAGAAATGATGATTATCACAGACGGCACAGAGATTCTTGGCGACGCGGTAGAGGAGATGGGTGAGTAATACTTCTTCAGCGCGGATTCAAAATTACATTATTTTTCATTATTAATACCATTAGTATTCCTACTATTGAAAATGGACATTCACTGAGACACGATCAGAGAACAACCGATTTATCCTCAGGTTAAATTAAAAGGACGTGGTTGAGTTTACTTTTTCTATCACAGGAGATATCATGGTGGCTACCATCGTGATGGGTACAACAAAGAGGGGTACGGAGGAAGCTACCATCGTGGTGGCGCAGGTGGTAGCGGAGAGTGGCGAGGAAACAGCGGCCGCCACCCGCCACATTATGGTGGTTACCAACCACCGCACTACCCTCCCCCGCCAGGACCAGCTATGTATGGAGGTCCTCCTCTCATCCCCTCCGGTCCTCCTCACTACCATCAAGCCTACAGAGGAGACTGGCGTGAGTCGCCACCTGCCGCTGGGGATGTTGGTGCTGTGGGGTGGCAGGCCGCCGAACATCAGAGCAAGAGACCAGAGGAACATCAAAATAATAGAGCTGATCCACGCATTCAGGACGTGTGATGCCGGAGCAACGAAGAATAAGATCCGGGATACTAACTAACTAGGGAACACCTGCTGCCAAGTGCAGAATGCCGATTTTTAAAAGCCACAAGCCAGCCAGTTCAGGCTTTGGCGCCGTCTCATGAGTGCCAGGATGACACCGTCGGTGATATTCAAGTACTAGCGTACCGAATTAATAAGTTCAGAGCGCCGACTTGAAAGGTCCAGAGCACCGACTTGAAAGGTCCAGAGCACCGACTTAGAAGGTCCATAGTACCGACTTGAAAGAAGGTTCAGGGTACCGACTGAAAGGCCCAGGGTACCGACTTAAAAGGTCCATAGTACCGACTTGAAAGGTCTATAGTACCGACTGGAAAGGCCGCGGTATCGACTAGTAAATTTCAGAGTTCCAACTAACAAGTCTGTACCTATCGAACCAACATTTTTACAGAACTAACATCTTAACAAGTTCATTTGGAACATTGGTGCCTACAGTCCAGGAAACATTCTTCGATATCCCATGAGACCGGAGTATGATTTTCAGAATTCCAGATTCTTTAATATCAGTTTTTGATGTCCTGTTATCGCTTTTTTTGTCGGCCAACACTATGCTATTTATTTTTTTCCATCGATTTATAGCCGAAAATTTACTATTGAAGGGTAACAAGAAGTTTTTATCTATTTTCTGTCTGTATTAAAGGATAGGTTTCTGTATTTATTCGGAGACTACTGTATAATAGCCACGTGATCCTTTGATACTAGTGAGAGTTGTTACTGAGAACACAAATGGAGGAAGGTTATGGTTGTGATATTAACTTAGTGCTAGATTATGCCTAAGACCCAGACGTTTATTATGCTTTGTATAACTACTCAAACTGAGATATTTAGGAGACTGTACATAAAACCTCATGCATCGATATTCGTTACGTCTCTACGCAACACTCCAAACATTTATTGGGCTAATATATATCACCTCAAGCTGAGACATTTATCGAGTCCGACTTCTTAGTGCTGATTGACCAGAAAGCATGCCCTTATTCAGTGATCAGATGCACCTGTTACGATTTTCGTCAAGCCCTTCACACGTATATTGTATTTTTACTTATGTATATTGTTCGATAAAAATAGGAAAGTGTCAAACCAAATTAAATATTAACAGCTATGTTGATGTCGGTCTTTCTGGGAAACCAATTAAAGGTGTGTTCCCTAAAATGTTAGTATTGCAGAAAATGTTAAAATATGTCGTCTCTATTTTTCTAGTCTTACGTTAAGCTATTAATTATGAAGACGAAATTAGAACAATTGAATAGTCATGAACAATGGCTCATTTGATATCTGGACCTGCGCGGAAGACGTTTAATTACTCATATGAGTATCATCGTTCTGCACCTTATCCGTATCATCAAGAGTCGTTAATTTTTTATATATTCCTCATTCATATATGAATGTATTGAATATTTCGAAAGTTCCTTTAAAAGTTTGCAAAAGAAAAAAAGAAAGTCATTGCAATTTACTTCCCCAACTACTGATTACTCCACTCGAGCTAAGCGAAACTTTGTAATGTTAGTCTAGCTTTTGCGGATGTAAAGTTTTCGTGAAAGATGATGACATTGAATAAAGTGTCGAAGCTTATGAGCGATTTATGATCACCATCCCGGTTTCCTTTGATCTAAAGGAACGTGTTTCAGAGTAGTCATTTTGCACAGCGAAACTGCAATTATTTTTGTCTTGCATTGTAATTAAGCTTTTTCTATGCTAACGTAATATGTTACTAAAGTTAAGATAATGTTTGTACAGCTTCGAGATTTATGATTTTTCTTTGTTCATATTGCCTGATGTAGTGATTTTTTTTTTCTAAATGAAATGGTCATTAACTACGTTTTAATTCAACCCTACGATTGCAATACGATTTGCGTTTGCTGTTGAGCGTGCAATGTCATAATACATACGAGCTTATCAATATTTAGAACTTTCACAAAAAAGTATTGTGTCTAATTTTTATTCGTCTAATTGAAAATTTTGTATCTGCAAATGTTGAGAATCAAAATTGCCTGATGCTGCGATAAAATACTAATTTTAATCTTGATTTCACGTTAACATCGAAATGAACGTTTAAAATGAAGCAGTGTTTAGCCTGTTGTCAATCGCAGAACTTAATCAGCTACTAGAGTATCGAACCTACAACTCACTATGCTATTTGTGTAGTTTCTAGCTAATGGCCACTTTGCTGCAATTGGCCAATAGTAAAATTTTGATGAACTTTCATCACTCGACCCACTGTGACGCTGTGTGAAGTACCCACTGTGAGTCTGTGACGCTTTGTGAAGTACCCACTGTGACGCTGTAAAATTCTAAATTTTTAACAATCTTGGCAAATCACTGGGCTGGCTGGTCGGGAACGCAGCCGTGGGTAACAAAATTGACTCGTAAACAGGCATTGACTCGTAAACATCAGCATGCAATATCTACACATGGCCTCAGATGAATGAGCTGTGGGTAACTCCGGCTTTGCACAACACAGCCACTGCTTCACAGAGCCGGAGCCCAACTGGCCGGAGCGCAACAGGCGGCGCAGGTTAGGTTACGTTACGTTAGGAGTAGCTGTTGCGGTAGGGCCTGCTGCGCTCCGGCCTGTGACTGAACGGCGCTGTTGTGGTGGGCGCTTTGTGTCAAAAGCCGTGAAGATGCCCGGCTGCGTTACGCTCGGGAAGGTACGGTATATGAATAGCACTGTGGACTTGGGCTATGCTGACCTCTAGCTATCCACCCGGCTGGTCCAGTGTTTACGCTTCCGAGCACCAAGATTGGAGCAGTGAGTTGTGGGTTTGGAGCTACCTGCAAAAGTTCGGGTTAAATCATCGAGGAGCTCGGTTCAGCTCAGCTAAATTGGAGCAATGAGTGGCGTTGTCGACGCGTCGAGACCGCAACAAACTGAATAATCTGCGATAATGGGCAACAAGTCTATTGGGCTAATGATGGTTGCCAATCACTATACTATACTAATAATCGATAAATAAGTTAGTACTAATTAGTTTTCCATGATTACATATGCACAAAATATCAATTGAAGTCGTTGCAAAAAATGCATAGTAATTTATGTTTTTAACATTTATTTTGTGATCAGTGGTCATAAAGTAGGTATAAACTTGCCACTTGGAGTAAGTATAAAGTATAATAATAATGATAATAATAATAATAATAATAGCGGTTTCAGTGTTTATTAGACCATACGTCTTTCGGCATTTCCTAACATAGCAGGAGTGCTGGACATTCACAGATTATTTTGGTCTCAAACACGCAACTCAATGTTCCAATTTTGCTTTGCTTAACCGCCCGGCATCCTCTCCAATTTTGACCAGATCCAGAAAGCAGAAACTGTTGCACAGCACCGTTCTGGGATCGAACGCGCACTTTTGTGCTCAGTCTGTTGACTGTTCGTCAGTTCCAAACTTCCATTTTGGACTACTCTGAAGTCTGAACTGTTATGATTGATAAAGACTTGCAGTAGTTTTACCATGGTTACATTTTTGACAGCTGAGCCCTGCTCCTGCTGCAATCTTGATTCCTGATTTTTGTTTTTTTCGGTAGCAAGATTCTTGCTGAAATTGCTGCTTCACCTTGATTTTGCTAAGTACCATAAGTGTTACCTACTGTCCTAGGTATCTCACATCAAAAGGGTTAAGGGCCTGATGCACGGTCTGGTGGGTGGTGTTGGACTGTTGGCGGTTGGCCAGACCCTGGATCATATGGTATATAATTCCCCATATTAATTTTCAACCGTAGTTTTCATCCTAAAATAATTTTCATTTTCATGATTTTGTAATATAAAAATTTATTTTGATATTACAAATTTACCCTTATATTAGCTTTAATTTCAAAGCCCCTCTAAACTTGTAGGCCTATGGTTGTACCCAATCCTGTACTGAGCTTATGTCAGCCAACCTCATAACTCAGTCATAAGACAGCAGCAATTAATTTCATATAGCTACAAAGAAGCTGGAAACCACAAACTACGGTAGCCTATAAGTATAAGCTCTCAGGTCCGGATCTGGCAGACCTGTGGCTTTAACGTTTAAGTCCACTTCAAGTGGACACCATGCAAAGAAGAAGAAGAAGATGCCCCTGAGCCTGAGGCCCGACTTCCGAGTGCCCTGACCAAATAGCCTAGAAATATTTTTGTATTTGTAAATAAGCTATACCTAGGAAAAGTGAATCTAAGAGTTCTCTTCATCATTGTGCCAGTATTTTATGATATATTATGTAATGAAAACTAGAAGTTGACAGCGGACTGATTCTGACTGGACACTGGAGACTGGAGTAGGTACTACCGTACTAGGCTAGGAATAGTTGCCAACTTGCTAGACTGCTAGACAGCTAGAGTGTGTGTGTAGCTAGCCTAAGCTAGGTAATAGGCTAACAGGCTAGGGTTAGGCTGGTACTACCAGCCTGGTACTGGTAGTATGCATAGGCATAGTCCTCATAGACTAATCATAGTGGCAATTTGGCAAACAAGAAATTTTTAGATATTTAGAATGAGTTCATTTTTTGCTTCCTCATCTCAATATTTGAAATAAATTTCTTACTAAATTCTTAGGTACAATAATGCTGGTATCAAAGATAGTAGTAGTCTACTACTCTACTTTTATAGGACTCAATAATGAACTTGCAAAAGGGCAACAAAAAATGTTCTTATTTACCACTTATAGTTATACCTAACTCCACTTTGTTGGATTGCTATTTGCTGGTAGCTAAGAGTACAGGAAGTTGTAGGGAAAATTCATCTGTGAGGTAACTGAGGTTGGACCAACCTCAGTTACCTCACAGATGAATTTTGGTCTTTCTGGTTGGTCTGGACTGGCTGAGTGCCTGAGTCCTCAGTGGCTCTGTCAATCTATTTGTTTCTGCCACTTATTTGAATTTTTGAAGATTTTATTTTACTAATATTTTAAAAAACATTTGAAGTTTGAAAATTTTTATTTTTTTTTAATTGCAAGATGTTAGACATCTATTGTCCAATCTACGAGCCAAGCAGAATTGCCATTGCAGAAATGTCATTAATGTACTATTGAGAATGGATGCTTTTACTTTTATTATATATAGCTGATATACAGAGTCCACGATATTTATGGCAATGCAGATTATTCTTATTTCTTGAAAAAACAAACAGGTGGATTAATATTTTACTCTATGAGCTAATAGCCAAAAACTAGGCCTACCTAAACAATTCTCAAACCTTTTTTATTTTTATTATACCACCCTTGTTTTTAATGCTGGCCTCTAACCAATGCTGGAAAGCACAAGCATTCACAGAATTTTTTGAGGGATCAAGTCCCATTTGCATTTCAATTTAGACATCAAACTAGTCAAAGAATCATGAGCTGTTCTGCAGACCATACTTTCTAAAATAGTCCACACAGAAAAGTCTAGAGGATTCAAATCAGGGCTTTTTGAGGGGAATTCATTTTTTGTAAATGAATGCCTTGAATGTTTTGGGTCATGTTTAAACACTGTAATGGGCAGAGTCTTGTTGAAAACTCTGGTGTTGAGCCATTGACATGTTTATGGCCCCAAGGCAACAACTCAGCTCCCAAAATGTCTGAAATGTATTGATGACTGTTCAGTTTCACTCCTGAGGAGACAGCAATGAGTGGAGACCCCCCAGTGGCTGTTACCATGACCCAAACCATTGCGGACATGAAATTTTGATGTAGCGTAACTGTTCTGGTCGCCACAGATCCATCCTGCCAGCAAACTCTGTCATTTTGATGTTTTTTTTCCAGAATGTGCTGGCATCTTTTGAGGCTCACTTGTTCATGATGGTCTGTTAGTTCGTGTGTTGTTTTCATCTTGTAAGGGGAGGTTTTGAGGTCAACTTTGAGGACTCAACACATTGATTTGACTGACAACTGCTTCTACAGCCAAATTTTGCAGCTGAGAAAACGGGGTTCCTCAACTTCTCCCTTGTTTCTCCTTGACCAATTGTTTTGTTCTGACACTTCGTTCCCTTCATTCAAATTTGGTCATGTAAAAGCTAAGGTATTTTTCATTAATATCTCAAATCCTGAAGCAGCATAAGAGTCATTAATTTATGATGCATTTCTGCTTCAATTTCTGGGGCGGTTTCTTGCTAATCGAATGCTCACTGCTCAATATTTCATATATGCTGGCATCCATATTCCATATAATTCAACATTTTCTCCATAGATGTTCAATTGTTCATTTTGCACAAAACATGTCTTGATGATGATGAAATGAGTCTGTCAGCTCAATTACAAATGATTGGAGTTCTCATTAGTTTGCTTCTTAAAATAACTCATTAGAAAATAAATTATTTAATTTGTTTAGGATTAATTTTACTTTCATCACCGTAGTCTAGAGGCAGGTTGACAGATGAAAGCATTTAAATCAAATGAAATCTACTGTGATGATGCTATACATTTATTTGATTGATTTGAAAATTGAATTTTTTTCAAGTTTTGAGATGTCATCCTTTATAATAACCATTGAAAGACAGTAAAATAAAAACTAATCGCATAATTACTTATAAACCATGAGTGTGTAATTAGTTCTCATGATTCACAAGTAAACTTTTGTAAATGAAAAAATATACCTATCTTTCTTTCTTAAATTGTCTTATTTATTGCAGGACATTAAATGGCTTTGTTACAGAGCTTTTCTCCATAAAAATTCCTAATTGAGGCATTCAAGGCCCCACTACAGACCAGCATGGTGCAGCTGCGCATGGCTGGTCGGAATGTTGCCTCAGTGCTATCACTCCTTGCCCTTTTTTTATACGTAGCATATTTTACTTCAGAACTCTATTCCCGTCTCAACAGTATTCAAAAACTTCAACGACTCCATGAATATGAACGAGAGGTAATGTAAAATTGTTAATTCACTCATTGAGATTTTGTTGACTTGTCTAGAGTAGTTCAAGAAATTATTGAAGAAAGTTAATATTTATTTTTATCAACAGAGAACAAATTACATTGATTGCAGTGCAATAAATTTTTTGAAAATCAAATTATGAAACATGTAGCTGATTGAAATTCTATTACCGTACTTTATTTATTTATATTTCAGTTGGAGGAGCTGTCACACTTGCTACATCAATATAAAGCTGATTCAAAAGTTGTGAAGGAAAGCATCTCTCTCCTGCAGGAGGTTGTCTCAAAAATGGCAGATTTTTCTAAGCGTAAGCGAGCTCAAAAACTGCTTGCTTCTTACTCACATGGAATAAGAAGGGAAACCAAAGACATCACAGATAGTCATCATGCTTCATTTAGTATTAGAAATCATAGTAAAGCAAATATCCCACACCACTCTGATCAAACAGGGGGAAAATTAAAATTGGATGAGAACTTTGTTTATCATCCTGAACAAATACTACAGAGAGATCAATCAATCAGAAAACCAAAGCAATTAAGGGATGCAAGGGAAACTAATTCTGTCGAGGAAAATTCTGTTAGATGACTGGCTCATGTGTGTCTTGTAATGATGGTCTTCTTGAATAGTGTTTGCTCCTTAAATTCTGGCATTCTAATTGAGAAGATTATTAAATTTATACAACATATTTTAGAATATCAGGTTATTAGCATGTTTGAAGCCAGTCTTCACATTTTCATACCTTTATCCTTTTGTTAATTTTTGTAGTTATCTCACTTTTTCATCATCAAGCATGGTGATTGTAGCTGGCATGTATATATTATCTATGTGGATATGGGGAAAAATCTTCTCTGGGGAATAATCATATACTATGTATAATGAACAAGTATGTATCCATCGTGTTTATGTTTAATATTAAGATGTCACAAAGATCTGAAACTTGGAATTGTAAGATGTGAAATGGGTATTTTAGATCCCACTAAAAAATTGGCAGTTAATATGTATGTACGTATGTCTGCAATGCTCTTCTTGGTTATTTTCCTGCAAATGATATTAAATGGAATTTGAGGCTACTTAATCTGTCTTCAAGTTATGCCAGGGTCACCTGCTCTTTAATTTGCTCCATTGTGCTTGGTAATTGAAATTTATATTAATGGTTTTGACGGAAATATTTCCTGTAACCTGATAAAATTTCTTTTTTTTCTATCAAAAGGTCCTCAAAACTTGAAATGATAAGTGAATATTTAAATTTTTTTCATTGTAAACTACAACTTAAATTTAGCAATTAATTAGCAATTAATTAATTAATTACAGCAAGTATTTCTGGCAGAATGTCTTCAAATCAGCATGAGTTAGTGAAACTTATTGATTCTCCATGGGGTGGTTTATCCAAAAACAAATATATTGACTTCATCTAATGGCTAATCTTGGAGCACTGCATTTTATCTCATTTAGTGCATAATAAGCAATTGTTCTGCAGAACAATAGATACCGTTAAATAGAATTTTTATAATGTATCACTCAAATTCTATAACTTAGATTCGCGTTAAGATTTTGTGTCAGGGTGTAACAAGCAGAATTCAAGTTTTTTTTATCAAATTTAAACAAAAACTGCCCAATTGTTATATTTTATATGATTGTGTATCATACTTATAGCCTAGATGCAACTATTCTAATTGGAAATGAATTATTGGAGCATCCTAATTCACTGGTCTTCCTCACATTTCCAACTTGTTTGTACATATTCAATGGATGTTTTTATACATTGTTAAATATTCTTGACATTAAATTGTACCTATCTTGTAGCCTTTGAATTAACAATTTTCTTGATGTATAAAGTATGTGCACTAATATTCATACTCCCATTGCTGTGCTTCTACGAATATGTTTATTGATGCAGGTAGCTGTGATGCTGGCTTGTCTAATGTTTTTATATGCAGCGACTTTGGTAAAAACTGAATGATCTGAGTAGATTGTGTTGTATTATATATATCAGTACTGTGATAGCTCTCATGTTTGGGCTCACCAGGTCTTGTAGGAGACTAGACTAAGCCTGCCAGTTAATTACCTACTACATTGCATGTAATTGACTAATTGTTTAGTAAATTAAATGAGCAAACTGCGCATAAAGGAAGAAGTACACTGGCTCCTTCAAAAGGAATTTACCATTACCATTAGCTTATCTCAACGATAAAGTTTTTTCACACAATTCAGTCAAGATTTGCTAAATTCATACTTGTCCTCTGGTATTGTATTACCTGTAAAGCCCAAAAACTTCTATTTGTGCCCTCAAAGTTCTTCTATTTTATTTTGTTCTTCAGTGATTGTAAAATTTGTAATTTTTATTGTGTAGAATTTTGTTAATTGGTAGAAACATGAACAATGGTGATCAATTGATGTTTAAAAATAAATGTACAACAATATGAAAATGTCCCAGGGCGATATTAAGAAATCATACTTTAATAATGGCGTAAGGAAATAAAATCTATGGTGGAGTTGTTCACGATTCTAAATTATGAAGTTTCTTATAACGGGAAAAAAGCTTTAATTCAAACATGTTAGATGAAGTCTGGTGCTCACTTAATTCGAAATCTTCGTTGAACGAGCAGCATTGTCTCCACAGAAGCAACAGATTGTTATGTCATGAACATTGTTATCATGTCATTAACGAAAATGCTGAATAACACAGCATCGTCAAGTCCCTCTGCAGCCTTAATTTGCTAAAGATCAACCCTGTCGTTAAATTTTATTTGATTAAAAATATTGCAATTAGTGTCAAAATGACTTAATTTGGTGTCTTAGTAGTGCCTTTTATTTATGTTACCAGAGTATATACCGTATATCATTACTTTAGTGTCAAGTTGGAAACTATGCGACATATTTGTAACGGAGAGTCGAATATTTCAGTCATGCTTTCCACTTCATGTATGTTTCTAATGTGTGCTGTGATACTGGATTAATATTGATGACTATTTACCCTGATTTGCTCCTCGCGGAATTTCAGAAGTATTGGGACAACAATAAAGCAGTAAAGAGTAGGTAGTGCATCGCGTAACTCGGATCAGACATTTTTTCATTATGGGAATTGAGTAGCTATTCACATCATAGTTCATTTCCCCATAGTCTCTTGCATTCATAAACATTCGAGTGCTATACCTTAAACCTTTCTCATAGATTTATTACCATAGAAATTCCGAAAGGTTTGTTAAAAAATCAGACATAGTAGAAATTAGAGACGGTAGTTATTTTTGTTGTCTATCTTTGGTAATTTTATTTTCTGCTGATATTTTTCGCAGTTTAAAGATCGTTCTTTTCATGTTCATTTTGCTACTCATTCATTTATTTACTGTAAAAATCCAGACCTTATTTTCATTGCTGAATATCTGCTGTACAACTAGAAGGAAAAGTATTTACCAATAATCAAGTTGAATACAGCCTATGTTTAATTGCACCATAGTGGGAAATGGAAAATGCAAATTGTTCCATTCAGATTGTATTTCATAATTGTAGCCCGAAATAATGGCGTAACAAGGGAAAAATGAGCTGCAGATGAATGTGTATTAATTACTTGAAAAAAAAACTTGGACATTGATTAATGCTGAGCATCAATGATAGTAACGTATAATTTTGATCATAATACAGACACGTGAGTAGTTAGAAACTTGTTTTACAACGAATATATACGATTAGATCATTTTCAAAAATCACTGACACTTATTCGAAATTATTTTGCAGATTGTTACGTTCCTCTTCATGCAGTTGACTCTGATAGATGATAATCTGGGAGTGTTAGGACTACAGTTTCATTTATCGCTTTAAAGCTCAAGTCCTCGACTAAACACAAGTGTTCATCACTCTTAGTCATAGGATATTTTTCTTATCTCAACACTCATAAGGATTGTTTCTTATCCCAACACTCGTAAGGATTACTCCTTATCCTGAATGTAGCGCTCACATTCCTGCAGTAGCCTGGTCATCTCCTGAAAGCCCTGCAGCGCCACGGCCTCCTGTAGCGGCAGCCAGCGGTGTGCGACGTGCTCCTCAGACAGACGTACGGGGTCATCGAGTCCAGCCCGTAACTCGGCCAGCCAGTACACGACAGTCTTGGGGCGGCCCTTGACCATGTACTGTGTGATGACATGAGTACATGAGCTGAGCACAGTATATGTATGGGGTAATGGACAGGTAATAGTACATGACAGTCTTGGGGCGGCCCTTGACCATGTACTGTGTGATGTCATGAGTACATGAGCCGAGTACAGTGGATGTATGGGGTAATGGACAGGTAATAATAGTACATGAGCTGAGTACAGGGGATGTATGAGGTAATGGACAGGTAATAGTACATGACGGTCTTGAAGTTAGAAACTTGTTTTACAACGAATATATACGATTAGATAATTTTCAAACCTCACCGCCGCTTATTCGAAATTATTTTGCACTTTGTTACTTTCATCTTTATGCCGCTTACTCTGATAGATGATAATCTGGGACTGTTTGGACTACAGTTTCATTTATCGCATTAAAGCTCAAGTCCTCGACTGAACACAAGTACACAAGTGTTCATCACTCTTAGTCATAGGATTTTTTTCTTATCCCAACACTCGTAAGGATAGTTTCTTATCTCAACACTCATAAGGATTGTTTCTTATCCTAACACTCATAAGGATTGTTTCTTATCTCAACACTCGTAAGGATTGTTTCTTATCTCAACACTCTTAAGGATTACTCCTTATCCTGGATGTAGCGCTCACATTCCTGCAGTAGCCTGGTCATCTCCTGAAAGCCCTGCAGCGCCACGGCCTCCTGTAGCGGCAACCAGCGGTGTGCGACGTGCTCCTCAGACAGACGTACGGGGTCATCGAGTCCAGCCCGTAACTCGGCCAGCCAGTACATGACGGTCTTGGGGCGGTCCTTGACCATGTACTGTGTGATGTCATGAGTACATGAACTGAGTACAGTGGATGTATGGGGGTAATGGACAGGTAATAATTAATAATAGTAATGATATAAAAAAAGTCTCTCGACCTCGAAAGCAGTTTTGAGAAGACTATCCTGCAGGCCAGTCCTCTCATCATAGCAAAGGCAGGGATATATCCAAAGAACTGGCTTGTTTTCAGTCATTGAATGACATTCCAACATCAATCATGCACATTAATCATTAATTTCATGCGTTAAAACCATTTAATAGTACTTAGGACTACTTGATAAACCCCATCGCAATGTTAGTATTTCTATCGTGGACGCTCCAAAAACAGGTCTGTTCGCATTACTGTGAGTTAATATTTCGCGTGATACAAATACTGATACTGATAACCTACAGGGAAGAAACATTTATGTCTGTATTATGTTATTATGTTATGTCTCCCGACACTAGAGTTTATGAATTATAAAACTCAAAGGCCCATCTTATTCCATTATTCTCACTGGTACCAAGCGTACTAATTCGAAGCATTTCTGTCTCGAGAACGAGCGAAGTTTAGTTGCTTTTAAATGTACTTTGAACAACAGTGATACAGTCAATGGCTGCCTCAGTTTAATATGAATCAACGTTTCCTGATTAAAGAAAGCCCAACCTGTAATTCCCTGCGGAAGTTCATGTCGATGATGTAGTGCGTCTCGTTCTCGAGACCTGCTTCCTCCTGAGTCTCTCTGATGGCGGTCTGCAAGTCGTCCTCGCCTGCATCAACGTGACCTAAGACGAAGGGTTCGAATAAACGTCAAATGATGTCAATAAGCTAGCACGTATTGTACAGCTAGCACCAAAAAAGTCGAAGCAGCTTACTCAATCACTCGATGGTAATAAATTGAGATCAGATCACACATCGTGAATTGAACTAAATGAAACACACCCCCATGAAAATTCGCGAATTGTAAAATTACTTGTAACTTGGAGCGAAGATTTTCCAAGGAGTTAATCTCAATAACCGAAAGGGGCCAGAAATTTTTTTGTTAACGTCCGAAAAATACGTTTCAATTCGTCTTAATCCAGACGACAAAACACCAAAGTAAGCAGACGAAAAATTAAAAAAATATCCATATTAAAATTTATATTCCAAGTTGTGTTCCACACAAGTTGTATTCCAAGTCTTACCTTTCGGCGGGGTCCAGTGTTTGCCTGCATAAGACGCTTGCATGAAGAGATACTCTACACAACCGAAAACTTTACGGTAAATGATGAAACCTGCAGCGCGAACCGACATCTTTGTTCACAACTGACGGAAACGTTACTCATGTCACTACTGCTGTCAAGAGGCTGACAATTTTTCATTTAAAAGCTCTGGGACTGAGGCTTGGCATATCCTAAACATAACAGTGAGACCGAAAAAGTTATGAAAACATTTCTTAGTTAATTGTCATGTGAGGCCTTATGGTCATTACTATATTTTTCATGCCTGCAATCACAAAACTAAACTTGGGTATCATTCCCAAACTCACTCACTACTCGGAGTACTAAGACTTCGCTGATTGTCGCAACAAACTCTAGGTCCGTGAAAATGTTCGCACAAACTTTCCCACGGACATCATTGCCATGTTTTCAGTTGTTGCCAAGTTGAATGTTCAATACGAGCGATCGACCAAACACAATAATACCGGTACGAAAATCCGTCATTAAAATGCAGTTGATTTGTCGGTAACATGCACTTGATTCTAAGGAAATAATTAATTGCTACTTCGGTCGCACGTGAGAAACCCGATGCCAATTAAAGTTTCTTCATTTACGCAAAAATCTTCTTAACTAATATAAAAACAGTGCATGACCACAAACTAATTTCGAGAGTAAAATTTCCTGCAATGACAAACGAGTCGAGACGATTAATATCGAAAAATAATCATCGACATGTTAAGACGCGTGCATTGGATGCCAAACCTGAAAGATTTTGTAGACCTTCCTTACTAAAACCCACAGTCAATCCAGTAAGTCATGGAAACCAGCATTAACATAGATAAGCTATTGAATGAAATCTTGGAGTATACCGGGAAATTCGGAACAAACTGGTTTCTAAATAATCTCTTACTTAGAGATTAATTAATTAATTTTTTTTTCAATCTCTCTCTGGTTTCTAAGAAGTCTCTTACATGGCAAATACGACCAAATAAATATTGTCGCACTTCTCCGGTACCAGGGAAAGTGTTAGTCCCTTAGCGCCACCACTCTTGGCCAGAGAAACTCACCCATTTCTTGATCAATATTTAGGGAACATGAACTATTTATGAAACAAATAAGCAAACGTTTCCCAGCAAGAAGATCAAATTAAATTTAAGAGTTATTTATAAAGGACCTAGAGCCCCTTGATTAATAATGATCACATGTACTGGGCGTTGAACCAATGTTCCATAAGCCGCCATCTTGGAATTGAATATCTTCAACTCAAAAAAATAAACGAGTTCTTTTGTACTAATAGTGATGCACATTCTTACCCCCAACAGGAGTAGAGAGCGGACGTAGCACAGATACGCCCTCTTGCCGGGCCACACTTGGTCAGGATGACTAACACAAAGCAAAAAGTGCTTTGCTATTCGTACAAAGAAACTCATCTCTCTGAGTGTAGTTTAATACTGAAGTTTTTTGTGCGTCATGAAAACAGGAAACTTTTCACCTGGCCAGGCGTTTTAGCACTTCCGTGAGTAAAGATCGCGGTTTTCATGCAACATGCCACATCGCATGCTCTCAAATCAAGTCATCCATCCACCAAATTTACGTATATAATAATGTGAGCTCCAAACAAGTTACTAAACATAGAAACATGGAGTCTTGAACGCCAAGCATTAAGCTCTGAATAACATTCCAGCAGAAATCGTATACCGCATCAAGCAAGTTCCTCGATTGTACGATGAATTCCCTATCGAAGTAGCACATATTTATGTCATCTATGAACGCTCGAAGAATAAGAGCCTAAATTTACAAAGAGATAAATGAAATGCAGATTGTTGGAGAACTTTATAATGGACAAAGATTAGGCAAATGGCATCCCTATTAGAGTACTAGGAAGCTGAGCAGGAGAACTAATCGAGATAACATTTCTACAGCGACAAAAAAGTTTCATTTAACGGTGATGAAGCCCCTCAAGGAAGTCTCATTTCCATCCAAGTCCACCACAAATCTCACTTCCAAGGAACAAGCCTCCATTAGAAGAAGCCAGAAACACATCACTACGGTGAAAAATTTCATCTTATAAGATAAGCTTAGTAAATAAAAATGAAGTCACCTTTGCATTACGAACAACCCATCACGACCCTTTTCAACCATTAGTATGCCAACATTGTGTATCGCAGCCTCAAAACAAGATCGGATTCATAGACATAATTGAATCTACTCATTCGTGGACTACCAATGACAATACAATGGTGAGAACCAGGTTGCCAAATGACGCTCTGCACTTTCTTTGAGCACACCAACGTCTCATTACGCACATTGACGGGACACAGACGCCATGAGCGGATGAGCCCAGTGTTGAGGCCAAGAAGTTTCAAGAATCATCTCGATACATTCAATACATTCAAGTGACAGTAGTACGAAAACCTGTAGACCTCAAAAGGGATGGTCTGTTAACACGGACCAAGAAAAGCGGCTTTAAGAAGTTCTAATTTGCCAGGATTTTAGCACAATGCAAGTATAATTAAACTAAAACATTAATTGGTGAGCGTCGTAGCGTGGCTACCGATTTCAACGAGTGGTAAATGGCGATCTTTTTCTTCACTTCATAAAGTTGTATAACTGCTTAAATGAGACACAAATACTACAATAACAAGCGGTATGTTCCTGTCAAATTTCACTCATTACTCTACAGACACACAAATTAAATCATAGCGCAGAATATTTTCATTTCATTTCCATCCACGCAGGCCAGAAATTAATGAGGACCTGGCTATATCAAGGCATTTATTAGAATTGATCCAATATTGTTCTACACTTCAGGTTCGGGATTTCTTTACACTAGAATGCTTGGCTGAACAAAACGTCTACCGATAAGTCAAGATCATAGAATAAGCAAGTCCAGTTTCGCGGAACACGATGCATCAACGACGTAAATGTATACGTTTAGGTCTACAAACTCCAACAAGAAATGAAAAATCCAACTTCAATGCTGAGGTTAAACGTAATCAACACTAAACCCAAAATACGATTTCAAACAAAAAAGTAAACAGAAGCCCATTGACAATGCATTGTCATATTCATCGAAAGTTTCTATTTTTAAAAGATATTTTGAAGAGGCAGAGTGAGAAGAGCACCATCAGTCCATCACAATACTACAGGGAGAAAGCATTGTTCTTCCGTGTTACGACAACATTTCTTGGAAACTGAAATCCAGTGAAAAGGTTCAGATTTTAAACAAAATCAACGGATATAAACCATCAATATTAACAAACAACGCACAGATAAAAATGTTGTCTCGTCAAAGGTAACAGCAGATCTAACGACAACAAAAACGTAGGAGGAAGCAGGTAATGAGATGATGAAGGAAGTTCGGAAGTCTGTTCTGCCACGTCACTGCGAATTTTACGACTTAAAGGATTGTTGAATTAGAGAGAATAATCCACAGCCGAATGCTTTGGCTTGAAATACACAACCTTGGTGATCACCGCATTCTACGACGAAGTACCTTACACGGGGTGACTTGGACCGTTTTGACTTCAAGACAAGAAAACCCTATAACTTAAAAAGTTCTTGCCAGAGAAAAATTGTGTTGATGACCCTAGAAGTACCACGAGATAAACTACAAATACAATAGAGACGTACTTTATATATTTACTATTTGACTATGTGTATCACAAAAAGGTAAGCGCTAAAAATGGTTCAAGTCACCCCGTATCGCGGCAGCACTCGAGTGAAACGGTATGAACAACTGAAATGTCACAAAAAGTGACTTCATGACGAGAGAAGGAAGATTGCAGATGAATAAAGTTTTCGTGCAATGAAGGTGAACATTGCTGCATACACCAAAGCTGCAGTCCTGAATCCTGTCAAACGAGCGCCTGCAAATAACTCTAAATGAAGAAGAGATGTCTGATTGTCAAAAGCAGTTTCAATTTCCGTCAAAACTGAGACTACAGAAAATTTATCGACCATTCATTGCTCTCCAACATTATTTGAATCCCTAACACTTATAAGTGATTGCAGTCACATCAAGAAACAAGAAAATCGCGCTCTAAAGTCACCAGTCATCTTTTGTTAACGAGTCACCAGCACTTTCCTCCTCCATCGCCAAGTAGCAGGAGAAGCGGAGGTGGGTTTTCAGTAGCAACAGCATTGGATCTTCTGAAGGCTTCAACATGACTGCAGCAGCAGCCAAACTTTCAAGGACGTGGGATTCCTTTCTTTTGTCTATTCTAATATAAATGAGCTTTATCATAATTGAACGAGTGCGCCTCGCATTACTTCACATCGTCCAATCAAAAAAACTTCCTACACATCTCAGTTATTTCCAATAACAAGGGATGAGATCATTGCAGTCTTAATTATCCAAATATGACGCTGATTTGACATAGGCGTTTTATAGAAGAATATTAGAACAAAGGGCACTTAAATTCATGAGGAGACACTAACAGGAACGCTCCGCAACACCACACTATCTTCTAGTCCATGTCCCGCAACCACAAAGGTGCTCCTGCCTTCAATGATCTTGACATAACTGCAATCGCGATCTATAGAATAAGAACAGATACAACACTTTATAACAAATCTTGCGCTCACGCACACAAAGAATGCAGAGCTGAAAAGAGAACACCTCCTATGGAAATAAATGTGATGTGTAGTGGGAGACTGGTGAGGTGATCGGAGGTGTTTGAAGACATTACACTCGACACAAGACGCCACAGCTATAGATTATTTGTCTCATGACAGAGAAATTGTTCTTGGAAATTATAAATCTCCAAAAGTAGACGAGACAAATCTCAGCAACTTCGACATCTGGAGTAGTGTAAGGTCTTCGGTGTGTGGACTAAAGGTCCTTGTTTTTTCTTTCATCTCCACACAAGTTGGCGTTCTAAGAAGGGCTGCGTTCTAAGCGGCAGTCTCGCAGTCGCGGGCCATGTGGCCGAAGTCGCCGCAAGCGTAGCACTTGGGGCAGTTGCGAGCAATGTGGCCTTTGCTGCTGCATCTGAGAACAATCAACAGCCATGAGCTGAAGGGCGCTAAGACAGTACAATAAGTTTCATTTCCTGTTGAGTCAGCAATATCATATTAATCGTCTTACTTAGAGGAAAAAATGAATCTTAGATGCCACTGGAAAGAAGCATAGGGTACATTAAAATGTCCATAACAATTCTTCATAAAATCACAACGAAAAAGTGATGATTAGTAAAATATTTCTAACTAATACACATGATATGATACCAGGATGTTTATTACAAGGGCTTAATAGTTTACTGACTTGAAGCAGGCAGCGTCAGACCCTCCCTGAGAACAATCCCTGGAGAGATGGCCGGTGCCCCCACAGTTGTAGCAGCGCTTGTCGCTCTCATCTCCCCCAACGGGACACTCGTGCGAGATGTGCCCAATTTTTCCACACACATAGCACTGAAAATCAATACCGTATGCAAATTTATTCATGATCAAAAAATAGTACACAGCGTCAAATGCATTGGATACGGTTAGTTGACAAATACTTCTATCAATCAAAACTTCAACAAGACTAATAGAAATCTGTAAAAATTAGCTGGTTATAAATACGTCACATATGTAACAGCAAGTTCTTACACATTCATATAAAAAAAATTTTATGAGCCATTGCTATATGAAGTAAAGAGTTGGATGCAAACAATATAACCAAAAAAAAAAGATGATTACCTTGGCTCCACTGCGACCTCCACCTCCACTACGTCCGCCGTCACGTCCACCATCACCACCATACTCATTCTTGTTCATGGTGCACTGACGTCCAATGTGTCCGGACTTGTTGCACACGTAGCACAGACGCTCGGGCTCCGGGCACTCGCGTGCCAAGTGTCCAGGCTTAGAGCAGTTGTAGCACGAAGGAGCCATGCGTGACGACGACTGGCTAGATGAGTCGTTCTTGTTCATTGTACAGTCACGGCTGATGTGACCGGCCTCGTTGCACACGTAACATAGACGGTCAGTCTCGGGACACTCGCGCGCCAGATGGCCGGGCTTGGAGCAGTTGTAGCAAGCTGAAAACAAATATAAGGGGTTAATGCATCAGCAAACTGCCAAGAAACTTAAGAGGTTTGTGCATCTTGTACGAGAACAATTTTCGAAATTTAACGTGAGAAATGATCCTTACAATAATCTTATATATACCTATATATTTAAGCTTGTGCGTGTGCGACTGGGTTTGTGCGTATGAAGAGTGACACGGTGACACCACAAGTATATCGGGCGCGAATCCACGATACTGATCGTGTCGGTATATTACCAGAACTTGACATTATATTTTTAATGGGAGAGTTGGAAAGGTTTGGAGGAAAATAATTATATATATAATTTAAAGACACAGAATAGATATTTCCATGTTTTGAAACAATTTAATGCGAGTCCTATCTTTAATGTAAAATTTTGGTTTGAAAAGAAAACACAAGCTTTATTATTAGGGATTTGGTATTCCAAGAACAACGGGATATAAACTAACAGGATTACAAAATTACATGAATTGTCTAATTTAGGCAACGGCAGGCTAACCTGCTAGTTTAAAATGAAATTAAGAGATCTGGGTGGGTGGTGCTCCTACCCTCACTATGAAAGAACTTCCTTATGGAAATCGCGGGATGCACGGGAACAAGTTATTATTTTGGTATATACATTAACAGTGGCGCTCCATGTTGCCAACTGGGGTCATAGGCTTTCAGCATGTCAAGGCATACATGTTTATATTCAGTTTTGCTCTCAACCATAAAATTCAGTACTCAGATAAGTGCTTCAGAAGAGCAAATAAGAAGTCAGACACCATATCGTACGGTACACAAGGTTTCGATTCTTAAGGTATGATATATTCATTCATGGCAATGGAGCAGTAGAAGAACATCTTCAGGTGCGGTTTTCAAGTTTAGAGAAATATCTATAACTGAAAAAATTAAACATTGAAAATAGCTATAAAAACAATTCTGGTTTCTCACTGGCACCGAAACTGCTGCCGCCACCACCACCACCTCCTCCTCCGCCGCTGCTGCTTCCACCACCGGGAGGCGAGGAGTCTCGCTCGGCAGGAGCCACAGAGCAGTCGCGGGCGATATGCCCCACACCATCGCAGCGGTAGCAGTGGTCCTCGGACTCTTTGCAGTCACGAGCAAAGTGCCCAGGGCGGTTGCACTTGTAGCATTTCGTTACTGCAAAGAACCATTTTGTTAGAGGAAAGTAGCATTTTGAGACTGGATTGAAGCCTCTTGTGAATGGAAAGTAGCATTCTGTGTGAACAAAGTAGCTCCTTATGAGAGTAAAGTAGAATTTTGTGACTGTAAAGAAGCCTTTTGTGAGAGGTAAGTAGCATTTTGTGAGGGAAGTAGCATTTTGTGAGGAAAGTAGCATTTTGTGAGAGGAAAGTAGCATTTTGATTTTTGAGAGAGGAAAGTAGCATTTCATGAGGAAAGTAGCATTTTGAGAGAGGTAAGTAGCATTTTGAGAGAGGAAAGTAGCATTTTGAGAGAGGAAAGTAGCATTTTGAGAGAGGAAAGTAGCATTTTGTGAGAGGAAAGTAGCATTATGTGAGAGGAAAGTAGCATTTTTTGAGAGAAAAGTGGTATTTTGTGAGAGAAAAGTAGTATTTTGAGACTGAAAAGAATCATTTTGAGACTGAAAAGAATCATTTTGAGACTGGAAAGAAGCATTTTGAGACTGAAAAGTAGTAGCACATTGTGACTAGGAAGTAGCATTTTATGATAAGAAAGTAGCATTGTGTGACTGGAAAATAGAATTTGGTGACTGTAAATCAAATTGTGAGTAAATTGACTTTTTGTTCAGAGGAAAAAAACAACAAGTGACAGATTCACAACATTGGTTTCATAAATGGCAAACTGAAAATGTGTATGAAACTGAATTTCTATTGGGAGGAGACAAAATCCATCAATAACAGTTACAAATAAATTAAATTCAGCATATAATAGGAGTTAGCAAGTAAACCAAAATATCATGATTGTTGATGTAAATAAATATGTCTGCATAATTAAATCTTACACAGCATTTAGGGCCTCAAGTATTACAACTGCTAACTTCAGGCATTCAAACACTTTCTTATTTTTCAGCATAACAGATGGCAGACAGGTAAAATGATCATACTGTAAAAATTATTTCTGAAAACGTGTATAAAAATTAGCAGCTGCTCAACTGCATGCATTTCCATGGCTGGAGTGACTGAAAATTTCCTATATTTTGTACCTACTTTTCACTGGAATGCCAGTTCTACAGGAATCAATTATTCTAGTATTTAACCTTAGCAAGACTTAAAATGCATAACTTTTGACCATACAAATGAGGCATGAGATTTTTCTGACAATTTCTAAGTAAATACAAATAACTGATAATTATAAAAATGTAAAATGAGTTGCTGGATTTAGGAATAAGCAGAAAAATTAAGAAGCTCACATTAGACTTCAGGCTATAAATAGGTAATTTAAGAAACCAACCACAAAGTTAAGCAATTCAACATCAAAATAGGACAATCAAATCTTGGTAATTCACTTGTGATGTATTTACAACATTATTAACTTGATACAAACAGATAGCAAGAAAAAAATAAAAAGTTACCAAGTCAATAATGAACTTTTTTAATAATGAAAATAATTCAACTTACAGAAATAAAGCTTGGGTATGCAATAAGTTTGGTGAAATACTGGCAAGGAGAAGCATTTAGAGCATGCCAGGAACACAAAATTTAGCTGTGGATCATTGTTCCAATGAACTAATCCTGTTTCAGTCTATGCAACTCGCATGATTCCTCAAGTCTAGGGACCAACAATCAAGTTGAATTCAAGCTATTTACTAAGAAAATTTTTACTTGAAAATTATATACTTAAAAATGAAATGTAAGGCAATTAAAAAACACAATATATCAAGAAAAGCTACTAAAAAATAAGAAAAATGTTAAAAGTCACTAATTCAAGAAGATATAAATTGAAACTATACCCCAGAAAGGCATTAACATTAAAATGGACCAACTTTTTTTCTCAACTAAGCCTTACATAGGAAACGGCTTGGCATACAAAACTAGGTATCTTTACTACAATCAACAACATAAGGTTAGGTGGCACCAACTAAACCATGACGTAACAACACACTGATTGGATGGATGACATAGACGAGTGTACAGCAAAGCTAAACAAGAAAGTACAGAACAACTCACTGTTTCCATATCTTTTCACTGAAACAACAGAGAGTGAATTACACTCAGCTATAATTACAAACCGAAATGTGGATACACATTTTCATAATTGAAATTGCTGGTATGATTCACAATTTCAAGTAGGTGGTAGCAGCAATATGAAAAATTAGTTTAAAATTTACAATAATAATCAGGTTAATCCTTAATAGTATAGAAAATAACCACTTACTTCGTCCACCACCCGAGGATCCCCGGCCACGGTTCATACTGCCACCACCACTGGCGCCTCCACCACTACTGCCATGGCCATTAGGGCCACGACCACTTGGGATGTTTCCCAAGTTGTGACATTCTCGGGCATAGTGCCCAATGCCGTTGCACTTGTAACATTTTGTCCCAGATTGCAACATTTTGAATGGTATCTACTGTCTATTCTTATTCTTAGACTGCAGCTGTTAATGTATAAGTAAGTTAAAGATGAACGCAGTAGCTGCTGCTGTTTAGGCAGGGAATGTTGTGTCTGCCAGTAATGTACTTTCAACTCTGACTGTTGCTCCGAAAACAACACCGCCACTCTCCTGCTCCTTCTCCTCACCTACTGCACCTCCAATACTTCTGCACACAACAAAATTGATAAATCACAATTGGGTATAAAATAAAATTATAGCATTAAGCTTGCAGCTGGAATGGCTGATCTAGGCAGCCTAATGCTGACACAATATTCAAAGCAATAGGACTTCCTAGAATCACAGCAGTCAAAATTTAATTTTACTTGCTAATATTAAGTGGCATTTAATAAAAAACTCAATCAGTTACAAAAAATAAATCTAACTTATATTTGTTTCATTTCTTGAAAATTTAGTTTAAAATATATGTTTACTGCAACACATTCAATAATGGTCCACAATTATCTTCAATGCCCTCCCATCTTGGCACAACATCATAGACTAGAATCAGTATTTTATTGCTACTCCTTTCAAGATGGGGGATGAATATGATATCCTTATTTTTTTATTGTATTGAGAACTTCAAGAAAGATTTATTGCTTTCTAGCAAAAGAAAAGTTATTGCAACACATAGCCAATAGACATAATTCCCAATCTTTGATTCAGAAGAAAATATGCTCAGAAATATCTTTATCCAAAGAAGAAAACTCACAAAATCTTGAATTAAATTTTTATCCTGCATACAATATCTTAGGCATTTCTTCTCCCTAAAGTTATTCAAAATCAAACCAGGTCACTGGCTTAGTCTCAAACAAGCTGGGCAAACTATAAAGGTGTTGAGGAATTCTAAGAATGGCGATTTGTATAGATATATACACTTTGTATTAATTCAACTGGTTCCTTTGATTGATTTAAAAATATCAGCTAGGGTAAATAAGAGTTAGTTTAAGGTATTCCACTCAATAGGAGTATATATACATACCAGTTCACTAATTACTGCTATCAAATGACAATTGGGTTGATCCATTATGTCATTCCAGAATTTAATTCTGTGCTACATGATACTATACTTATCCCTCTCAAAGGAAAGCCTGAAACATTGAACATGTGATGGTAAACCCCCATCAAAATGTGTGAGAAACGTATAAAAGTTAGCTAAACTAGGCTATATAATGGATTTTTGAACCAGGTGAGAAAAAGTCTACTTTCCTAGCAACAATTGACTTCTTTTCCTCCTTTTTGGAGCCATGACTCATCTACTTGATCAATCATCTCCTATCTAATCATGTATATTTTGGATAGAGCCACTCATTTTGACAGGTTTTGTTAGAAAGGATGCCACTTTTGTCAAGAATTTTATTGTTTCTCAAAATTTCTAATATTGGTTACAATGGCAGGATCAACAAGTCTTCATATTTCTCCAAAATAAAGGTTTTTAAAATCTGGTGATAAGTTATCCCCTTCAGGGCTACAAGTTTAGCAAATGAGGTGCTTCTAGGGTGGCTGCTGGAAGATGACTAACTGAAGCAGTAAAAGAAGCAAGAGCAAGGTTATGGTACAGTCCAATAGTAGGGCACAGTCAGTCTCGTTATGAAGTTTCAAAGTGCATTGAGATTAAGTTGACTGGTTATTTAGGTGTGATTTTCTGCGCTGAATTAGGATTGCTTCCAATATTTGTAATCAGTCAAAATCTGGTTTGTGACAAAGGATTTTTGTGTTCCTTACAAGTTTGTTTCTTGTTAATTTAGAGAAACTCAACTACAAAGAAATTTTTAAATAAAAGTGGCAGCCTTTTTAACAAACCCATTTATATATATGTCAGTTTGTAGGTGTTTTTGAACCTAGCATAACAAACATATTGGGGCTGTTTGGGCACCTGTCAATGATACTTTTGTGTTGGGATATGACCAGAATCTGAAATTTTGTTTTCAATGCAAGAAAAAGAAAAAAGTGAAAAAGCAGAAAGGATTGGAGGAGAACAAGTGATCAATATGAATTCAATTTGGAACTTTTTCTTACAAATTTTTAAACAAAAGTAGGATGGGAATCCTATCATCTATGTAAAATGTGAATTAGAAGTGGACAAATATATATGAATAAATGCACATACTGTAATTTAATAGATTAGGAACTACAGAATGACAGGAAAGGTGTTGCAGGAATTATCAAGCCTAGCAGTGCCAGTCTAACTAGCTAATTTAAAATAAACTGCTTGATTACAATGCAAGATATAAAATTTACCAAAATATGCAACTTACAGGACTTGATAATGCAGTATAGAGCAGACTTGAATTTTAGAAATGGTGGTTTGTATATTCAAGATTAATCCAGCCTGGTAACTTGATCAGTTCAAAAATCAAAGCACAATCTATAAAGAAAATATAAATTCAGGTTTTAGATATACATTATGTGCATTAGTTCCTATATTCTCCTTCTTGCATTCTACCCTAATTTTTGATCCATAAAAACACCAACAATTTGACCAATATTATTGGAGTCTTGAAGACCAAGGCAAGATAGGAATTTTCATATTGATAACAGGAATATTGCAGCTCTAATGTGATATTTTCAATAAATTTGGAATCTTGCAGAGAAGGTAGAATGGAATCCTCTGAGAAGGTAGACAAATTCACACCAGGGCTAAGGTAGCTATGGCAAGAAGTTCTCAATTGTACTGTGATCAGCTACTGCTGAAAAGAGTGATCTTGGCAGCAGTTTGAATATGTTGGTGGTGGAAATTTCCCCAAACTAGAAATTTGGAAAGGAGCCATCTCACACCTATAAATGGGCAGCATTTCACTCACTTCATCAGCTCCTGCCATCAATTTCTTTTATAAAAATTCAGATAACAGTAAATTTTTGCTACAAATTTTGAGAATCCCAAATTGTGACCCAAGAAACAGTAGTGATTATCAGAAAATACTATGCAAAATTTTGAGATTGGGTGGTGTACCAATTTACTTTTATATACTTGACAGTTGACACTTTTAGGTGTCAGCACAGCCATTCTCTGATTCTGGAATATCAGAGGTTAAACTATTGTTCTACAGGCAACTTCTGCACATCATGTGCAAAAATGTGCTATCTTTCTAATTTTTTTAATACAAAAATTAGACAAGGGCCATAGAAAGAGTTGAAATTGACAGAAAGGATAGACATTTCTGTCTCATTTACAGGTGACTTGCCATTGTCTTCAACTCTGCCCTATGTTTTGGAATAGTAGAACAGTAGGATATTATAATTAGACTGCAATACAAGTTAAGAAATTACATCCTTTCTTCTAGCATGGTAAACTTATACCTTCAATGCCACAACTAGAGCTGTCCAGTACTTCAGAACATGGTGGCATTCTAAATGCCTTCTAAACCATGTACCTATGTAATTGAGGAGTGCACTTCCTGAAACCAAAATAGGAGCACTTCCTCTGAAAGGACTGGGATGGCCTGGACGACTGTACTACAGTGCTCCAGCACCAAAATCACTGTCAGTTCCTAAACAATAAGCACTCCTGCAAGGCTCTTGAATCCCCCCTATTAAGTACCTATATTATGTCATTCAGGGCTGGAAAAGTCCCATTTTTTCTGAAGTATTGTGGCTCTAATATCATATAATTTCAGTAGGTATGAAATTTTGAGGTCTAATGTCATTATTTTTTGTTTGATAGGAAAAATCGGGTTTTGCACTTAGCAAACATAATGCTTCATAAAATTTTTAACTTCCACAATCCGCAGTATATATACTCCAGCCAATGCTCCTGCCTCCAGCCAAAATAACATGCAAAAAGTAATAACATCAACAACAAGTCAACCCAAAATGTTTCTTCAAAGATCACGTAGTTGTGGTTATGTCATAACAGTCACACTGCATTTTCACTTGTTCAGTTGCCGCTTAAGTGAAGACAAATGTTAGTGACTGTTTTTATGGTAAAATTAGAGATGTGGGGTAACACGTGCATGGGACTTAGTAAATAATAGGTTTGCAGCTGGTAAATGGCTTTTCAAGGCCGAGATATGGAATTCACGGCTCAAACAAATGGAATCATGGCTGGCAAACCCATAAAACAATGGCTCAAAAATCCAGTCGCAGCTTGCCAAGTAGATATATTCTATGCCTGACATCATTAAGTGAACAGCTGGGCTGTAAGGTTCCAAATATGACAAAAATTTGCCATGTTGGACAAGAAGGCATAAGATTCCAGAATTAAGCAGGAAAGTTTAAATCCTGCCTTCATAACTGAACCTCTCAGGCTCCCTGTCCCTGTTTATTGTGCAGTACTATAACAACTAAGAAGTTTTCAATTGTAATTTTCAAATCTTTAACCCTTTACCACCTGATTTTCTGGGTCAAAAATTGCAAATTTTGATTTTCCAGTTTTTATGCCCATCTTAAAGCTGACGTTCTGACCTATCCAATGGTACCAAAATCATTTCTGTATGTTGATTTGTGCATTCACAACAGATCACAAAAGGGTTAGGGGTGGTGGAGTTCTTTCACATTTAAGGGGACCGGCTACCCTCCGGAAAAACTTCTACAGTTATTATCCGATCATCATTAAACTTCACATACATATGTAAAATGTAAAAAGAAAAACATTTTGCTCATATGAATTTTTCGAAAAAATTGATAGAAAACGTGAAATTCATAGAAAACGGCTAAAAAGGGGTACTTTAGAAAATCTATCTCCTCCCACAAATATCATCCTACAACATCGAGACACGTATCAATCGATTCGTAAAGACCATATCTATTGACTCTAACATCACTTTTTTCATTTTCCATCTAGTTTTTTTTTATTGCGTTTTTTCCATTTTTCCCCATTTTTTTCTCATTTTTCACCCCTCCCCCCCATATAAAAAACGAACCAGACCGAAATTCAAAAAAGTGATGTTAGAGTCGATAGGCCTGGTCTTTACGAATCGAATGGTATATGTCTCATTGCTGTAGCTTGAAAACTGTAGGAGGAGATATATTTGCCGTGAGAGCAGTATGAGGTTTTCAGTACGGCCAAAAGACTGCCCGCGCGGCACTTAAATAGACATAAAAGAGTCGCAACGCAGCCAAAATACCGTAACTTAGCCTTAAACCATTCAGGAAGGTATGGAGCAACTGGCTGTACACCTTTCACGTCGCTGTCATGATGGGCACTGAGAGGTTTGGCTTCAGCTTGCAGTTTTAGTAGTCTCGCCCCGTAATTAGTGCCTTAGGAATTACTTAGGGCCGCCCCCAACCCCCCCCCCTGTTCTATGGGGCGTGGTGCAGTAGAAAATGGAGGTACAAAGATGGGTGTACCACCAATCGATGCGTAAGAAAGTGCTCTTTCAAACAAGACTATGCCCACTTTAGTGCCATGATTGGCTGCTTAATGCCAGGCCTTCCTTTGTGGAGTGACCAGCGCGTCATTTATCCTCGTAGAGTTTTGTTAACACGTTGACTACGTATTGGTACATATGCGTACCACGAAATGTATTTCTCCAGGAGGTAGTGGTGCATAATTCAGGTTGCCTAAAATCGGCAAAATCCGAGAACAAAAAAGGCCGATAATTCAATGTATACTAGTTTATTTGTAGGTTCCGCTATAAAAATTCCATTTATTTTCTTTTTGCAGTATTTAAAATTTAATTAGGAAGTACCCCTATCATAAATTTTAGCCGGCCAACGCAATTGAGAAAAACTAAATCACGGAATTTGTCCGGAAAAAATGACCGTCTAGCAACCCTGCTTAAAAAAGTACAAAAAATGAAATAATAGTACTAGATGAATCAATCGTAGTCAACGTGTTAAGGGACCTAAAACCCGCCTCCCTTTGAGGAGCTGTCACAAAGTGATTTTTCGACGCACAGGGATGATACTTATATCGTTCGATGCGCAAGAAAACAACCTTTAAGATGAGATAAGAAACAGAAAAACTCAAAATTTTCAAATTTTAGGGTAGCCGGTCCCCTTAAGATAGGCAGAAATTACCGGCCGGGCACATAAATAGATGGTCTGAAGATGCATAAATAGACGGTCTGCTCTTTAGTTACCCAGCTGCTGTAATGTGGGATGGTTCTCATGCAGTTGTTCCCACCATCCTTGACTGAATTTCATCTCCAGTAACGTCTAGTCTTGTATCCATACCACCTTGAATGCCTATTTTGAGGAGCTTGGGACTTTGTCGCACTCTACTGAACATTCACACTTCTTGACACTGCAAACCTATCTCCTCCTAAAGTTTTTGAGCTACAGCAATGAGAGATATACTATTTGATTAGCAAATAGAAGATAGAGAGATTGGCTGTAGTTTTTTTTTTTCTATTTCATTATAGTGTTAAAAATATTTTGAAAAAGGAAGGGAAATTCAAAAGGGTAGAGGTGATTTATAGGGGAATCAAAAAATTTCCAAAAAATGCCCACCCCACCCATAAAAATTATAACTAAAAAAAAAACTACAACCAATCAATAGATATGGACATGGTCCTTACACAACGAATGATATGCATCTCGATGTTGTAGCTTGAAAATTCTGGGAGGAGATAGATTTCCACAGTACCCTTTTTTGGCTGTTTTTCAAGATTTTCATGCATTCTTTCATTTTTTTTTTTTTAATTCACACAAACAAAAAAGTATAGATTTATGTTTCACATAGTGTACCTACCAACAGTGTGGAAATCCAGAGGGGTAATATATTAACTGGTAAACATAGCAAATTGGAAAGCAGGACCCAAAAATCTGGAACGTCCAGCACACTTCCACTTTCACTCCATCATCATCACTGATGAGTCTCTGCAAGATGCCACAGCTGTTTCTTTGAAAAAAAAAACAGTGCTTGCATCATCACAGTAACAAGAATCCAATCAACGCTCGAACGCGTCCAACGTAACAGTCACAAGAATCCAATCAATATAATGCATCAGCAAACTGCTAAGAAACTTAAGGGGCTTTTGCATATTGCACGAGAACAATTTTATAAATTTAACGCGAGAAATGATCCTTACAATAATCATATATATATTTATCTAATCTTGTGTGTGCGCGACTGGGTTTGTGCGTAGGAAGAGTGACACCACAAATATATCGGGCGCGTATCCACGATATTGATCGTGTCGTATATTACCAGAACTTGACATTATATTTTTAATGGGAGAGTTGGAAAGGTTTGGAGGAAATGATTGCAATGAAAATTGGATTTGATTTGGCAATCGGTACATATAAATTCAATTTAAAGACACAGAATAGATATTTCCATGTTTTGAAACAATTTAATGCAAGTCCTATCTTTTATCTTTTATGTAAAATGTTGGTTGAAAAGAAAACATAAGCTTTATTATTATTAAGGGGATTTGGGATTCCCAGAACAACGGGCTATAAACTAACAGGATTCCAAAATTACATGAACCGTCAAATTTAGGCAACGGCAGAAGAACTTCCTTATGGAAATCGCGTTATGCACGGGAACAGGTTCCTATTTTGGTATATACATTAACTGTGGCGCTGCATGTTGCTAACTTGGGGTCATAGGCTCTCAGCATGTCAAGGCATACATGTTTATAATCATGGCAATGGAGCAGTAGAAGAACATCTTCAGGTGCGAGCAGAGAGTTTTTTAGACTCTCCAGTCTCTCCCTCAAGTTCATTTTTGAGTCCTATTGGTAGACCAGTAAAGTATCCTGGATACCAGCATTACCAGACTTAAGAAATTGGTTTAAATCTTGAGTAAATGAAGAAATTAAAAATGAACTGATTCTAAAAAAGCCCTGGTTTGCCACTATGGAGGTGACAGAATTACCTACGATGTCGCCTGTCGGAATATACCGCGTTTACCCTAATTTACAAGGGCCATAGGTGATAGGAAGACAAGGCTTAAAAATTGGAAAGAATCTGCTTAAAAAACAATTAGGTCCTACTACCTACTATACTCTAAAATAAATGTTGTTAGTGGGTGGCTGTTTCTTCTTGAAACAATGAAGAAACTTCCTGGCATTTGAGGTAACAAATAACTTGAAAAGTATTGCAAAAATAAGGTCATCAATATATTAGGTTACCTATTCCTAAATATTGCTGCAAAAAAATATTTTTGGCAGATGTCATGTCGGTTTCTAGCTAGGGCTACTTGAAAAAAACAAGAAACTTCCTGACCTGTGTGGTAAGTGGTAACAAATAAAAGAAATAGAAGGGTAAATAGAAAAACATGATCACCAATGAGCGGACTATGATTTTTACAGCAAAGTGATCTAGACGAAACATTTATCAATCAAATTAACACATTACTTTGCTCAACACAACTTTTGGGCACGAGAAACAACGATCCAAGCCCACATGGTCCCAATCTTCGGAACTCGCGATAGCCAAAATATTGCTCCGGCAACTGAAGACAAAATATCATACCAAAGGAGATAAAGACACACAATTACTTCATAAAATGATACTTGAAAATTATTTAAACGATAGACTGCAAGAATTTTATACCAACATGCTATTTTAAGACCGCATTTAGAAAATATGAAGAGCTTACCTCTAAGTACGTCCTCCGCCGCTCAATCATTTACATTGCTTGAGAAAGTTTCGAATGCACTGCACAAACGCATGCGCCCAAATGATAACTTCTTTTTAAGCATATAAAACATCGGTACACATAAAAGAGTAAATATTCCAACAACTATTCACCTGATAATTTGTTTTACGTATCCCATACTCCTTAAGAAACCGTAATTAAAACCATAAACGTAACAAAATTAAAATGTTCGGTTTCGTGAAAGTTACGAACGGAATCGAACATAAAACGAAAGCAACTAGAAAGAAAGAATTGAGAATAGACTATTGTAAAACCCTATAATTAAAATAAAAGCAAATTATAGAATTTGAAATTGGTACTTAGTAGAATCAATTCAAATCCATTTTTGTCCATAAAAAATCATAATGTTCCGTACAGCATCTGACCGGTCGGACAAAAACACGTGAGCGTTAGCGCGGATCACAACGTGGGACAGTCCAGCCGTGAACCTGCTCTACACCTGCTTTAATTAAATCTGTGCTGAATGATTTTAAGGTAGCATTCAGCGCAGGTTTAAGCAGGTGTAGCGTAGGTTCAAGGCCAGACTGTCCCGCGCTGCATCTGCCAGAACCCGCTTAAAAAACAATTACTATGCATATATTTCATGAAAATGTTTAACTAATTGACTAATGGTAATTACTTTGAATGTCAATCAGACGAAGGAAACAAACTAAATTTCTACCGATAATCCTGACTTCTCAGGTCTAGTGAACGCAGAGCTAACCATGAATTCATCAAATTTTTTCGAAAGTTAAGGTACTATTATTTAATTGTAAAAAATTTAAAATTCGCAAACTTAGCCGCATATATATCCCCTGTGTTAATATTTTTTTTGATCAGTTTGTCTCATTATTAACACAGTTTTTTTAGGATATCATGTACAATGCTACTAGCGAAATAATTGATCAAACCTAGATTCTTTATCGTGCGTAGGTTTGATCAGACGTCCTTGAAGCATAATTTCATACATGTAAATGCTTGACTCCGCAGAAAAATTTAATCCCTCTTTGATTTTATAAATGTAAGTATAACCTATGAACAGCTAGAGTTTTTACTTGGGACTTAGTAGTCGAAAAGAATCAAGTCTCAAACTTGAGTCGTAAGTCTCTCAAGGCCTTCACACGGGAAGGCACTAGCATGACAATGACTTTGAAGAGAGAGATCTTAAGAGTACCTTTAGATAATTTGCAAGTTGAAGTGAAAATAGTCACCGACAAGTCACCTTATTCCGTCACAACTCGCCTAAATCATGGTCTGCAGGCTCGACCAACAAAGGAAGCGAAAAGCCAGCTGATAAATCTATTCATGACCCTTTTTACTAGTGTTGTCCGTGAGGGAAAGATGCCGCAAGTAACGCCGATATTTGAGAATTTTACAGAGATTAAAGGTGACCCTAAAGGCCTAAACGATCAAGCGGGTCTGAAGCTCGCGTCAATCGATTGACGCGCGCTTCAATCAACATCATTCGGGCCTTCAATCTTTTGATCAAAACCTTCGTCTCAACGTATTCGGAAATGGGATTTGCAAACACTTGCTGCTCGTCGCTCGTGATTGTTTTTTTTTTTTTTGAGCTTGATAGTTAGCAATGGTTTCAAATACGGATTTGCCCTTCTTCTCAGGCTTTTCCTAAAATTGGTTGCCTTCTAGCGAAAAAATAGAACAGAAAAAACGACGGTGGCCAAAAGTAGTGTATAAAGATAGAAATCGTTTTCTCATGAACATTTATGGCATTTTCCGCGGGATAAGCAACCAGAGGACTATAGGAATGTTTTGCGAGTGAACATATAGAAAGCTTTTATTATCAGCTGGAGTTAGTACAGCCCGACATCGAGGAGAATGATACAGATATGCGTGAGGCGATTCCTGCAAGCGAGACATCAACTATCACGCTGAGGTACCCAGGTACATGTAGTATCTGGAATGAGTAAGTAGATCAAATTTAACTGCGCCATCGCTGCTCAGACTATTGAGTCTATCATAATGTAAACTTTCTCAGCAATAACGAAGGCAGTAAAGGAAAACAAGGAATTGCGCTGCAACTTCTCCACGCGACAAAATTTTTTCTCGCTTCGAATCACCGACATGTGGAACAGCCTCCCCGATGACATCGTTGGAGCTCCAAGTATGAACGCGTTCAAGAACAGACTAGATAAAGCTATGGAAAAATATATGTTCAGATTTGAAATGCCTAGCTCCTTATCGAACCCGGTGGAAGTCTAGTAGCTATTTCAAACTATCGCCAGTCATGAAAAGATCCGATCAAATGATACGAGTTTAGATCTATGAACAAGGCACGAAAAGGAAAAGAATAGCGACAGGCCACATCAGGCCTACATTTTCAGCGCCGACATCATTATGTTATGTTATGTTAAGACAAACAAATGACCTCCCTGTTAAGAGTAACCGGGAAGTTCACATTCAACGGTTCTGCACGCCATGGTGCAGGGAAATGTTTGCAGGAAATACCTCTAAACGATCAATCATCTCCTTCAACCGCTTGAATCATTAAAATTTTCTACTAATCACCACCAAGTCAAACGGGTTCCTACACGGTCAATCGGGCTCGAGTCAATCGTTTAACGCAAATTATTTATTGGTCAAGCCGCTTGATCGTCTTGATCGTTTAGTGACACCTTAAAATTCATTTACAGTCATATTAAGTCGCTCTGCTGGTTGTGAAGTTTCAGAGTGAGTTGACCTCCAATTGATGGGTCGTTTAGGCGTAGATTTTTGCGTTCGATTCCAGCTTAATTCCTGCGACAGTTCTGGTCAAAATCAGCGTGGTTGCTGGGCGGTTAAGTGGCCCGTAAGCTAAAAAGGGCACTAGCACTACGAAGTAGCACTACGCACTACAAGCCGTTGTGCGACATGGAACACTACGGTTGGCATGCTAAATAGGGCACTAGCACTATGAAGTAGCGCTACGCACTACAAGCCATAGTGCGGCATGGAACACTACGGTTGGCATGCTAAATAGGGCACTAGCACTATGAAGTAGCACTACGCACTGCAAGCCATAGTGCGGCATGGAACACTACGGCTGGTATGCTAAATTGGGCCAAAAGCATAACGCGCACTACAAAAATCTGAAGTGTCCTTCACACCGCACTTCACGACGACACTACGGGGGACGCAGTATAGACCCCTGAATAGCCTTTGCCCATAATTCAATATCTATTCCTTTCCGCTCGTAATCACGCTAGAGGGCATATTAGCCTGTGTGATTAAGTGCCTAAAGCCATAGGTGCCATTTCCCTTCCTGGAAATGAATCAATCAGCTAGATAACATCAAGCCGCCGAAGCAAAAGCCGTGGGCAAATAGCCAAAATGTTGCGTGCTTGCATTAAACACAGCCTGGGAGTCTTCGCTCAAGACATCGTCAAGAAATATGCTTAGTACCCAACTACCACTTACTGTATTCTTCTACTGAGATGGTAACCTTGAAAGAAGTAGGCAATCCAGTCAAGTCTTAGGAACGCTTTCATATTGGAGAATTTCAACACTAATAGCTGTCTCCCCGTTTAATCGAATAGAAAATTTCAAGTTTTTATCATGTAAACTCCAAACGTTAGAGGAAAGGATAAAAGAGCAAGTTTTAATTAAAAATTTCTTGATTAAAGTTAGATTTGTCACATTTATTAGCGTCTGCAGAATCAGTGCTTGACGGAGGAAATTCGAACGTGCTGAATGCAAGTCCTATATTATGTAAATATTGCGTTCAAAACTGGGTGACTAAGTCATCGTGCCAATTCCCGCAAGGATGAAACTTCCTTCGTTGATTACACGCTAAAAACGTTGAATTCTATTGTCAGCAACTAATGTAGAAATGATGTAGCATAAATCTTACTGCTATGCTGAAGTAATAGGTTTCACCATAACATAACATAACATAATGATGTCGGCGCTGAAATGTAGGCCTGATGTGGCCTGTCGCAGATTCTTTTCCTTTTCGTGCCTTGTTCATAGATCTAAACTCGTGTCATTTGACCGGATATTTTCATGACTGGCGATAGTTTGAAGTAGCTACTAGACTTCCACCGGGTTCGATAAGGAGCTAGGCATTTCAAATCTGAACATATATTTTTCCATAACTTTACCTAGTCTGTTCTTGAACGCGTTCATACTTGGAGCTCCAACGATGTCATCGGGGAGGCTGTTCCACATGTCGGTGATTCGAAGCGAGAAGAAATTTTGTCGCGTGGAGAAGATGCAGCGCAATTTTTTTAGCTTATAGCCGTGGCCCCTGGACAGCATTAAACCGCAGCTGCCACGTATCAGCCCAGTTAACTATGCTGTCAAGATCATCTTGCAATTGCGCTTTATTTGACACATTCTTCACTGTAATTTGACACATTCTTCACCATGTAAGAAATATCAATTGCAATTGACATTATGCGAGTTTCCTTATAGTTACAATATAAGAGGATGCTACATTTAAGTCAAACTAAATCCTTTGCTTATTGTCACTATAACGTGAGTATTACCATTGCCAGTTCCAGTAAACGCAACATGAAATACAAATGTAGTACGTGGGAAATGACGAATGAAAAGCTCCCTCGATAATACGAGGGATATTTTGTAACTTTCGTGGCTGGCATATGGAATGGCCATCTTACATAACCAAGTGCCATTACACTGCCTTCAATGTGGTTCATATAAATGACGGTACATTATTCAACCAATTGTCAAAACGATCAGCTAAAAAACACAACTTTGATCAATTTTGATGGCACGCACAGGTTGGTAATGGCAAATTTCTGGTGCATTAATGCCATTCATAGTTCTAACCACGGGAAGGTATAAAACATTCGTACGATACCACATTCGGATCAGTTAGGTTCAATCCGCATCATTATTCATGACCCTAAATTCTACTTAGATGATAAAACATTGGGAATATAAAAGAAGAGCCAGCTTCTTGGAGCACTGGAAGTTGGTTCTCACAAGGTACATATTGGCCGGTAAAGCCCTATGTCGCCGCACAGTCTCATACGCAGCATAGGCACCGCCTTCACGGCTACTGAGATGTGCGTCAAAAAGTTGGCGCAGTCGCACACTAAAATGTAGCGCAGGATGCCGTTTCTTGGGGAGGATTTGTGTAAAGTGAAGCGTCGCAACTCCAAGTCTTGGGTCAGGCTTCGGTAGAGAGTCTTAGCCCCTGGAAATAAATGCTGTTTAAGATCGGTCACATTGTTGCACTGATTTCTGCAATTGACACTTGACTATCAAGTTCTAAATTCAGAAGAAATAATTTCAGTTTAGAGTGAAGAAATTATGAGATATGGCGATACTATTTTTGTTAATATGTCATTCTACGGACACACATTGTACATGATTGATCAGTGCCGCTACACGGTATCCACCAAACACATATTATAAATGATTGTTCAATGCCGCTGCATAGTTTTCTACAGAGATGCTGTACATGACTGTTCGGTGCCGCGACACGGTAGTTGCCAAAAATTTTGTATGGGATGGATCATTACTTCTATTATTTGTCATTTATGGAAAATGTGGTGATGCTACTGTTACTAAGATTTTAATTTAAGTTATGAAATTCAAGATAAGCCTCGTTGCACTGCACCCAATACCTGTCCATGTGAGCCAGTTGCGTTCGAACTTTTGGCCGTCATCGCCCTCGAAGACCCGGTACACGGTGATGATGTAACCTGTGGACGCGCTGTTCGCCCTCCTAGACAACTTCTCTGCAGGCGTAATGCAAGTTACACGAATTAAATACTCAATTTATCACACGAGTAGAATGCACTAGCGTTTAATGCTAGTTACACGGATTAAATACTTCATTTTTAACACGGGTAGCAAGCATGATATACATGAGTATCACGTGCAACGTTAATATTCGAGTGAAATGCTGGTGGTTCGTTAAGATCTGACAAAACTTGAACATTGCACTAGTGTAAAAGAGCCCATCCAGGCATATGACGATAAAACAACGTTGATTACGAACCGATTTCGTCGAAATAACGTTGAATCGACGTTATTTCAACGTCAAGTGCCCGGCGGGAGCATGACCAACCTAGAGGTGGACGGGCAAGCGTGACGACCTCGTCGTACACGTCGAAGAAGTGGTCGCAGGTGTAGCCGGTCCTCGTGGGGTCCAGGAACTCGAGTGTGTGTTGCCGCACCTTCTTGATGACGCTCGTAGCGTCGCACGCTCGCACGTCTACAATCCACACGATCATGAACGAGAACTCGACTGCAGGAGGACATAAACAGGCTGCAGTTAAGGAAGATTTTGTTCATTATATTTATCTTTAAGTGGATTAAATTAAATGGAAAATAAGGAGGAAATAGCAAGGCTTCGCTTAAGAGTCAGGTGGAGCGGTCGCTGAACGCCGCATCGAGCCCACACGGCCTCACGGGGTTAAAATTTCTCGGGCCAGGCTCTGCCTTCTAACGGCTGGCTGCACATTCCCCTCCTCTACTCCCCCTCCTCTACATTTTTAATCAGCGAGCGTCATACTACTAATTTTTCTACGAAATTGTACTCTTTTATCAAATTGGTTGTTTTCTTACTAATAACCTTATCTTAACAACATTTTCATATTATTGAAGATGCATGGAAACATGCATTGTTAGTTTAGACCCTTTAAAAGACTCCGCAGCTTCAGACAAGGGCTTTGAAAGCTGATCGAAAGGAACTGCGAAGAGAAGAGGGAGGGAAGAAGGAATGTTTACCTTGAACGACAAAAGATTTATTGCCATATAGGGTAGGCTGCGCCTACACCCGGTACGACAATGAGTCAGGTCTTGCTTAAATCTACGGAATTTTCACTCACCACTAATAATGTCGACTAATATCTAATGCTAAAAGAATGATTCAGAAATGCTTTGTGTAGAGATCAATGAAGAATAAATAGTTAAATTAACTTGTGTCGCGAAAATGTTAGAAAATGTTGTCGCGCTGGAAAAAGTCGCTCATTTAACGATCTTCATATGGTTTAAAATTTTTGTTCGTGATAAAAGTGATAATACATAGTTTACATAATATATCTTACTGTCCTTTAATTGGAAATAATTAGCCAGATCGCCATTCCAAATTTCAGACTTGTATCTTATTTAGGAGGAGAGTTATTGGTTGCCTTTATTGTTAAGAACCCTCGTAGGGATTAACGCGCCTGGCGGCCGCTCCACCGGCCTCTTAAGGACCTGATTGAAAGCCGTGTGAAGTCTGAGAGCGAGGTTTTCGCGACCATCGTGTAAAATCCTTGATCTGCCCGAAGCTCGGCCAGTCGCTACCCTCGAGCTTGTACTCTTTGTAATATGATACCCTACCCAGCCCCTTTCTTGCGGCAACTGGTCGCTTTCAGGTGGCCGAGGAATGGCCAACGGTCGGCTATAACTAATTGGACTAGGCCGACCACTGGCCACGTATGTATTATTATTCGCCTCTCATTGAGTTCCCGACACCATGCCGCCCGTCGTGAACTGACAGTCGAGTAATTTACGAAGCCCTCTTTCCCCTCAAACTTTCTCACAACGCCTCTATTTGAGCAGCTAGTATGCGGGATTTTCCCCGCGTATCAGCAGGCTCGATCATAACTATTTTTTGAGAAAGAATATTTACAACAAGGAGCTGATCAAGGAATGCCGAGTATACCATTCAATGGAAAATAAAAATTGCAACCCTTTTACATCTCGAAAAAAGTAAAAAAGTGGCAGACTTGATGAAAAAAACCTCAAACCCAAAACTTGGTCGAGAAAACCTCGCTCTCAGACTTCGCTCGGCTTTCAATCAGGGCCTTAAGGGATATTTTACTCAGTGACATTATTAGATCACTCGCTTAAATGGAAAATACTTCAGAAATGATGCATGTAAGAGGTTTTGCTAAGTACGATGACACTATACAAACAAACTTCAGAAGAAGCTTGTTTGAAGGTATAATCGATCGTATTAACACTATTGACAACACTATCGATCTCTGCAAAGTAAGACAATGTTAATGCTAAGGTCACACATCTAAAATAAAACCAAGGGGCACGATGCCAAAAAGGGAAGCGAAACCTCGCTGAGTCGCACACGAAACTTGGCGCTGAGAAGAGAGTTAATTAACGCACCAATTCGCACGCACGTGGCCGCTCGAGCGTGTTACGACGCACAGCTGCTCGGTTGTTCGAGGAAGGATTATAAAAATACGTGACTTAACCTAGCGATGAAGCGTGACTTATCCGAGCGATACAGCGGGTCTTTAACCGAGCGATACAGCGTGATTTATCCGAGCGATATAGCGGGGCTTAATCGAGCGATACACCGTGACTTATCAGAGCGATGCAGCGTGTCATAACCGAGCGATACAGCGTGACTTATCCGAGCGATACAGCGGGGCTTAACCAAGCGATACAGCGTAACTTATCCGAGCGATGCAGCGTGATTTAACCGAGCGATACAGCGTGTCATAACCGAGCGATACAGCGGGGCTTATCCGAACGATACAGCGTGTCATATCCGAGCGATACAGCGGGGCTTAAGTGAGCGATGCAGCGCGTGGAATATAGGCGCGCGATGAGAAGAGATGACGTATGAATTACCTTTAGCCATAGAAGGGAAGATTCCCTCAGACAAAGAACACTAAACTTGACAGGCGAGATCGAATTTATAACGAGCGTGCAACAGGACAGCGAAACAATGAACATAATGGGCAAATCAAAGGAAACACAGGAGCAAGTAATTTGAGACGTGTTAATAGCTCGTTTGATTGACGAGACGATATAAGGAGAGAGGTTGCAAGTTCCAGAGAAATATTCTTTAAAATATAAACCAGCACAAATTATGCTAAAAATATTAGTTAAATAAGAGTGGAGATCAAGTGTTAAAGAATTCTAGACTGCAGAGGTATAAGGAGCTACTAAAAAGAGAAATCATACTATAGAGTGCTTGAAAACACCGTTCGAGATCGAACAAAATCACTGAGAAACGTTACTACAATGAAAATTAAATTTTGTAATATGCAAAGGAGATTAAATGACAGGAATAGTGACAAATTTATAACGAAATAAATATGGTCATAACACAGATGAAGTTCGATGAGAAATAATAGAAAAAATAGAGATAAAAGGATTCCTTTTTTAATTTAATGCAACCCGATGAAAAAAAACAGTCCCAGGACAGATCAAAACGCAAATAACAAATGAAACCGTCAAGACCTTGAGCTCATGGGACTCACAAACCGTAAGACTAGCTCAAGGTTTCTTCTTGTCAACACAAGACGCGGTGACACCGTCGACGCTTTGTTTACGTCGCGTGTCGCTTTCAGCTACAGCAGACATGTTAGCAATTTAGGACAGGGTTACCCGATGGTCTTTTCATGGGATAAATTCCGCGATTTAGTTTTAAGTTCTGACTTGCGTTGGTCGGCAAAAAATTATTAAGGCGGTACATCCATATTGTATTGAACAAAGTAAAAAAAAATAAAATTAAACCTTTGTACCGTAACTTACAAATTAGTATGAAATATTAAATTTTTGGCACTTTCGGCCTTTTTTGTCCGCGGATTTGATCGTTTTTAAGCCATCTGGCAATCTGTGAAAACATGCTGATGAGCGCGATTTCCTACTCACTAGAAAATCTCTGATCCATTGTAATACAATTCCCCTATTCACAGAAATTTCACTTTACGCAACATTCGGTGTTCCGCTCATGCGGAACACTGTCAATTTTTTTGGCAAAATCGAGGTACTGCATCCACTGGCTCCCCGTCTGCCAGCAGGCATTGCATAAGTATCAGTGGTGACTTTTTTAGCTGCAATTTGCAAATGAAAGTACACCAACATCGTCTGAGCGTTTATTTGGGTATTCTAACGAATTGATGACAACGTCGTGACACCTCCCAATACGGCTTAGGTTACGGTGAATGCGCTTATTGTTGTAAAAAATTAGATGCGATTATTGTTGCTATGGTTGAGTTGTTGTATTTCATAAAGCATTTCATTTAGGCTATTTTACCATGATAAGTTAATTGATCACGTTAGTTTATGTGTGTCGTTGTGAAATATTACAGAATTAATTGACGATTTAATAGTACTTCAAAACTTTCTGTGGTTTATACTAGTGTAATTTACCTGGTGATACTCGACTATTATATTTCGAGATTTGAACCTTTATTATTAGAAGGATGCATAGTGAACACAACAACTTAATTTTAGTATTTCTCATCAGTTATAGTTTGAAGCATCGCATGTCTCTCGAGACCAACCTCTGCCGTCCTCGCACTCCTTCTCGAGGTTCATGAGCACCATGCCCTGTAGTTGCGGACACGACACTGCCACGGCCGCTGTCTTGAAGGCCTGATGTTTTATAAAGTAATTCAGAGTTTCTTGTCTGGGACATGCGTTGATTAACATTCAAAGCTTATATTGACTATACGACAGACAGATGCTTGAATGAAGTTAAAACCTATTCAATTTCATGGCATAATTGTTTTAGATCTCAATACCGAGAGTATTTATCTTTAATTATTAGGTCATACGACGAGGTTTTAGTTAAATGACTGTGAATGACGTTCAGCCAATAAATTTATTGAATCTCTCGTACCAATTTTAAGAAATTCCTCAGTTTAATCGCTTACTTAGCTGCATTTAGAATGAAATAGTCCTAGAAAGTTGTCTAGTTCTAAAAAGTCATCTGGTTCTAGGTAGATAGTTGTCTAGTTCTAGAACGTTTTTTGTTCTGGAAACTTTTTTACTTCATGAAACTTTTTTAGTTCCAGAAAGTTGTCGAATTTCAGAACGTAGTCTGACTGTAGTTTAGTTTGAAAAACTACAGTATAAACTGTATCAATAATACCTTACTGACGCACTCCTTCTGGTGCTTGTGTGGCTCGAAGAGTGGGGACTTCATGGAGGGGAGGAGGGGCTGGCAGGGCGTCATGAGGTGGTAGACGAGCTTCAGGTGCGGATCCGCAGTCTCCAGCATGCGGACGCGGCCAGACTCACCGAAACTTGGAATCTAAGACGTGCAAGGCAAATAATGTTATGATTTTTTACAGCCCAATTGATGACTCAAGCGTCACTTGATAACGTTGAACTTGACCATCCTTACAATAATCTATGAAATTGTGACTAATTCGAAATTGGCACCTTTTTCAAGGACCCAAATTATCAACAACCAACTCGCATACGGATTAATAAAGGAACATGTTTTAATACGTTACGTTGTTCTGATCCATCAGCACTCTAACGACAATTGAGTGCACGTGACTAAATAAAGAAACACAAATTCTGTAATCCCAGCAGTACTTGGGATGTAATACGTTGGGTTTTTACGTGTTAACAGAAGTGAACTCACCAACGAAGCTCTAACAACTTACGGGATGGCCAGCGGACGAGACTTAATTATGTCAGAAAGGTTCATTGCCAAGCGAACCAAATCTGGTAATACTTTTGCTGATTGTATCAGCAAAAAAAATTGCCTAAATGTATAACATTCTTATTACTCTGTTTGAACAAATCGTCCTTAACCTAAAATTAAATTCCGAATGTTTTTGTTTATGGGGTGATAACAAGCGTGAAATGATTGAATAGAAATTTACATTAAAAAATATAAAACTGTTATACAAATTTCGACTGCGTTAAAAACTCACAGGATGGCCAGCGGGGAAGAACCTGCTCATCCTGCCGACGGGTATCATGAAGCAGTCCTGCTTGAGGGTGTGTAGGGTGACATGCTCATTCTGTTCCAAAATTTAGCGTCTTTCGACAAGTGGCCGTTCGACCGAGGGCTGGTTCGACCCACGGCCTAGATACGGACGGCTTGAAGTGTTGAAGGCTACGTTCCGGAAGGCAGGCATCATGATGGTCCATTACATCCAGGGCAGTGGTGGTCTTCGGCAGGCGACCAACAACATTTAAGAAAGGTTCATTGTCAAGCGAACCAGATCTGTTACTATTTTTGCTGATAGTATCAGCAATGAAAATTTTCCTCTATGTATAACATTCTTATTACTCTGCTTGTACAACTCGTCCTTAACCTAAAAGTAATTTCAGAATGTTTTCGTTTATAGAGTGCTAACCAGCGTGAAACGATTGGATAGAAATTTAAATTTTGAAAAAATATATAACCAGCGTGGAATTATTGAATAGGAATTTACATTAAAAAAATATAAAACTGCTATACAAACTTCGACTTTGTTAAAAACTCACAGGATGGCCGGCGGGGAAGAACCTGCTCATCCTGCCGACGGGTATCATGAAGCAGTCCTGCTTGAGGGTGTGTAGGGTGACATGCTCATTGACCTGAGGGGCGTTAGTGTGGGGCGCCGTGAGCTGTAGCTGCTGGGGCTGTCGGGGCAACATCGGGTCTGGCATGGGAATTCCCGCACACGTGCTGAGTGTAACCTGCACATACATGAGGGGTTCTAAACCATTCGTGCAGCAGAACCCTCTCTGCACACAGAGCCACTGCGCCTCAGAACCATCTGTGCACACAAAGCCATCTGGGGACTCAGTACAATCTTAGCACAAAGAACCATCTGTGCACACAGAACCATCTGTGCACACAGAACCATCTGTGCACACAGAACCATCTGTGCACACAGAACCAGTCGTGCCCACAGAAACATCGATTCACACCTTTCTAATAAGTTTTCAACGAATTCTCTGGTCACTAATCGCACGCGTAGAAAACAGAACCATCTCTGCACACATAACCAGCGGTGTACACAGAACCATCTGCATGTGTTCGCAGAAGTGAATCCTGCACTTGGATGTGCATTTTGATAAAAAGTTCTAAACTATTTTTCATTACCTTCAAGGGATCCCTTACTTGTCGTTAGGGATTTTAATAAAAGGTCGTCGCTCGCATAAATTATACGAGTATCACTGGTAGAGTATTAAGGGTTAAAAGGTTGCGCATATCTAAGTTCGAACGCGTTTCAAGATTTTTTAATCAATGGAAGGAGGAGTCTTTTTCCAGAGCTATAGTTATTTCCGGGACATGAATTTACGAGTTACGCCAAATGCACAAATGAAGAACGATTATTAAAGTACGATTGAGGTAGAAAATTCAATGACGCTGGCTTGTGCAACTTCCACCAGACAAGGCAATAGGAACTGTTCACGATGTCTGGGACGGTTTGTTTCACATCCTAAAATAAATTATTTCAGAAGTAATTACAACAGTCATGCATTCATTTACATAAATTTACAACTTATTTCGATGCATTTTTCATTTAATTTCATTAATTCAAAAAACCGAACAATTAAAATGGTACATGTTAGACTATTTTGGAAAAGTATAATAAAATATACGACAATAACGAGCAAAACTTACCTTGCTGCTGCTAGGCCGCCTGTCCTCCTTGCTGATGAGCGGTTTCCTGGACCTGCCGAAGAAGGAAAACGTCACGCCGGACCCGCCTGTCCCTCCGCTGGTCTTACGGGCAGCGGCTCCGCTGGGGTCGAGACGTGAGTAAGACATGTCGAGCATGAGGTGCGTACGTAGGGGGAACTGACTTGAACACACGTCGCACTCGCATGACTCAGAGTGGCCTGATGACGGGTAAAGTTAGGCTTTATTATTTGTAAAATATTTCTAATTTGCATCACATATGCAGGATTTTTGGTAAAAATATTGAATAGTCCAGCTTTAAATATGGGTAAAGTATTTCTCTTTAATTGCACCGCATACGCATTGCTTTGAACATTGCCCAATACTTAAAGCTGTGAATATTCTGCGATGTGAAGATTCGGTGAAAGGCTTACGGCCTAACAAACGCTGAAATCGCTGGTATTATTATTATTATTATTATTACTGTTATTATTATTATTTAAACACTGGTTAAATATAATATTCCATTAACATCGCAGTTGCATGACTCGGCTTGAAATTTAGCCTGTTAGAAAGGTCTGCAAGATATCTTCATATTATTACCATCTTACTAGCACGACTCACTATGATCTCTATCAATGTAAGCTGTATTAATCAAAGATATTAATCAGATTATGTACATGATACCTTTGAATAACGTTTTTTAACGCAAATCGTGAACATATCATTAATAAATCTATATCAAGCTTGAATATCTCAGATTGATCTGTTATTCAAGAGTCATAGTATAGTATAGTACCTATAGTATAGTATAGTATAGTATCGTCGGCATTAAAGAATAGGCCTAGATAGGCCTGTCGCCGATTCTTGTACTTTTCTTGACTAGACTGGCCTTTTGATCAGATCTTTTCAACGGACGGTAGATTTAAAATCGCTTCTAGAAATTTGTAAAATATTTCTAATTTGCATCACATATGCAGGATTTTTGGTAAAAATATTGAATAGTCCAGCTTTAAATATGGGTAAAGTATTTCTCTTCAATTGCATCGCATTCGCATTGCTTTGAACATTGGTAAACAATTGTTAATAAATTAAATGATTTGGAGAGAAATATTTTAAGATTTAGCAGGGTGGCCCAATACTTAAAGCTGTGAATATTCTGTGATGCGAAGATTCGGTGATAGGCCTACGGCCTAACAAACGCTGAAATCGCTGTTTTTATTATAATTATTATTATTTTTTTTATTTTTATTATTTTCTGAACCCTGGGTAAATATTATAATCAATTGACATCGCAGTTGCATGAGTCAGCTTGAAATTTAGCCTGTTAAAACGTTTAGCAAGATATTTTCATATTATTGCCATCTTACTAGCACGACTCACCTTGATCTCTATCAATGTAAGCTGCATGAATCAAAGATATTATTCAGATTATCTACATGATACATTGATACCTTTGAATAAAATTTTCTACGTAAATCGTGAACATATCATTAATAAATCGATATCAACCTTGAATATCTCCGATTGATCTGTTATTCAAGAGTCATTGTTAATATGATAATAAAATACCGTTACATTTGGATTTCCGTCAGCGCATAGTGTATACAACACTCGTGATTGTAACAGAGTTCGTTTTAAAACATCCAACGAATTAAATCTCACTCAAACTTCAAAACCAGCCGCTGTTTCAAGTCACGCTAGATGCTTCGTTCTTCAGTACTAATTACGGTGAAAAAGCACCGACTGCTGTCAAGGTTTGCGAGCAGTGGCCTCAGCTGCATGGCGATGAAAAAAAAATAAAATCTCAAGAAAATGATCTACAGACTCGGATAAAAATAATTGTAAGCCTTCAACAGCCCATATTTTTCGACTAACGGAACGCATTAAGCACCAAGTTCAACTAAAATTTATTAAGATCTCAAATAGCTGCATAAAAAATTGAAAACGTTATTCATCAATTAATCAAATAGCTTATGTTCGATATACAAGAAAATATTTTGAATAGAAACTGAACCAAAGATACCATAAAGATACCATTTTGAACCATAAATTAAAAATTATGTAAAATTGAACAATGTATAGTTCGAGAACTCAAACAATCTGCTAGGCAAATACAATTTATACTACTTAGAATATACATAAAAAACGTACCTGCCGCGTTAGCTCCTCTGCCAGTAGATTTTTTGGCAGGAAGTTTTTTCTTCTTGTATCCTGAAGAATACGAGGAGGTTGTCTTCTCCTCGCCGCCGAGGTTTTTGTAGTAAAGGAAATTCATGATGATGATTGTGACCTCAGCTCCCTAGGAACTCCTACACTAGTTCTTAGACGCAATTTACTGTATAAAAATATTCCATGAATTTCACGGGAGTGCACACGGAAGATTACACGGAAAAGTTATCAAAATTTCATCGAAAACTCACTCAATGGGCAAAAATTAGAACATGAGGAGTGCGACCCTAGCAAGTTATAGGGAACTTCACAGTGGACACTGTTTTTTTTTATGTGATTCACTGTACAAAAATATTTAACGAATTTCACGGGAATGCGAGCCGAATATTGCACCGCAAAGTTATCAAAATTTCATAGAAAACTCGCTCATGTATGAAGAATAAAGTCCATGTTTGAGCATTGTTGTATACTGAAATTTACAATTTTTGGCGACCTGTAACAATACCTCTAGGTAGTTATCGATTTTCGGCAGCAATTTCCTCGTAAAATAATTACACCAAATTTTATCGCAGTTCAAGTTTAAACATCGTCAAAATTCAACACCCACTTTTCATCATAGTTTGAGCAAGTACGTCGTCAAAATTTAATATTAATTTCTTCCAATCAAGATTTCCATAACTATATCTCGCATGTCAAATAATCACTGCTCGTAACGATATATTATCACCGTTCGTTATGCATTAAAAATCATCGGTCTGCAAGTTATCTTTCTAGGAAGGGACAGACTTTGACAGCAGTGCTGCTGGTCGTACCGTAAGACTTCTGTGTATGCGACTGTCCTCGAGCGCCTGTTGCAGCGTTGTCGTGTAAAACACGCACTTGGCTACTGCAGCGCGCTGCGGCTATAAATAATACAGTCCCAGGTCTCGATTGTCGCGATTTAAGCTACGAATTTCTTTACTTAAACACCTCAGGACAGTCTCAGGTCTTTATTTAAGCTACGAGTTGCTTTACTTAAATACCATGACAGTCCTAGGTCTCGATTGTCACGATTTAAAGCTACGGTTTGCATTACTTACACACCTCAGAACGGCTCCTGGGTCTCATCTAGGACGACGTTCTTGTTTTTATCTAAGAGTACTGTTAAGCTAGTGTTTCAAATTACCTATCTAAATGCTAAAGTCTTAGTTTGCGCAGATGATATCACACATCCCTTAGGCTCTTACATTCCTTTTTGGCGCCGCTGGTGAAGGTCCACAAATTTCACGGAAAAAGTATCGTGAGTTTCACGGTAGAATACCATGGGAAAGTGGTAACAAAAAACAGCAGAAAAATTGTAAGAAGTTAACGTTAAAATTTCGAGTAGAGAGTAAATTATGTCTGCTTCTGTAATACTGAGGTAGGAATAATGTTCGGATCAATTGTCTGCACATAAACTAATATGAACGATAATACTGACACGTTTGCAAGCATAGTAAAAACACGAAGATATTCATGAAGTTCCTTATAATAATCCAATAAATATCTATAATTTACACGCAAAGCTGAAACGTTCTCGATTGCCTCGAGTTATGAAGGTGCGAAACTGACGTCTAAATATCCGCAAAGACATGGCAATTTTAACGCAAATGGAAATTAAATATTTTGGAACGAACAAGGTTGAGAATTTAGAATACCTCACATCAGCGACATGATGGTGAAAAGGTAATCATGAAATCCGAGCTTTGTGAAAGGGTCAGCTCATTATGATCATCTGCGTGAAGTTTATCATGAATTTCGTGCGTCACGACGTGTCAACTCATCAGAAAAGAGAAATACCACAGTAATAATTCATAACTACTTGCTACTTTCAATTAAGAAAGCTCACGTTTAGATCCTGGCTAAAATTTATTAGGATGTCACTGAAGAATGCAGGTAAGTTAAAGAAAATCATGAAAAATACCTTTATTTATAACTTAAGAAGACATGTCAATGGCGGCTGGATTATTCAAGTAACAATACTACCATATTGAGAATTTCCATCAAGCTAGGAACGAAAATTTCTTCATTTAAAGAACTTCACATTGATTAAAGAAAGGATTAAATCGGTAAAGGGTGAAAAAGCGGGTAAAAAATTATCCAAAGATTGTTCTTAGTCATTGAGAAAAACCCCGACAAACTTCGCTCGTCTTATCAAAATTTAATCAAGATGAAGACCAGCAGATGCAAAGAAAGCTCATCAAGCAGAGAAAAGCTACCTTAGATATTTGATGGCAAGATGATCAAACACTAGTTTCCCAAAACCTAAGAAATTTTTTGTAGACCAATAGTAGGTACCCATCACAACTACGTTCATCGGTTTATGTAACTTTAAGGGTCCGAGTTTGGATTTCTAACAGTGAATCAGGTGGTGAAACTTAATATATAGCAGATTTCAATGAATATATAACCGTGATTATCCTTAATCATTCAGGTGTAGCCAGGTCTTAATCATTCCGAGGGTGCCATAAAACTTCACTTCTTCTCCTCAGTTCCTGCAACAAACATGAAATTAAAAAAAAAATGAAAAATTTCGTACTTTAACTTAGGGATTTTATCGCTAATTTATTTCCAAGCTGAGAAAACACGCTGAGTGAATTGACAATATCTTTATCGTAAATGTTTCAATTATAAGCTATATCTTCATTTTCACAATGTAACGAATGCTAGTATAATAAATGCAGGAAAGCCAAATTTATGCGCAAGAGATTAGGACCTAAGTACAGTGAAGAAACGATCGAAGGATCTCGCCCGTTTCAATATTTAAAAAGCGAATTTACTTTGATTTTTTTTCGCTATTAAATTCATGGTTAACTTTCAATTCAAACGAGCGAAAAAGGCGGGTAATAGAGTGCACTGGAATAAAATTCTCAAATAATGTTCATTCTCATCCATAAAATATTTTGTAAAATTAATAACTAAAATTACCATTAAAAAGAATTTAATAAATTGTTTGAAAATTCAGGCAGAGGCATGAAAACTTACGAGTCAACAAAGCTTCAGTAACTCAAACAATTTTTGATGTATAACTGTAATAAAATTGTTTAAATAAACGCTGAAGTTAAAACCACAAGTGACATGAATAATTTCATGACCACACAAATTCAAAGGATTGTTAAGAGGTTTGAACTTCACATCAATACTATAACTAATAAATGAACAGGATCATCACAAGCAAAATGTGCCAGAAACTCGGCTTCTTCTATTTTCGACAGCACCATAACATTTATTGTTATGAGAAGATAAACCTATTTCTAGAGCCATAAAAGCTAAATGATACATTAATTAGAAGGACTTTTGGAACGTTGCTGCTCACCTCTCCCGTCACAGGCGACAATTTTGAGACGGTCTACTTGTATGAAGTCTTGCACTTCCCGGAACTCCACGTCTGACATGAAGAAGGTCCACACATTGTCGCAAAATCGGTAGGTGTTCAGTTTGTCTGTCTGGAAGGATAATTTCGTTATTTCTTTTGCATGGAACCGTTAATATTTAATTTTTTCCCCCATTTTTGGTTTAAATATGTTGGAAAATAGGTACAATCTTGTTTAAATCCAGTTTGCCGATTTAATTATTTGTTGCATCATATTTGTTACCATTATTATGAGATTTTAAACTTGAATAGATAGAACTTGATAGTTGAATTTTCTAGCTACAGATACACTTCTTTGCTTCATTACTTTTGCATTCAATGATCCAAATTGCTTGTTAAAAATAAGAAAAGTGATCTTCCTTACATTTGTTTTTTAGCATGGGAAAAATGTACAATTATGTTATGATTATGTCCCAAATGATGTCCTGTTCTACAAACTCACTCCTAAATATTAAGCTACTTCCGAATGTGCAAATCGACTGGGCCTACAAGGGCTCCAAAATTTTGTTCTCATGTTTCCACTGTAAGAGTGTCTATTTCTAGGGTAGCCACAATTGAAAGAAATTTTGACCTGATCTTGTCTTCAAGATAAAAATAATTACCTCCTCCAGATTGACCTTATTGTATCAAGGTCTTGTACAAGAATGATATTAAATAACCATTAAATAAATAATTACATATATGAGCTACCTTGAAGCCGATTCTAGAGCGAACTTTGGTGGCCAGAGCAGTGCTGATGGAACGATCAAATTGCAGTAGAACTTTCAATGCCAAATCTGTTGGTATTTGCTGGAACTGAAAGTAAAAAAATATAATTACTAGGTAGTGATAAAAATCATAGTCCTTGATGAACAATTCTAGGAGTACATTTTTCATTCTAAAGAAAAAATTTACAACAGAATAATGAAACACTCCAGGTAGAGTTTACATAAAAAAAACTAAGATACAAGAACAATTAAATTTTTAGCACCATAATTGCTATACCTAGGTACTTCCCATTGTAAGTTTGCAATAGGTACCTATATATTATACTGTATTTCCATGTCAGGAAAAGGGGGCAAAACATGATATTAAACAAATAGACAAAGTAGGATTATTGAAAAAACTGACCCTGCAAGCCAAGTTAAATACATGAATGATCCTTATCAGTCTCTATCAGTTAAATCTTAAAATATCAAGTGAAATGACAACACACTACTTATGCTTTATGATAATGCTACTTTAAAAAGCAGTAGAAATTAAATTACCTGAATAAATTCATCAAGTGTTTCCTGTAAAGTGCTGCCAAGGGTTGTATTGCGATACAATTGGTAGGCATCCATCTTGAAGTCTGGAAGTCACTTCTAAAAGCTGAGACAAAATATATGAAATTAGAATATTGATATTTGAATTTGGTACAACTGAAGTTTTATCACTTGTGAAAAAATATTGCTGCAAAATTACAATGTATAGTCAAATGGAAATGGGGTATCAAAAGTGTGTTATGAAACCGCCAAGTTGCCATGCATTCAAGTAAATAAATAAAGCCTAGGGATTCTTTTATATTTCTTCATATGAGCTGGGAATATAAATTTAAAAACCTTGATTTTGCAATAGGCACAAGATACAATTATTGTAATTTTTATGTTACATTCTTTGATGCTGTAGGCTAGTGATGGTTAATATAATCAAAATCAGCCAGTTACTGAAGATTATTCAAACTACGGTCATGCAAGGGGTTATTAGTATATGAACAAATTCAGGATAAAAGGGTGATATCAAAATTTCATAAGATAAGATACTCACAGCAGTGGTTGGGACCCTAATTTAAAATGGAGAAACAATCAATCAAGAATGAATACAAGAATAAAAGACAGTTTACTCTAGTCTGAAAATACAAAATGACAATGCATTTACAAGTTGATAATAGGTACTTAATATTGAAAAAGCAAGGTTTTCATATGACCTTGTTCTCAGTGAATTTGAATTTCAAGACTGTACCATTAGATTGCTAAAGCTTTATTGTCACATAAAAAGAGCATCTGCAAGCACAGAGAAATTCCCTCACCATTCATTCGATTTATCTACCATACCAAGTCACAAATTACATACGGTATATAGGTACCGTACCTACCACAAATAGAGTGAATTTTGGAATAATATTGTTGTGACAATTTTTTGGAGATAATTCAATTAACCATAATCGAAAACAATGAGTAATTTACAAAAATTCATTGATGCCAACAAAAGTGCTTAACTTACTCATCGATAGGATAAGTAGAAGTGTGGTTAATTTCGATTATAAGATTTGTAGCAGACAGACAAACAAGAAGTGAAGTTAAAGAGAAGTGTTGTAAAAAGAGCATCTGCAAGCACAGAGAAGTTCCCTCACCATTCATTCGATTTATCTTCCATACCAAGTCACAAATTACATATAGTATAGGTACCTACCACAACTAGAGTGAATTTTGGATAATATTGTTGTGGCAGTTTTTTGAGATAATTTAATTAACCAATATCGAAAAAAATGAGTAATCTACAAAAATTCATTGATGCCAACAAAAGTGCTTAACGTACTCCATTTGCCATGAACAAAGTATTATAGTGTTCAAGTTCTAGCAATTTGGTAACAATGAAATTGGCAAGCCATTGAAATGGCTTTTAGCTGCATAGGATGCTGAGTGCAACTAGAAGTGGGACCAAAACATCTTGGATGAATAATTGAACATTAACCCTTTACCGCCAAATCGGACTTTCAAGTCGCCTTTAAAAAAAGAACACCAGTTTTCTAATAATTTCATGTTTTCTTTCATTTTTGCAAAAAATTCACACAAACAAAAAAAGTCTTACTTATTTTTAGCGCATTTTCTCATTTATGGAGAAAATGCACTATTGTGCTCGCCATGTCCATCTGTCTGTCCGTCCATCCGTGACCTCAAGTCTTCATCAACGAGAAAATGCGCTCTCTGTCACTCACTGCAGTGAGTACGGAGTTACATTTTTTACATATGTGTACCAAGTTTCACAGTTATCTGTCTGTAAACAACTGAAATAAAATTTCTAATTTCCAATGGCAATTTCCAATTTCCTGTGGAAATTTTATTTTTAGTTACTTACAGACAGATCACTTTGAAACTTGGTACACATATGTGATAAATCAAAGACTTTAAAAAAAGATAAATCTAAGACTTTTTGTTTGTGTGAATTAAAAAAAAATGAAAGAGAATGCAAAATTCTTAGAAAACAGCCAAAAAGGGGGTATATAGGTACTGTAGAAATCCATCTCCTAGGATTTTCAAGCTACAACATCAAGACGCATATCATTCAATGCGTAAGGACCATATCTATTGATTGGTCCTTGCTGTTTTTTGAAATTCTAATTTTTGAGGGTGGGGTGGGCATTTTTTTTAAAACATTGTGATTACCCCCCCCCCCACCCTTTTGAATTTCCCCCCTTTTTTCAAAATATTTTTAAAACTATAACAAAATTGAAAAAAGCTACAACCAATCTCTAGAGCTTTTATTTGCAAATCGAATGATATATCTCACATTGCTGCAGCTTAAAAACTCTAGGAGGAGATAGGTTTGCAGTGACAATAAGTGTGAATGTTCAGTAGAGCGCGGCAAAGTCCCGAACGCATCAAAATAGGCATTCAAGGTGGCATGGATACAAGACTAGATGTTACTGTTCCAATTCAGTCAAGGATGGTGGGAACAACTGCATGAGCACCATCCCACACGACAGCAGCCGGGTAACTAAAGATTAGCGTCTTCAGGTTGTCTTTATGTGCCCGGCCAGTGATTTTTAAATGTGAAAAAATTACCCCACCCCTAACCCTTTCGCGAACTGTCATCAAGGCATAAATCAATGTACAGAGCTGATTTTGGTACTGTTGGATAGGTCAGAATGTCAGCTTTATATATAAGTCAAGACTAAAAACTGGAAAAGTGAAATTTGCGATTTTTGACCCAGGAATTTGGGTGGTAAAGGGTTAAGTGGCATCACCATCAGATTGTAAAGGATCTAGAAGTTAAAAAAATTATATCTTCCTACAATTCAGATATCAGAGATAATTTTCTATTTTATCTATTAATATTCAAACATTCTCTGGATATAATTTCTGTATATATATTCTAATGCAAGATTCAGGTATTGACAATTATTATTATGAATTTGTTTGGCCTTTTCATTTCTGACATCTATGGAAGTAATTTAGAGCACATGACTTGATACATCACTTGATTTTTATTTTAATTAATGATATCATATGGGAAAGCCTTAGGTACAAAGTACCAGTAGTATCTTTCCTCCATAAATATTCATCAACTCTACTAATGAAAAAATATTTATAAAATTGAGTGTGCAATTAATGTGTATTTGGAAATGCATGTATGTTCAAGATTGGTGGGAGCTGAATTTTTGTGATGATACAAACATACTGTATCCATGTGCCTTGTGACCATCAGCCATGCAGGTACCTATATTATTAATAACTTATGATTAGTGACATTCAATTCTGGCAGCTGCAGCCCACTCTGCACAGCCTTCTTGCAATTAAGCAGTTTCGAGATAGTCCTGTGCAGTCCATCAATTTCAGAAGGCCCATTTTGCATGGGAAAAATTTTTCAAAAACCTGCATCATTCTGACTGTGGTCTGTGTTTGCAAGGCAAATGCAGAGTGCAGATTGTACATCATTTGCTTATCAGGCTTGCCAAGCTCCCGCATTTCCACATTGCTATGCTGCCATGTTTGTTGCAAACTCTTGCCTTAGCTTACTCTTTCATTCCTACACGTTTGGATGTTTTGGTGGCAATGGAGAAAGAATGAGCAAAGCAGAAAGGATTAAGCTATTGTCAAAAAGCAGTGTGTGCAGATTTTGTTAGCCTGCCTCCTGTTTCACATGGTGATTTACTGAATTATTTGGTGTTTGATGTCAGCCAATACACCTTGAAAGAATTTGGATCAGAATTTGTCTACTTGTTTCTGAAATCTTGTGGCTCCAACATGACAATTTTTAATACAATTGGAATCTTGAGACCTGATTTTGCACTTTTGTTAACAATTAGGTAAGAGGTAATTTATCTGGCAGAAATCTTGCGGTTCCAGAAATGCCGGGAAAGTTCTAGTCATGGCCCTAAAGGTAGATGTTGTCAACACTTGATTCAAGGCATACAAGATGCTTGAAGCTTACAAGCAATGTGTGGGTTTATGGGTGCTGGAGATGGAGACCCACAAACCAGCCAACTGCAACACACTGTCATTGCTGCCAAGGTGAAAGTGAGGATAATAGATCATGACAATGTAATCTGATCTGAAAATATTATTATTTTTTATTTTTACTAATGCAGCATATCAAGTGGCCTGGGTGCAGAGTTTGCAAGATGCATTGCCAAGATATGGATTTTTAGCCCAAATGTTGCCAGCCATTTTCAAGATGTGTCGTGGCTCATGGGGTAATTTTTAATAAGACAAATGCTGCTACCAACTTTGATAGTATATTCCTTACTCTCCATGCACTGCAACACTTGCGCTCATCGCAACTGATTTCCGGACAAGCTCCACTGCATCCTGATCCATCCAACGCATCAGAAACCTTACTGTGTGTGCTTGCAGTCTTTCAGATTTTCAGCTATTTTCAAAATAGTTAGCCAAAGACTGGCAAATGTCTAAAATGCAATAATTTCAATCCAAATGTGTCAGCAGGATTGTCTGAAGGCATACATTTTGCTGCTGATGTGTTGCCAAGGATCTTGCAATATTCATCAATTTTCTGCACCCTAGTCTAGTGGCAAGTAGCATATTTTGCCAACGGAAAATATATAGTATTGTGTATCATAAATATTCACAGCTGGTAATATGATACATATATCAGCATGATGTGTAAACTGTAAACTGATACAATATTCACTACATTCAAGTCAGGTAAATTGAAGAAATGCATTCCATTGTCCAGTTTTCTGTTTAGTTGTGAGAATGACTAGTGCATCCAAAAATGGCACAGTAGTGACTAGAGTCCCATCTTGACATCTTCAAAAACTTCAAAAAGGATGTCATCCTTTTGAGGCTGCTTGGCAACTCAGACATAGTTGAATCTAATATTTTTATGGGTGTCATATATTTTTCAGATTTGTTAGGCTGTCAGCCTGTAGCCAATTCTTAACATTGCAGAACATTCACAGCATTTTGCAGTTCTGTCTAGAACTTGCATCTCACTGATAAAATTCTGCTGTGCTCAACTGCCTGGGCTTCTTGCCGATTCAGACCAGAAATTGCCATACAGATTACAGAGCTGGGATCAAACCCAAGCCTCTCTGCTCCAATCCTGGTAAGCCTACTCTGAACTTTAACCACAGACCACTGGGCTTTAACCACCACTTCTGAACTTAGAAGAAGCATTTGAACAGTATTCATATATTTTTACTAATTTTAAAATGTAATTAAAGATTTAGTAAAGTAAGGCCAATTGATTTAGTATAGTCAAATGGGGTAAGACAGGATCACAGGCTTCATGGGGTAAGAAAGGACCAGCCCATGGCATGCATTCTAATTTCACTGAATTTAATTTGT